GCACGATGTTTGGAAATTCTGAATTCAGTTTAATTTCAAAGATTGGAGAATTTTTCATGTGCAGATTAGCGTATATCTTGGCCAATCCAATCTGATACACTCCAAGGGTTATGTCTTCCAGATCGTCAACGTTAAGCTTCGGGAATTTTGGAAATTCTTTCAGAGAGGCCGTCTTCCATTCCTTAGTCCGGCGATCCATCTTCTCGTCCTCCACTCGCTTTTGTAGTAAATTCTCCCGGTCAGCAAGTTCCAATGCTCGTTCGGCTATCTTATCATGCTTGGGTGAGTGGGTGGAGAGAGGAGGGCAGAAACAGATAATAAGGGCGCAACCAATTCTGAACAACATGGGCAGCTTCTCAAGGTATCCTGCAATTAATCGCACAGTATAATAACTTTAAAACTTGCACCAACATACATTGACATTGGTACGCATAAATTATTATATAGACTTACCTCCTGGAACCGTCTCTCGAAATAATTTGAACTTTTTCTTGATTCTTCGATTTACTGCCTCCACCAACCATCTAACCAACGTGACCCGTCTTGACTCATTTCCTTGCGAAGTGGTGAATTGTTTATCATCGGTGTCTAGTAGTTCTGGCATATGTGTGAGGTGTCCAAGGCGAAGAAGAGTCTGAATCACGTCTCTGAATCCCCTGTCCAGAATGTGGTGATCGCCCGGTTTCAAGTAAGGTGAATCAGGTGGCAGCTCCGACAGGATGGATTTTAAGATCCCAGCGTCGTTATTCGCACCTGCAATTAAAAATTACGGATTATTTGAAAATTATGTAACTTGCAACGGATTATGCATTTTGCTACATCTTCCAGCTTTGCCGCTAAAATACACTTACCACTTGCATAATAAGGACCACACGCAGCCAAGATATACCCTGACGGAAGAACTATCATAAATGGTTTGATTAAATTGCGTTTTTTCTGCCCAGAATAAGTTAGTTTCTGCAGGTGAAAGTCGGCCGGCTTTTCAATATAAATATAGGTTCCATCCATGATAAGAAACAGCTTAGTTGGGTCTTCTTCTTTAAATAGCTTCGAGTATATTGGACGAGAGTGGTCACGAAGGGCTGCTTCACGGGACAAGTGTTCAAAACCGAGGTATTTCTTGACAAAATGGTTGTCCAGCGCTGTAGCGACTGCATCAATGGTCTCACTCACGCATGATTGATTGGGGATTCCAAAAAGACTGCCCAGCACTTTCTGCACACAAGAGTATTTCAGCATTAAGTATTCATTCTAATGAATTTTGCGGTAAGAATAAATCTTAAATATTAATACCTGAGCCAAATTGTGGCAAAGCAGCATAAGGAAGATGGCCAACGCATTTCGGACACTTCGGTTGACACTGTTATGTACATGGCCTGATATTTCTGCTAGCAGCGATTTAAACTGAATTTTAGAGAATCCGACAAGATTTGGGTAGTCGTCCTTGTCCACGTCAGTTTGATCGTCGAAATTATAACGACGTCTTCTAGCACCTAACTTGTTTCTGTTGCTGCTGAGATCCAAAATCCACTGTGCAAGTTCTTCATCCGACATCAGAACACCATGTTTTGTAGGTATAATCAACTGCATTGCGTCATCTGTGAAAAGTTTTCCCTCAAGGTGAATATTGCAGCAGCGATTGTCATGAGGGATATATATTTCCTTCTCTGTCCATGCTTGTAATGCCAGTTGTAGCGCCAGTAATGGCGCACTTTGGAATCCTTTTTCTGCCGTTGGGGTCATGACAAATAAAGCACCGCTTCTGCGTGGATCCAACGGAGCTGATCATTGGTAAGCGCCGTGATTTACTTGATTGAGTGCTGGACATCGATACTTGGGAGTTGAATGGGTCGCAGGAAAGAGACGAAACGATTGACGCTTGAGAGTGACTTCGGGCGGTCATCGTCACTGTTGTGCCTTGAGTGCTCCATTCTGACTGGATCTCACTTCTGCCACTTATTGAAATAGCCATGGAGTTTTCATGACGGGATGTAGTATCAAATCCACCTGGTAGTTAAATAAACTATCATAGTATTGTAGCATTATGATTATAGTATTTAATCTGCTATACTCACTATTAAAATGGACTTCGTCAAGCTCCATGTCCAATAATCCATACTCGAAGCGGTCAATCTCTTGCTGAGCATCGTCATCTTTACCCTCATGAGCATGGTCGTCGTCCGCCCAACAAAAATAGTCGTCGTCACCTCCACGAGCATAATTTTCCTCACGACCACGGTCTCCATCATCGCCACAACCACTATCTTCCTCAGCGCCACCAGCACCGTCTTCATCACCACTACGATGATCTTCCTCCTCAGCGCCATGAGCATCGTCTTCGCCACCGCCACGACGATCTTCCTCCTCAGCGCCATGAGCATCGTCTTCGCCACCGCCACAACGATCTTCCTCCTCAGCGCCACTACGATCTTCCTCCTCAGCGCCACGACAATCTTTCTCCTCAGCGCCACGACGATCTTCCTCCTCAGCGCCACGAGCATAATTGTCTTCTCTTCTCATATTTAATCTTGTTCGGCTCGGTAGAATGACACCCTCTCCCCTTACTTTAGGTTTTGACCTCCGGAATTGTTTCGTCCCTTCATCCTTCAATTGAGAGCGAATCTGCAGAATAAGTAGCAATTAAATACATATTACTAGACTAAATTAAATATTTTTCGTACCTTGATGTGGCATGCTTCGCATATGACCTCGGTTTTGTGTGCTTCCTCCTCATCATGGTACAGTCGACAATACAAGGGCCAGAGTGCAGACGCTCCCAGTCGATGCCGTTTCTGGTTCGACTTAATCCGTCTGTGACAGTCGTCCAAAAAACAAATAGTGTGCGGCATGATTGATAAAAGCAGCTGGATTTATTATCAAGCTCGATCGGGTTATTTTTTGGTATTTTCAAATAATAATAATGCAGCAATATGAAAATATGGCTCCATTTAGTTACCTCTAACAACGGTGCACAGCGCAATAAATTAAAATGCATGAGATAAGTATGGCAAAAGTGGTGGTGGTTTACCCTAAAATAAGTGATGACTGCAAAATGTCCCATTTTTTGTTTAAAGTTAAATTCAGTCTTCAGAATATGTAGAAAATTTTAAAACACATTTCAGAAATGGGACATTTTGCAGATATCATTTATTTTGGCTGTAAAGTTGCTCATTAAATTCGATCAGTGTCTTTCTGGAGGACGAAGTGAGCTCTTGTTTGGCTGGGAGTTTGTTGGTCTCTGCCTCCCTCAAGATGGCTTCGCTTATCTGCATATCCCACCAACCAAGAGGCAAGTCTCGTACAGTCAGACGTACCAAAAAGGCAACAAAATGCAGAATAATTTGTGTGGAGAATTTAGCAAGAAAATTGTGCCACAAGCAGTAACATGATGGTCATTACATATCATTCACTAATTATTCCATGCAAATTAAGCCGGTGGTCCATCACTGGAAGGAATATGCATTCATTGAGTCCACAATCTCTCAAATTTGGTTATGACTCAGAATTCCATTCCTCTTCTCTTATCCTGCTGACATATTTTTACCATTGCACTCATGGATTAGAATTATGTGGGGTTTTTGTCAAAATGGAATTTGAGCAAATGGAAATCTAGAGTTTAGTCTGGATTTCTTACTTAATTTTTTTCATGCTAAAGGACGAATGCATATTTAATGAACAAGGAAAGATGGACCAATAATTTTTTGCAGAATTATTTGGTCACCTTGTCGTCCGTTTCGATATGCAAATTGCAATATGAGATTTAAGTGTGATGCACAAACTAACCTTTCTTCTTGTTTTAAGAAGTTATTCCATTTAATAATATGAGAAAATGTGTTATGCAATGTGGTTGTTTATATTTACCAAGTGACTTTTACGCCTTATATAAGCATTCTATACTACGTTATGTAAACATACCTGTTCACTATCATTCATGTGACGGATTATGATAGAGAATGAAAGTGAATGAAAATGAATTTCCCCTCATTTGAATGAAAATGAGTGAAAGATTCAGTCATTTCAGATGAGTGACTGTGAATGAAAGGATTTCTCACTCCTTTAATTTTTCACCCGAAGCTTAATACATGAGCTGAGTCCGGATAAATATGTTCTTAAAAACCCCGAAATATTTATGTAAAATGTTCAATCAAATCGCCAAAATATGTATATAAAACATATTTTTAATTCGCTTAAAATTGCCCCAAATTTAGCTTATTTGACTGCAGAAATGCCAAAAAGTGCTTTTGCATTTCAAAGTGACAAACTAAAAACATTTCAACATGCTCTGGTATTATTTCTACGATGATCGGAATTTTTTATGAATTGTGAATTTCTGAGGTTTCTCTAAAGAATATATTTTTTTCGAAAAAATCGCTGAAATATGTAGAAACATATTTATGTGTATTGAAAATAATATATATTTTTGAAAAAATCGTCGAAATATGTAAAAAAAATATTTATGTGTATCAAAAAATGCACATTTTCGGCAAAATCGTCGAAATATGTTAAAACATGTTTATATGTACCAAAACCTGGAAATATGTAAAATATGTCAAAACATTTTTTTGACCGTGTGACCTATGCCTGACCAGGAACAATATCCCAAAGTTTCAACCCGATCGGGTTATTATTGAAAAAGTTTAAAATACATACATAACCGGACTCTGTACATGAGACGAAGAAATGAAGTCAGATGAAGTGAAATGAGTTTGAAAGAAAATGACTGAGTGCGAATGAAAATCTTCAGTTAGAAATCGGGATGACTGAAATTTGAATGAAAAAAGGTTTTTTGAACAGGTATGTATATAAAATGGGTTATGCAAAGTGACCGGAAACCGTAACCTGCAATGCGAACCCTGCACGATTTAAGTGTGATGCACAAAGTGACCGTTCCTCTCGTCATGACCAAATATGTCGTCGTCACTGGTCCAGCTTTGCAAATGTGTCGGCGCATGGAAAAATGGGGGCGAGACGCGAGCAGAGTTTTATATAAAACAGGATAACTTTACTACATAAAAATTGTCATAGTCAAAACGGTAACATAACACGTTCACACCTTAATAATTCAATTATGCCATTTTTATCAGAATAAATCTCTCGTCATAATTAGTGAAATGAGAAAAATATTGAAATATATAACGCGTGGAAAACATGTCGTGATGGTCGGATGAGCATAACTTGTCATAAGTGGTCAAATCAGCAAAATATATAATAAAAAAAACATAACATATGGATGACACGTGGTCCTTTGATGAGACGCTGTTTAGACTTTACTCTGGGGGATGAACCTTCTTCAAATGTCTCCCAAGATGGTCTTTCCTCGAGAATGTCTCCCCGCAGTGGGGGCAGGAGTGCCGGTTTTTGGCATGAACACTCCTCAGATGTCGCACCATGTCACCCTTCCTCCCGAACTTCTTGCCGCACTCGGGGCACGCGATGTCCTTCCGCTTCCGGTGCACCGTCTTCTTGTGGCTGGTCAGACTCGATTTTTGAGTGAACACTTGGTCGCATTCGGTGCACTTGAAGGGTCGCGGATCCGCGCTGTGAATGCGCGCGTGCATGGTTAAGACACTCTGATGACCGAACAGCGCCCCACACTGGTCGCAGCGGAAAGGTTTCTCCTCCGTGTGGGAAACCAGGTGAACATGATAAGTTCGGTTATCGGGGAATTTCATCTGGCAGAATAGACACACTCGACTCGAACCCTGCTTCACGAGGGCGACCTTCTCGTCTTCGGAGAGATGGGCGAACCGATGTTTGGTCAGAGAATCTTTGGAGGAGAAACTTTTTCGACAAGTGTGACATCGCCCGCCCACTTTTTCCTTCGTATGGCCCACCACATGACGACTGAGATGGGACGGACGTTGGAATGGTTTGCTGCAAAAGTAGCAGACGTGTCGCCAGCCTTGCCGCACCTCCGCGCGCTCCTCGCGACTCAAATGGACGAAGAGATGACGGGTCAAACTTTTTTTCGCGGAGAACTTCTGCTTGCACACGGAGCAGGCGTAGTTTTTACGACCTTCGTGCGCGTTCACGTGGTCGGTGAAGTGGTGACGAGTGAAGAACACTTTTTCGCAGTGGGGGCACTTCTCATGGAAAAGTGACGACTGCTCCAGCTCGTGGGGGTTGAGGTGAGTGTGGGCGTGGAGGGCAGCACTGGTTCTGTTGGTGAAGGGACGAAGGCATATTTTGCATGGGAAGATTGTCCCCACCACGTGATGACCACGCTTTCTGCCAACTTGGGGCAATTTCCTGGCTTTTGATGACCTTCTGTTGGCTGAGGGGGACTGCACGTGGTTTTCGCCACGTGGAGTTGGCTCACGTGGTTGGGCGGAGTGAGGAGCAAATTGTCCATTTTCTTGAGAACTTTCCCCTTTCTCCTTTGTGGTGACGAGCGTTTCCTGTCGTCTGAGGAACTTCCGGTGCGTCTGGTTGACCTCCATCGTGTCCAACGGCAATGTCTCGTTCTGCTCGGAAATTCCCGCAGTAGAAACCTTCGAATCCTGTATCCGTAAGGAACATCATTAGGATTTGGAAATTAACGACAAATTTTATATGAAAATTCAGAATGCAATCTTACCAACGACACGTTCTTCACATTTTGGCGTGAGACGTATGTTCGGGAAGCAGTCCGTTCTCGAGTAAATAAGTTTCCCTTATCGAACTTTCTCTGTGTTTCAGATTCCTCCACAATTTTATTTTCAACTCACGTACATCATTCTTTGAGTCGTTTTGCTCTTTTTCTCAATGTGAACTTGGTGGAAATGTTTCAAATTTGTAAAATTTCTGGAGGAGGAAGTGAGCTCTCGTTTGACGAGGAGCTTGTTGTCTCAAGTGATAGCTTCGCTTATCTGCACATCCCACCAAGAGTCGAGTCTCGTACAGTCGGACGTACCAAAAAGGTGACAGAATGCAGAATAATTTCTTTGTGGACGGAGAATTAAGCAAGAAAGTGGTGACACAGAAGCATGTTCATTCATTCATTTATTCATTCATTTATCATTAAATGTCCAATGCAAATTGAGCCGATTGTCCACCTCAGGAAGATATATTCGTTCGTCCACAATCTCTCGAATTTGGGTATGAATCAGAATTCCCTTCCTCTGCTCTTATGCTGGTGTTATCTTTTTCCAGGCTTGGGCAAGATAGATACTTTAATATACTAGATACAAGATACAAGATACTACTCGTATCTTGTATCTTCCAGCCGCCTCGGCTCAAAGTATCTTGTATCTGGAAAATCCTCAATGAGTATCTTGTATTTGTATCTTGTATCTGATATTTTCCATCCAGGGGAAAGTATCTAAGATACTTTTTAAGATACAAGATACTTTTTGCAAAATATGTTACCCGCGACATCTAAAGTTCGCTTTTCTTATGATTTATGAGGTAGTAATTGTTATTTTGAAGAAAATATGCGTTTTATTTTTACTAGTGGAAGGTGTTTTTCAATGCCTAACTACCTAACAGTAAGACTTTCATCTAAAACAAAGTATCTTGCTCAAGCCTGGTCATTACCAGACGACGAATATGAATGTATTTCTCCTTTTCCAAAAAAAAAACAACGAAAAAAGGGTTTTTTAATTTCACCAGAGCCGGGATTCTCACGCTGGTGCATTTGGAGTGAGATATGGTTTCGCTTATCTGCAGATTCAACCAAGAGGCAAATATCTGATTGAATCTGGTAGTTTGTCCGTCCACCAAAAGGGTAACAAAATGCTGAAGAATTTCTGTAAAGCAAGAACATCTTGGCAAAAGGAAGGCCGTGGTGATGCACATTACTCATTGATAATTATTCAATGGAAATTGAGACGTTTGTCCAGCTCTGGAAGAAATATGCGTGCTTTCACAATCTCTCAAGTGTGGGTATGAATTAGAATTCCTTTCCTCTATTTTTATCCTAGCAGTGGCCGCGGAAGGAAGCTTGAGGGGACAGAGGGGGATAATGTCCTCATGGTTGTTCGATGTCCGCATCATCTTATAAACCCGGCCCTCCTCTATGTTGCAATGTTAATGTCCCCACAGCTTCCGCGGCAACTGCTATCTTTTTGCCTTTACATTCACCTCAGAATCGGAATTATGCCGCAGTTTCATGAAAATGAAGGATTGAAACGGAATTTGGAGGAATGCTCAAGAAGAGGAATTACTCTCCATCCATGCAGGATTGAACTTTTATAGAAATTGAGAATTCTGAGAAACTAGGCCACTGTCAGTCTCAACGGTCCCCGTCAGCATAATTTGAGGGAATTTGAGACTGGCAGTGTCGTAGTTTCTCAGAATTCTCAATTTCTGTAAAAGTTCAATCCTGCATGGATGGAGAGTAAATACAGTCTGGATTTCTTAATCTTCTCTTATCCAATGTGACGCATGCATTGCATACACTGTTAAAAATCTGGTAGAGTCACATATCTACTCCGTGATTTGGTAATAATTTTCTACAGGATTGGTAGTAAATTGTTCCTGAGTGGTAAATTTGTCAATACCACAACCGTAATTCCTGTTAATACCAGGGTCGGTAGAGTCACATAAATATGTACTGGTAATGATTTAATACCAGTTTTCTAAGAGTGCATGTACGTATGGAATTTAATCGAAATGGGAACTTTGATCAAGAATTTAATTAATTATGTAATGCAAATTGACCACTCCTGGACGAAATAATATTGCGTCCATAATGGACGCAGAATCTTGAAAATTGGGTATCTTTGTTGTCATCCTTATGCGCAATTCCTGATTTTTATGCATTTTACTCTAAATAAAATATTACTGGAAGAAATATGCATGCAAAATCTGTCTGGTTTACTTATGTACGTGGCTAGATTTGTGCTCATTATCCGCTTAAGCATGGTTTTATTTCCATTAGAGAGAAACAATACCTGATTTTCTGAATACTAACGGAAGTTTCCACCGGTATGAAAATCATGCTGGAATTTTAGTGTTTTATATTTTGAATGTTTTTTATAATATGCAAATTAAGGCTTACTGCTGCCTTATTTGTTCACTTTGGTCCGTTTCGATATGCAACCCGCAACCTGAGCCCTGCACGATTTAAGTGTGATGCACAAACTGACCCATCTTCTCGTCAGGATGAAATATGTCGTCGTCACTGCGTCGTCGTCACAGCGCTGCATTTGTGTCGGCACATGGAAAAACGGGAGCGAGACGCGAGCACAGTTTTTTTGATCTAAAACGAAATTCCTTTACTAATTAAAAATCGTTATGGTCTCTAACAGGTAAGAAAAATAGTGTCATGGATTCAACTTAATACTTCAAGCATGTCATTTTTATCAGTCGAACGAGAATAATTATCGTGTTATAAATAGTGAAACCGGAAAAATATAAGGAATACGTCGAAATTTGACGAGGGGTCAGTTGACAGACGAAGGACTTTACTCTGGGGGATGAAGCTTCCTCAAATGCGTCCTAAGGCTGCCTTTCTCTGTGAATGTCTTCCCGCAGTGGGGGCAGGGGTGCCGGATTTTGGCATGAACACCCCTCACAGGCTGCACCATGTTACCCTTCGTACAGAACTTCTTGCCGCACTCGGGGCACGCGAAGTCCTTCCGCTTCTGGTGAATAATCTTCTTATGGCTGACCAGGGATGCTTTTCGAGTGAACGCTTCGTCGCACTCGGTGCACTTGAATGGTCGCGGATCCGCGGAGTGAATGGGCGCATGCCTGGTTAAGTTACTTTTCAAACTGAACTGTTTCCCACACTGGTCGCAGCGGAAAGGTTTCTCCGTCGTGTGAGTGGCCAGGTGGCGATGATAATGGCTTTTGTCGCGGAATATCTTGTCGCAAAAAAAGCACGCTTGACCCGATCCCTGCGCCACGAGGGCGGCCTTCTCTTTTTCGCTGAGGTGGGAGAAACGATGTCTGGTGAGGGAATCTTTGGAGGAGAGACTTTTTCGACACACGTGACACCGGTGGCGTTGAGTTTTCCAAGTCTGGAAAAAAATTATGGATAAGGAATAAGAAATCGGTAATAATTGCATTAGCAGAGGAAACAGGGGGCATGGTCCCCTCAGAAATTGAGCAAATTCGTGTTAAGTAGTCCCTCCTACTCCTATCCCACAATGCTAATGTCCCCCGGCCTCCAATTTCCACTGAATAATTGATAAGGAAAAATTCGTACATTCGATCGTATGCGACCCCTAAATTCTTAATTTTCTAATCTGAAAATGCAAATTTGCAAGAAAAACGTGCAATATTATGTAGGTCACTACTTATTTGTATGGAGTGGAACAAGAGATTTTTAGCAGTTGCCGCAGTGGGGACAGAGGGACAATGTCCCCACGGTTGTTAGATGTCCGCATCATCTCCCCATCTTATATAAACCCGGCCCTTCCCCTATCCTACAATGTTAATGTCCCCACACCTTCCGCGGCCATTGCTCAGCACGATGGATTTGTGTATGCAAATTAAGAATGTAATCTTACCAACGACTCTTCTTTTAGATTTTGGCGTGATGTGCGTGTTCGAGATGGGGTCGGTTCGGGAGCTTCTTCCCTCCTGGATTCCGGCTCCTCCACAATTTTCCAGAGACGCTCAGCTCGTCCAGTTTTCCTTCCTCGGCGTCGTTCCGCCCTCTTTTTCTCGTAGTTTTGAAACGCGACGGGAAAGTTGGTCGCGTCCATCGCGGCGTCGAGTTCCGCCATGGATTGCGCAAGCGTGGAGGCGTTTCTGAGCGAAAAATCAGACGACTGATTCTGCACAAAATTGAGTAGGAACAATTAATTAGTTTTTAAAATATGCCTGTTTAAAATATGATTATTTGTAGCGGAGGTCAACAAAATCTGCAAAATTGGTGGCGCCACCGCCAGCTTGGTTTGCGTTGACCTCTGACCTATAGTCTCACCGGGATAACGGACGAGGTCACGAGGCTTGACGACGTCGTGTCGGCGAAGGAGGCGAAGGTGACCCTGCCAGGCGCGAAGGTTTCCCTGCCAGGCGCGAAGGTTTCCCTGCCAGCCGCGAAGGTGACCCTGCCAGGCGCGAAGGTGTCTCTCGCCGGGTCAAAGGACGCGTGTTGGTGGTTCACCCACTTTTCAATTCGCGCTAGCGGATCCGCCTGCGCAGAAAGAGGGTAAATTTTTATTATTACTGAAATGCGACCAGTGGCCGCGGAAGGGTGGGGAGGGAACGATTATTCGATGTCTCCATCGTGTTATAAACCACTTCTTCCCTTATCCAACAATGTTAACGTCCCCACAGCTTCCGTGGTCATATTACTTGACACGTTTCCTCCTCACACTCACCATCGTGTCGTTCTCCTTGGCATCGTCATCTTCATCGTCACTGAATTTGAGCGGTTTGGCCGGCCTTTTCCTCTTCTTGGTCGCCCCCACTTCCGGAACGATGAAGGAACTCGAGACCCCTTTCTAATCGGCCAAACCGTCCGCAAAGCCGGAGTAGGTGTCGATCCTGCTGTTGTGCAGGTTGCTTGTCTCAGAGTGGTCGCGGTGGGGCCTTCTCCGTCCCGCGACTGCCACCACGAACGACGCGCCGCTCCCACCGCGTATGGGGTTCAGACGTTGTGACATCTTTAGTGGAAATTTGCTGGTCAGAAAAATAGGAAATCTCTTAGATGAGTTGAAGAACGGATTTTGTAAAGGTGAAAATTCATAATGAAATCTTACCAATGGCTCGTTAAGAAAATTTGGGGGTGAGATGTGTGTTCCGGAGTTTAAAAAAATGTATCCCTCGTCGAACTTATCCGTGCTTATCAGACTGCTCCACAAATTTTCATTCAGCTTATCCAGTTTTCTTTCCTTGGCGTCGTTCCTTTTTATGAATGTAAACTGTATGGAAATTTTAAAAAGTTGGAAAATTTCTGGAGGAAGAAGAAGTGAGGTCTTGTTTGCCGGAGAGTTTGTTGGTCTCTGTGTGAGAAATACGTAGCTTCGCTTATCTCATATCCCACCAAACGCCAAGTCTCGTACATTTGCATAGTCAGACGTGCCAAAAAGTGCGGAATGCTTTCTGTGTGAAGAATTTAGCAAGAAAAAATCATGAGTAAAGCAAGACGGACGGTGGTGATGATAATGCTAATTGATCATTTGTTAATTATTATTCCATGCAAATTAAGACTGTTTGTCCACCTTTTCTGGAAGAAATCTGCGTGAATTCACAAATCTCGCAGATTTGGTTATGAATTCCTGCTGGTCTGCCAGTGGGATATTTTTGCCTTTCCATTCGTATACCATTGTTATGTTGCATGTTCTTCAAAATGAAGCGGAATATGAAGGAGAACTGAAGAAAAGAAAGTTTGCATAGGATTGAGTCTGAATTTCTTAATTTAATGGAAAACGAACACATTGGTCAATCGAGAGTTAATTATGCGATGTAAATTGACCACTCCTGGGTAAAATATGGATGCAAAAACCTCGCAAATTTAGCACATTTGTGGTTAGCTTGTTCATCATTTTGTCGGATTTCTTTTGTATGTTACTGGAAGAAATATGTATGTGCATAATTTGCATGCATGCAAAATATTGGCAATTCACGACTTTCTTGTTTAGTTCTCCCTACAGAAATTATTCTGCATTTTGGTATATAAGTTTGACTACACGAGACTTGGCGCTTGGTGGGATACACAGATAAGCGAAGGCTTCTCTCCGTCCAAGGAGACAGAAATCCACGAGCTAGAAGCGAAACAAGAGCTCACTTCCTCCAGGAATTTTAGAAATTTCCAACATTTCCACCCAGTTTACATCGAGAAAAAAAGAGCAGAAAACTGGACGTAATTTGAAAATTGTGGAGGAGCCTGAAAAACAGGAAAAGTGCGACAAGGTAAAATTTTTTTAAATCCAGAGCACACGCCTCACCCCCAAATTTTAAAACGTTGGTAAGATTGCATTCTTAATCTTCACAAATCTGTCATTCAATTCGGAATGAATATTTTGTGCATAGAACGAGATCGAGCTTTGTTAAGGGGGAACTTCTGAGCAGACGGTGCCCTTTGACGGGATGGAGGTCAACCAGAAATTGGTGACACAACAGAAAAGTCTCGTCCCAACAACGGACAAAGTGGAGAAAGGGGAAAGTTCTCGAGAGCATGGACGATTTCCTCCTCACGCCCTCCAACCACTGCCAACAGCACGTGGCGATAACCACGTGTCCTCGCCTTCAGCTAACAGCAGGTCATCAAAAGTGAAGAAATTCCCGCACACTGACACAAAGGGTAAGACGCCTGGTCGCCGCGGCGTGGAGAAAGTCTTCCCATGCAAAATATGCCCACGACCCTTCGCCAACCGAACCAGTGCTCGCCTCCACGCCCGCACCCATTTCAACCCCCATGAGCTGAACCAGCCTTCAATTTTCCACGGGAAGTGCCCCCACTGCGAGAAAGTGTTCTTCCATCGTCGCGACTTTACCGACCACGTGGCTGCGCACGAAGGTCGGAAGAACCACGCCTGCCCCACCTGCAAAAAGGGCTTCACCCACAAAACAAATATGACCCGTCTTCTCTTCGTCCACCTGAGCCGCGAGGAGCGCGCGGAGGTGCGGCAGGGCTGGCGACACGGCTGCTACTTCTGCAGCAAACGGTTGAAAAGTCATTCCCCCCTCCGTCGTCATCTTCTGAGCCACCTCAGGGAAAAAGTGCTCTGGAGGTGCGACGTTTGTCGGAAAATTCTCTCGTCCAAACCAGGCCTGACCAGCCATCGGTTCACCCACCTCTCCGAAGACGAGAAGGTCGCCCTCGTGAAGCAGGGTTCGAGTCGCGTGTGCTTATTTTGCCGTAAGAAAATCCCCGATAACCGCGCTTATCATGCCCACCTGATCTCCCACACGAAAGAGAAACCTTTTCGGTGTGACCAGTGTGGGGCGTTGTTCGGTCGTAACGGTGCCTTAAAATTGCACCAGCGCAGTCACAGCGAGGATCCGCGACCCTTCAAGTGCACCGAGTGCGACGGGGCCTTCAGTCAAAAAGTAAATCTGACCACCCACTAGTTGGGAGTTCACTGGCGGTTGAAGAACTTCGCCTGTCCCGAATGCGACAAGAAGTTCGGGAGGAAGGAGCACATGGTGCAGCATGTGAACAATGTTCATGCCAAAATCCGGCACCCCTGCCCCCACTGCGGGAAGACGCTCTCCAGCAAAACAAATCTTCGAAAACAGAAAGAGGGTTCAGGTTCATCCCTCCGAGTAAAGTCCTAATTCATCTGACCCCACGCCAAATTACGACACGACACACTTCCCGTACTTTATATTTTTTTCCGGTTTCACTATTTATGACGAAATAATTGTTCTCGTACGATTGATAAAAATGGCATAATTGAATTATTAAGTTGTAAGCATGACCCAATTTTTGTTACCGTTTTGACCAGGTCCATTTTTATGTAGTAAAGTGATTATATTATATGTAAAACCCTGCTCTTTTCTTGCTCCCATTTTTCCATGCTCCGACATAAATGTAAGGCTGGACCAGTGACGACAACAACACATTTCATCGTGACGAGAAGAATGGTCACTTTTTGCATTAGACTTAAATCGTGGGTTGCGGGTTGCATATCGAAACGGACGATGGTGAATAAATAATTGTGGAACAAATCTCAATTTGCATACTAAATAATTGCAGACCTCGTGGTGTTTGTTTATCTCTTATCGTGAGGACTCCATCAAAAATTTGAAACTCCAAACTTCCAGCATAATTTTCATGCAGTTGGAAACTTTCGTTTTATTTGATAAAATAAATCACGCATTGTTTCTCTCCACCGGAAATGAAACCATACTTGGACCGGAGGAGGATGAGAATATGTAAATCAAGTCTGGCCACATTTGTAAATAAGTGAGACAGATTTTGCATGCATATTTCTTCCAATAATATTTAGGACGATACTGGAGCAGAGGGCGGATATGTATTTATCTATTTTTACCTTTTTTTCTATTTTTATGAGGGTCAAACTTTGTGGGTGCGTTCTTTAAATCTTGTAGGTTACAAAAAATCCAAAATATTTTTACATATTGTTACACATTTCTACTACGTTTTCAGACACATACATAAAAAATCCTTCGAAACGCAAAACCTTCACTGTCCCCAAATAATTTATTTCTTTAAATTAAGAAATATAAAAAAAAGTATTAAAAAATTATGAATTTTGAGACATGATAAATTCATGGGAGAAGAAGAAACTGGGAAAAATGCGACCCAACGAGAAATCAGCCGCAAATAGAACAAACTCCGGCACGCGAGGATTTTTTATAACAATGAAAAGTTAGTTATTTTGAATTCCCAACTTTAATTATCTTTTTACCTTAATTAAAATCCGTAGATTTTGATAATAAGCTTGTGATCTCTGCTGTGAAAGAGCAGGTTTGGTAAACTTCATTAATGCCAAACCCCCTAATTAGTATGCCACTCACCTCCATCATCTCTTACAAACAAGAGACAATGTTGCAAACCAGCTTCGTCACAACCTCATCTGAGATATCTCTATTCAGCGTGGCCAACCGGTTCATAATCGGTCAACACATAGGTATCAATTAGGTATTGCTAGGATATATAAGCGAAAGCGCAGCCACCAGACGGGGAACGGTGGAGGACGGGTCGAGGAAGTATTCTGTGCTACTGCAGGTTACCTCTCCCAATATTATTGGGAGAGGCAGAGTTCTGCCTGTTGTACAAGTAATGAATAAAACCTCTATAAGAAAAGTGCAATCAAGTCTCATCTCGCCTCACAATTATTACGCACACACAACAACAACGACGACGATCGTCTCATCTGCCTCATCACCACCATCAATGCAGTCAACCCCCCATAAACGGAACTTCACATTGGTACCCACGGCGGCCTCTCCTTGTCAGAAGGAGAGAAGGACGCCGCACCCCCTCTCTCAAAATCGCCCCATCTTCACGACTGCAGTGTGACGAAGTGTCATCACTACAAAACGCGCCATTCCCTCTCTACCCCCCATCTTCACGACGCCTGTGTGATAGACTATCACCAAGGTAAGTAAAAAAAAAATTTCCATGACTTTCTAACCACCCCCCCCCACACTCTCCCCCCTTCACCATTTTACACGATCCACCATTGGTCGGTACTCCGTCGATATTTTACAGAAAAAAATTTGAGTTCCCACCACCGACCATACGTCCACAATTCCCTAGAATCACGTACCTGTTAGAAATAAAAAGGACGGGGAGAAGTTTGGGGAACACTTCTTGCCCATAGGGGCCCCTACATTTCAAGTACACATAGAAGACTTATATATTATATATTTTGAAAATCATTTACCCTGTGAAAGTAAGTCGTACGCACCCCGTTGTTCTCTCCAGCCGTTAGGGCATCCTCCGTTTCATTTAGCGTGTTGGTAGTTATAGCTCTTTTTTTCATACCTGACTCACATCACTTTGTAATAAGAGAGAGCGGCAGCTCGTTCAACTCGACGGCATTGAGGATAATTTCATTTCTCGACATCGATATTACAAATCCCAAACCACTAACCCCACATCGGCCTCCCCGAATCCTCGTTCTCCTCCTACTTACCGGTTACCTATAACCACATACGATCCACATTTTCATCCGGCACGCCCACTAGACCAATATTTTTCGGCGGACGAGTCGGCCTTACATCTGAATTAACCCCAGCATCATCTCACACTCTTGGTCCTCATAATTTTGGTGCCACGTCGATTGGCCAATCTCTCCCATCAGCGAGGAACTTTCCAATTTCAACATCTCGACCCCAAATCGAGGTTGTTCCGCATACTTTTGGTGCCACGTCACTTGGCCAAGCTCTCCAACCTGCCACCCCCTTTCCAATTTCAACATCTCCACCTCAAAACGAGGTTGTTGCTCCTCACCACGATATCATTTTGAGTCCAAGACGTTCACCCCAACCAGAAACTGCTTCTCCTTCATCACCTCTCTCTTCTGACCCCGATAGCTAAAATCCAGTTTCGAGTGCAAATCAACTACCTGCAGCATCCATCCCTGCGACTTTTTATCTCAAAACTAGTATCTTGCCTCCCGCTACTTTCTATCCTCAACCAAACGCCAGCCCCCAACGTCTTCCATCAACCACCACACTCCACTCCAAACCGCATCTCAAACATCGTAGTCTACGAAACCTCCTGCACAACGACTCCGTGCCCATCAACCCGTCAATCCTTATTGGTACCACAACATCTTTTACTCCACCTCCCAGCAGTGGTTGAGACCCTGCCCAAAACAACCTTCCGCTCCTCAACCACCACCATTTTTTCCTTTCATTATTGCATCACCCACTCTTTTCCAAATGGGGACAACTATCAACGACCTCACCATCTCTCCAGGATGTTCACCCCCGACAGACACTAACTCTTTCTTTCCTCTTTCTTTCCCACAAGTCTGTCCTAATACGGAGTTGGAACCTTTACCAAGGTGCCACCTCACGTTCTACCTTCCTCCCAACCTGTACCTCCACACCATACCAACGCATTCTACCGACCACCTTTCCCTCCCTCGCATATCTCGACCATTGATGGCGACTTCTGCGCCTGCCCACCACACATCTCTCACATCGACGATTTGACGGGGTGGCCCACACCCACTACATCTTCCTACGATGCAGTTTTCGCCCACCTCATTCAAGCCTTAAGGTTTGCTTCCATTCAAGAGCGTAATGCACACCCCCCATTCGTCAATCCCCGATCGACCAACGACCAGCACTTTGTCTCTCTCTTAGCCCAACAACTTCCCTCCCAATTACAACAAGGGATTGGTACATCCGACATGAGGCCTCATGTAGTCTCTGCAGGTTCAGATTCTATTCATATGTTAGATGCACCTCGCCCTCGTTCCTCGGGTCAGCACATGACCTTCCCAGATTCCCCACCGACGGGTGGTTTTAGACACAATAACTACCAACAGCGCACCTCACAGGGTAACCGTAACCGTAACCATAGGGGTAGATCTTCGTATTCCATCAACCGTGGTGGCGGTTTCTCTACCCGCCAGAATGTACATAGCCAATCCCACATCACAGCACCTTCGAATCACTGGCAATCCAGGAATACAGAATTCCGAGGCACACATCATATACAGGATGGTGACGGCCGTAATTTTGGTGGAAGTGGGAGAGTCCATTCTCGACGACGCTACAAACCCAATACTAACCGACCTCGTAGTGATAATCACTCGTTGTATTCTCCCCCTAACGCACACCCCCGCCAATCACGTTCTAACTTATTGCCTATACACACTAACTACACTCCAAATCGCTCCTCCTCACATATCCCAAATACCTGGCGACCAGATCTATTAACTCGACCTAATCAACCTACCAACCTCTCCCGACCACTTTCAAATTCTAACCCTCTACCTTCTTCACCCAGCCAACGCCTCGCCCCCCACACCGCCGGTGGCAACATTCCTTTTCCTTCATGCCCCGATTGCGTCGCCTCACGACACACGAATTTCTCTATCCCACATACTTTTAAACCAGGCAGAGTTTGACCAACCTCTGCCCCTCGGCAACGTTCTCAATTAGATCACCATATTACACTAGCTGTATTACTTATATACGTATCACGGCGAACCCAGGATGGTCCCCTTGACTATCCCCGTAATACAATAGTAATAAATAGTAATAATTACCGGTCACCCAGATAGTTGTATTAATTCTATACGTATCACGGCGAACCCAGGATGGTCCCCTTGACTATCCCCGTAATACAATAGTAATAAATAGTAATACTTACCGGTCACCCAGATATATATATACGTATTATAAAACCCACCCATAGGATTTAAAAAAAAAAAAAAAAAAAAAAAATCCACAAGAGAATTCTTTCTCCTGTGTATTTTTTTGCCCTTTTCCATAGGTGATTTTCGATATCTAGGATTACGTAGACATCCCACATTCTTTTGTACCACATAACTATTACTTAGAAGCGAAAACCGGATAGCCTACCATATTAAACAGCGGTCGCTCTATGGTCCCCACAACCATTCGCCGCATTAAATATATAAGAGAACTCACGACGCGATAATCATAAATCCACAGGAGAGTTCCTTCTCCTGTGCACTTACGTTGCGTATAGATCTCCTAATGAGTACCCTCACTCCCCTACCTTAAGATTTAACTCTAGTAAGCTCCTCCTGGTCACCTTCGTCTGCACATTTTTTCCAGTATTAGGCAACCTTCGATCTGTCATTCAACCAGTAGCGAATTGTCCGCTCAATTACATTAGTTTTCTTTCTTAATCGCTACTACGTACCTCCCCGTCTGTTCACGAACCACGTACGCGACTCAGCAATACGTTTAGTATAACGGTATCTTCTACTCTACCTCGATATACTCAATTGCTACAACACTTTGTCCAATCTCACTTCACCGGTTGACTCAACACTTTACTCGCCCCCGATGTTATTCTCAATCCATATACCTTTTGGACCAACTGGACCACAATATTACTCTCCTCGCTTCAGGGCTCATCTCCCATGCTAATCACAAACAATTAGCCGTCTCACTTACAACGATCCGACCCCCCGACCACAATCTAGCTCCAACCCTCCTTCTACCGTTTATCGCACACCTGAACCTCAAAAAAAAAAAAACCTGTTCTCCGCATCGACAGGACTCCTCGGCCAACCTCATATCTACAACGAGGAAGAACGACCTTCATCACATGGACGCCGATACCCTCATTCTCACCTGATTCTCCCTGCTCAAAACCAGTCTCCCTCCTGCCTCCATTGTCCATACTCATCCTGCCGAATATCCAACTCGACCCTTCCTCGGGCCATAACACCCATCACCCACTAACCCATATTCTTCTCCCAGACGACACTCTTCACCTCGCAACCTGCAGTATCGCCCCAGACACTGGCTCCTCCGTCTTGTATCTTCCACCCTGTGACAGTGAACGACGACCAGTTCATCAGGACCACACAACTTCTCTAGAGGAAGATTTCATCCTCCCGTGCCATGGACCACCAAGTTCCCAAGTCGCCGAAGTCCACCTTCTCGTCCACCCAATTTCGGGCGTACAACAACTCAATCCTCATGCTGACCTATCTAGAAGAAATGCAATTGGCCTCCGAACTTCTTCGACTTTTTGATGCGAACTTTTTCTTCACCCCCAACCACCTCCTCCAAATGTGTGGAAAATTTACGTCCAGCATTTCACCTCCACGCCCATTTAATTTCACCGACTCTACAGCTGTGGATGAAAAATGGTTCAACGAATTCGCAGCCCTACACCCGGAATTATTCACCAACATCAATCTCCTCACCTATTATGACGCTTATGGATTCTGCACACGACACAATGAAAAACTCACCATTTTTCCCCCTTCAAAACTCCTACCGGTGCCAGGAAACATACGTTTACTACCTCCACGCCCTCCCAAAAGGGGCCTCCTGTCATACGCGTACCAACTTTGTTCTTGTTCTCACTCCCCCCGCTATCTCCCGCGTCTTAAACCGCGTCATACCACGTATCAAGATCACGCCGAACAACCAATCGAAACCGAGGAAACTTCTCCAATCCCCCCACTCTACCCGAACATACCCTTCCCACCACTTCCATCCACCCCCTCACGTCCTGTGCCGGCTACCAGTAGGCCAGCCCCACCCCAAAATTCAACCCCAGGCTCTCCATCACTGCAATCTCATCCAGCCGATCCGCCTCAACAATAAAAATACTTATAATTTCTTCGCGCCATCCGTTGCCATACGCCGCCACGCCGACATATGCCAATCACACTTTCTTTAACAACCAACGACAACGGATTCTTTTTCTCTTACATAGATCCAACCCACCTCCTCACCCCACTTCTCCACCTCACCCAACCAGCGTGACAACGTTCCGACACCTAGATTCATATGGGATACGGGTCATATCCCACAACATGCATCGGATCCTCCTTGCCTAAATACGCCCCTTTACGTACATACTTCCCGCATACACAACCCCCTTTCAATTTTTTTTGAATCAAAAGGACACCTTCCACTCACCATAAGTTGGCCTCATTATTTTCTCGCCTTCCATTTACTCTGGAAGTTCCCGATCTCCCTTCTCCTACTTCAATGTTTTCAACAAGTAACCCAGACTTCCCGACTCTGAAAGTGACGACTCATCGGTGATCCTCAACTACGCCTCATCAGCTCCAATCCATTTTTTTTTCACGACGATCATTCTCCAACCGCATAACCCACAATAACAACTCATCACAACTTATCCACATCTCAACCATTGGACTACAACCATTTGCCAGTGCGCTCCCAAAGACCAAAACACCCCACCATGGATCCACTCCTGCCATGCTTACCCGACATCACCTATCTCTCCCAACAGAACCGCCTGTACTCGATTATCTTGATGCTGACAGACGAGGAAGAACTTTTATTGGTCTCCGAATTACGTCGCCTGTTCAAAATCGGACTCCACCTCACCCATCTTCACCTCAAACAAATTTTTTATGTATTCGCCACAACAGTGAAACCCCCACGCTTCAACAAGTTTTGTCACGCCACTTCAACCGTTGACATTGCGTGGTTCGACGAATTTTGCAATAGACACTCAGAAATTATCTCCCACTCTTCAGTCCTCACCCACCAGGGCGCTTTCGACACCTGCAGCAGACACAATCAAGCTTTGCTTACCCTCCCCTCCTCAGCCCAAAATACTGGTGAGGCACATGGGTCACCAGTTATCACCCCCACGACCGCCCCTTCCTCAAATCTACCCCCGAATTTTAAGACACGCCCCGGAATTCTATCTTATTCCGCCTCTCGTCATCACTCCACACGTCCCATCAGATATCGACCACGCCATAGACTTTTACACACTTCCGGCCTGGCGCAACAGTTTTCCAATCCTCCAAAGACCACGCCCCCTTCAATTTACAACGGATATTTCTTTTCTTTACACCGTAGACCTCCTCACCCATGCCTTCCCTAATCTTCCCCTGCTTGCGGCTAAACTTCCGGCGACTCTATCCCTCTCTCTGCCGTCCATCTGAAACCCCACACCCCACCCTTCTCGTTCTTTCAAGCAACTCAGACACCCGTTTTACCCACTCAGCACCATCAATTTCATTCAGAAGACCAACAATTAGCCACGGTTACAAATTATTGGAGATATTGGAAATTTTGTCAATTTTATTCCGTCGACAAAAAAAAAATTAACCACGGTTACAAATTATCGGAGATATTGGAACTTTTGTCAAATTTATTTAGACAGCAAACAATTAACCACAGTTACAAATTATTGGAAATAGTGCACATTATTGGACACAACAAAAACTTATCTAGGACGACGATAATCTACTTCTGGATTAGGATTTCCTTGGCATCCTATCAGATGACATCTTCCTATATTGCAAGAACCCCCATTGCAGTTCTTCAGATGATACCTCCATCGGTCCCTCGTGATGAAGACATGGCCACATGGACACCTCCTCCGAAACCACTGAAATCATTTACAAGACAATTAATTATTATCTTCGCCAATCACCTCTGTCAAAAAAACAAATTTTCTTACCTGGATTTTTGACGAATTTTCCCGACTTTTCTGAATAAGCTGACGCCAAGTAGGTACACAGAATCTGACTGAATTACATCTCGCATTTTTTCGCTTGTTGCGGTAGGGCCACCGCTTACTAGAGGTGAATATTGTGAAAGAGCAGGTTTGGTCAACTTCATTAATGCCAAACCCCCTAATTAGTATGCCACTCACCTCCATCATCTCTTACAAACAAGAGACAATGTTGCAAACCAGCTTCGTCACAACCTCATCTGAGATATCTCTATTCAGCGTGGCCAACCGGTTCATAATCGGTCAACACATAGGTATCAATTAGGTATTGCTAGGATATATAAGCGAAAGCGCAGCCACCAGACGGGGAACGGTGGAGGACGGGTCGAGGAAGTATTCTGTGCTACTGCAGGTTACCTCTCCCAATATTATTGGGAGAGGCAGAGTTCTGCCTGTTGTACAAGTAATGAATAAAACCTCTATAAGAAAAGTGCAATCAAGTCTCATCTCGCCTCACAATTATTACGCACACACAACAACAACGACGACGATCGTCTCATCTGCCTCATCACCACCATCAATGCAGTCAACCCCCCATAAACGGAACTTCACACTGCCCAGTGAGGACGACGACGAACAGGTCAAAAAGTCGCTGTTTCAGTTGGTGAGTGGGTTCAATTATGGGCGAAACTCGACTAAATTAATTTGAAATTATTACTTGGAATTACTTGAATGTTTAGATTTCGTTTCAAATTTCTTACAGGACTGCTACCTTCACAATTTAATTCAGTAAACGTCAAATTTAGTTCCGGCCTTGGCACCCTCACGATTTTCCAAAAAGGTGAGAGAATGATAACCTGAAATTACGAAAATGGCATAAACTGAACAACGGTCGTTTTCCACCATTTTATTACCGTGAAATATTCATTTAATCCACTATGTTTTCTATTTTGTCCCATATTTCGTGTTCTGGATAAACCATACGCTGATTTACCCTTAATTAATAATTAATTTTCATATAAAATCTGTTTCTCATCTCCAAATATTGACGTAATAATCTTATGTGCAGAGAGAACAGTCAATGGATCTTAACGAGGGAACTTCCGATCAGTATCAGACGTCGCCATTGGACGGGAGGAAGGTCACCCACCCGCACCAGAAGTTTCTGGGAGGACTGCAAGTTCTCATTCTCGCAGCGGAGATATTGAAGGAAGAAGAACGTTCCCAAGAGAAGGGAAGACTCCCTCCTCACACCGTCCAACTAGCCCGTGACGATAACCACGTGCTCTCGCCTTCAACTAAAAATGGGTCATCGAAGGCCAAGAAAACACCGCAAATTGGCAAAAAGCGTGGTAGTCTCGAGAAAATCGTCCCCTGCAAAACATGTCCGCGTACCTTCACCAACCCAACCAGTGCTGCCCGCCACACCCTCACCCACCTCACTTCGGACGAGCTGAAGCAGTCCTCACTTTTCCATGAAAAGTGCCCCCACTGCGAGAAAGTGTTCTTCCATCGTCGCGACTTTACCTACCACGTGGCTGCGCACGAAGGTCGGAAGAACCACGTCTGTCCCATCTGCAATAAGAGATTCGCCAGAAAGGGAAATTTAATCTATCATCTCGTCATCCACTTCAGACGCGAGGAGCGCGCGGCGGTGGCGCGACACGGCTGCTACCTTTGCACCAAGCGTATCAAAACTCGAGCAGATCTCAATCGTCATGTTGAGTGCCACACGACGGAAAAAGTTGGTGAGAAGTGTACCACTTGTGGGAAAACATTCTTCTCCAACCTAGGCCTGACCATTCACCGGTTCACCCATCTCACCGAAGAGCAAAAGGCCGCCCTCGTCAACCAAGGTTTGGCTAAAGAGTGCTCATTTTGCCTGAAGAAATTTCCCAACAATGGGACTTACCGTGCCGACGTGGTCACCCACATGGAGGAGAAACGGTTCCTCTGCGACCAGTGTGGTGCCCAGTTTGTTCGCAATAGTGCCTTAAAATTGCACAAGCTCCGTCACACTTCGAACTCAAAACCGTTCAGTTGCGACGAATGTGACCATACTTTCACTCGAGAACCAAATCTGGTCATCCACAAGGAGACGGTTCACCGGGAGCGGAAGGATATCAGCTGCTCCCAGTGCGATAAGATGTTCAGCACGAAGAGTCGCATGGTGACGCATGTGAGCAGTGTCCATGCCCAAATCCGCCACCCCTGCCCCCACTGCGGGAAGACGTTCACGCAGAAAGGCAGTCTTGGTACGCATTTGAAGAAGCTTCATCCCCCAGAGTAAAGTCGTTTTCCCCCAAACAACGTCACAACAAGGGACGACGTATTTCCTATACTTTACATTTTTATATTTTCCCGACTGACGACAAAATAATTACTCTTATTTGAAGGATAAAAATTACATACTGGACTTATTATGTTGTAAACATGGCTCAATGTTTGTTATTTTTTTGATCGTGACGATTTTCAAAGTGATTCTGTTTTGTGTAAAGCTCTGCTCGTTTCTCGCTCCCATTTTTCCATGCGTCGACACGAATGCAAGGCTGGAAGAGTGACGACGACATATTTCATCCTTAACGAGAAGAATGTGGCCAATTCGTGCAGCAGACGTAAATCGCACAGGGCTCGTATTGCGGGTTGCATATCGAAACAGACGAAGGGGAACAAATTATTAGCGTTACATATCTATTTCGAGGTTTTCAGAAACACAAATATTTCCGTTATTGTTTCAAAAATCGTAATTGTTTCAATACAACGATATATGTGCTTAGAGAAATTCGATTTAAAATCCATATTCTGCAATTCAGATATTGCAAAAATTGTTATCGTCGTAATTTTTTCGTACATGTTTAGTAAATATTTGTGTGTATTGTTTTTGTAAATGTGTACTAAATGTGTATTTTAGGGAGATTTCTTTTAAATTTATATTCGCCATCTTTACACAATAAATCAAAAATTGAGCATAAGTATGACAAGCCGACAAAAAAAATGAACTGAATTTGCGAGATTTTGCATCCAAATTTCGTACGTAGTGGTCAATTTACATGGCATAAGGAGTGTTTCATTTTTCACATTCTAAACTAATTTTGGCCTAGCCCCTTTCAAAACACGGCCAAAATTGTGCAAAATAGTTTCGAACATCCAAAACGTCGAACCGCATGCAACGCTGGAAATGGGGTCCAATGTTACAAGTTAACGATTTATTTTGTAAGTTTATGCACAGATTTTTAATCTCCATTAATTTTAAGCATTTTTGAGTTTCTGTAATACCACGAAATTTGGGAAAACTTTTATTTCCAGTATTTTTATTACTTGAGAAATTCAGAAACTTTCTAAACCATGCTGTATTACAGAGTAAAATGCTCCAAACTAAAGGGAGACTACATATAAATATACTTCAACCGAGTATGGAATGAAGAACTTGTAGCATTTTGCCTCATTTTCTATTTGGAACGTGAAAAATTCGTGTTAAAAACTGCTTAAAACCGGTTTTGGATGATGGTTAAAACCACAGCGAAACCCTGCACAACAGAAATTAAAAGATTCATCAAACTGCACATTTCCTTTACATATACACGCGTCCTTTTGCATGAGACAAAATACATAAGAAATCCAGACTCCATCTTATCCAGAAATCTTCTTGTCCAGCTCTCGCTCAAATTCCATTTTGATAAAAGCCCCACATAATTCTGATGTGAGTGTAAAGTCGAAAAGATATCACTCGGATAAGAGGAGAGGAAATTAATTCTGATTCTTACCAAAATTTCAGAGATTGTGGACGCACGCATATTTCCCCCAGAGGCACGAAAATCGTCTCAATTTGCATGGAATAATTAATTACTAACCAATCAGCCTCACCACCACCGTCGTATTTACTGTGGCACGATTTTCTTGCTTAATCTTCCACACAGAAATCATTACTCTGCATTTTGCTGGCTTATTGGTAGATCAGTTAATACGAGACTTGGCAGATAAGCAAAGATATCTCTCCGTCGCAGGGAGACAGAGACCAACAAGCTCACAGCCAAACAAGAGCTCACTTCCTGGTCCAGGAATTTCCTCAAATTTTAAACATTTCCACTCGGTTTGCATTGAGAAAAAGAGAGCAGGACGATACAAAGGAAGGAAGCTGGACGTCGGCTTAAAATCGTGGAAGTCTGGAAAGATTTTTAACTCCGCACTGGAACCGACTGCATCCCGATCAGATGCAAATTCACGGAAGGAGTCGTAGGTAAGGCTGCATTCTGAATTTCCACACAAAATGTCTTTTAACTCCTCGAGATGCTGACCTAAGAATAATAATATTTTGTGTAGCGAAAGGGATCGAATTTTGCTAGCGGAGGAACTTAACGCGACGTTGCCAATGGAGGTCAACCGTACTACGCAGCAAAAATTGCCAAGACGAGAGAAAACACTCGTCACCACAACGGAAAAAGGGGACCGTTTTCAAAAGAAAGGACGACTTTCTCCTCACTCCGCCAAACCACGTGCGCCAACAGCACGTAACGAAAACCACGTGCAGTCCTCTTCAGCTAACAAGGGGCCATCTTTAGTCAAGAAATTACCTCAAATTGCCCATAACAAAATCTTCCTCTGCAAAATATGCCTACGTCCCTTCACCAACGCAACCAGTGCTCACGTCCATGCCCGCACATTGAAACATTTCCATTCAGTTTTTACATTGAGAAAAAGAGAGCAGGACGACACAAAGGAAGAAAGCTGGACATCGGCTTAAACTCGTGGAAGGGCTTGAAACACTGGAAATATTTTTTTATGAACCGACTGGATCCCGAACCCAACGAAGGAGTCGTAGGTAAGATTGCATTCTGAATTTCCATACAAAATCTCTCTTTTAACTCCTCCAGATGCTGACCTAAAAATAATATTTTGTGTAGCGGAAGGATCGATTTTTGCAAGGGGGGCAACTTCCGAGCAGAACGAGACGTTACCAATGGAGGTCAACCGTACTACGCAGCAGAAATTGCCCCCACGACAGAAAGCGACCGTTCCCACAACGGAGAAAGGGGACCGTTTTCAAGAAAACGGAGGACTTCCACCTCATTCCATCCAACCACGACCACCACCACGTGACGATAACCACGTGCCCTCGCCCTCAGCTAATTAGAGGCCAACAAAAGTCAAGAAATTACCCCACGTTGCCAATAAGAAATTCTTCCCATGCAAAATCTGCCTGCGTCCCTTCACCAACGCAACCTCTGCTCACCTCCACGCCCGCACCCACCTCAACCCCCACGAGCTGAAGAAGTCCTCACTTTTCTATGAGAAGTGCCCCCACTGCCAAAAAGTGTTCTTCATTCGTCAACACTTGACCATCTCTTGGTCCACTTGAGTCGAGAGGAGCGCGCGGAGGTGCAGCAGGGATGTCGACACGTCTGCTACTTCTGCACCAAACGGTTCCTAAGGTCATCCCATCTCAATCTTCATCTTGTCGTCCACACGAAGGAAAAGTTGGGCGGGACGTGTCACACTTGTCGAAAAGTGTTCTCCTCCAAACGAGCCCTGATCAGACATCGGTTCGCCCACCTCTCCGAAGATGAGAAGGTCGCCCTCGTGAAGCAAGGGTCGAGTCGAGAGTGCCTCTTCTGTCAGAAGAAACTCCCCGATAACCGGGCTTATCATTCTCACCTGGTCTCCCACACGAAGGAGAAACCATTTCGCTGTGACCAGTGTGGGGTGCTGTTCGCTCATAAGTACGATTTAAATAAGCACGCGCGCACTCACAGCCCGGATCCGCGACCTTTCAAATGCAGCGAGTGCGACCATGCCTTCAGTCGAAGAGAATATCTGGTGAGACACAAGAAGATAGTTCACCGGAAGTTGAAGGACATCGAGTGCCTCCAGTGTTCCAAGAAGTTTGGGACCAAGGGTCACATGGTGACACACGTGAAGGGTGTTCACCTCAAGAGAAGGCATCCCTGCCCCCACTGCGGCAAGACGTTCGCGCAGAAAGGCTATCTTGGGACACATTTGAAGAAGCTTCATCAATCACTTCATCAAGCGAGTCAATCACTTCGCTATGGAGCCTCGAGAGTTTGGGCATTACAGATCCAGCGGAAGTGAAGAGCAAAACGGAGAGAGAAGAGGACACATTATGGAAGTTTCAAGAAACTGTCAAGCAGAATGAAGAGGGGCGGTATTCGGTTCGACTTCCGTGGATAGTTGAGAACCCCAATATTCCAGACAACCGAATAATAGCAGAGAAGAGGCTGGTGTCTGGAACCAAAAAGCTATTAGAAAAGAATAAGATCAATGACTACGGAGTGTTATTCAAACAATGGGTGGAGGAAGGATTTGTAGAAGAGGTCAGCACTCAGGATAACTGCAGTAAGGAGAGAGGAGTGCATTATCTTCCCCACCATCCGGTATTCAAGCCGCAAAGTTTGACCACTCCGGTGCGCCCAGTTTTCGACGCCTCGTGTAAAACTGGACGCAACCCGTCACTGAATGACTGCCTGGAGAAGGGGCCCAACCTGCTGGAACTAATCCCCTCTTTAATTTTACGCTTCCGGGGGAAGAAAGTTGGAGTAATAGCGGACATCCGGAAGGCGTTCCAGATGATAGAGGTGGATCCAGTGGACCGGGATTATTTAAGATTTCTGTGGTGGGAGGACGAGACGAAGAGAACAGAAATCAAGATATTTCGGCATAAGAGAGTCGTCTTTGGGGTGAATAGCAGTCCATTTCTACTGGGAGCGGTAATATCGTCGCATCTCGACACCACCGTGCCCGAAGAGAAAGTGGTAGCGAAGCAAGTGGCGAAATCATTTTATGTCGACAAGCTCGTCACGTCAGTGGACACGGTGGGAGAATTAGAAGATTTGAGAGAAAAGGCAACCCGACTTCTCGCCTCAGCAAAGATGGAGCTCCGCCAGTGGGAGTGTAGTGAGTGCCAACCTGGACCTGGCAGCGACTACATCTCTCACTCGGTCACGAGCGTCCTCGGGATGAAGTGGGATAAGGTGCAGGACTGCCTATTTGTCAATATTCCGAAGATTGAACTACCGGAAGTTATCACGAGAAGGACACTTTTGTCGCACACCCAGAGCGTGTTCGACCCGATGGGATATCTTAGCCCCGCCACCATCATCCCCAAAATATTATTGCAAGAATCGTGGAAAGTGAACAAATCGTGGGATGATGGTTTGGATGAGAAGATGCAGAGAGAATTTAGAGAGTGGTGGGGCCAGATTGGATTAATGGAGAAAGTGTGTATCCCTCGGTACATTGGAATTGGAATTCGGACTACCTACCAACTTCACGGGTTTTCCGACGCAAGTAGATTTGCATACGCAGCGGCAGTATTCGTAAGAGTGGATGACGGCGAAAGGATCAAGTGTCATCTACTTCAAGGAAAGTCAAGAGTAGCTCCATTTCGACCTACCACCACAATACCGAGATTGGAATTAATGGGATGCGTCATATTAGCAAGATTGATGTCGACCGTGGTGGAGGCGTTATCATTGCAGTCAATTGAGAAGTTTTATTGGAGCGATTCGTCTACTGCGCTAGCGTGGATAAAAAGAAATAATGAGTGGGGGACATTTGTGGGAAATCGCGTAAAAGAAATCTGCAAATTGTCATCCCCAGATGAGTGGTCACATGTCCCAGGAGTGATCAACCCAGCGGACCTTCCATCAAGGGGTTGCTCCCCGCAGAAGTTAGTAGACAGTAAATGGTGGGAGGGACCAGCATGGTTGTCAAAACCGAAGGAAAATTGGCCAACCGGACAAGAAGATACAGACGACGAGGCGGTGGATAAAGAGAAGAAGAAGATTAGTGTCTCACTCGTGGCGATGGGGGCAGCGGTCCCATGGTACGCACAGAGATACTCTCTCGCCTCCCGCAATATACGACTAATTGCCTGGATGCTTCGATTTGTGGCAAGATGTAGACGAGCTAAAACTGGATCTGGAAATCTCACACAAGAAGAGTTATGGAATGCGGAGAAAGTTGTGACGAGGATGATCCAGTCTGAAACATTTGGTGAAGAAAGGTGGAAGAATAAAGCTCACTTAAAAATCAAGCGATCCGCAGATGGACTTCTAGTCGTCGAGGCAAAGTTGGTTAATAGCGAAGATGAGAGAAATTACAAATTCCCAATACTACTCCCTCATTGACACGAGTTTGTGGCACAATTAATCCGAGAAGAGCATTTACGCCACGCACATGGGGGATTCAGTTTCTCATGGGAAAATTGAGGGAAAAGTTCTGGATAATTCAGTCACGTCGGGCCATCCGGAAGATTGTAAATAGATGTGTAAGATGTCGGAGGTTTGCTGCAAAAAGTTGCGAAGTTGAGGCAGCACCACTTCCAAAAAATCGGGTTTTGGACGCCGCAGTGTTCCAGATCACTGGAGTGGACCTCGCCGGCCCCTTATTTCTTGCTGACGGGAGCAAAGTTTGGATTGTTCTCTTCACGTGCGCCGTGTACAGAGCCGTACACTTAGAGTTGGTCGCGGCGTGCTCTACAGAGGCATTTATTCTCGCATTGTCGAAATTTATCAGCAGAAGAGGGAGGCCAACGACAATCTATTCGGATAATGGTACAAATTTTGTGGGCACCGACAACATTTTTAAGAAATTGGACTGGAAAAAGATTGAGTCAACAGCAAGCGTACAGAAGATTCAATGGATTATGAATCCTCCTTCAAGTCCGTGGTGGGGAGGATTCTGGGAACGATTAGTAAGAAGTGTTAAGGATTTACTGAAGAGAATGTTGGGCAAATCTAGAGTCAATTTGGAGCAACTCTCAACCTGTATTTGCGAAGTGGAGAGTGTAATTAACGCCCGCCCCTTAACATATGTAACAGAGGATAATGATGACCTCATCCCTTTGACACCGTCAATTTTCATGCAGAGTCAGACGAGAGCAGAGTTTCCCGAATTGAGAGAAGTGGACCAGGGGGCTCTAATTACAGAATATAAAGCGATGCAGATCCTCAGAAGAGAATTGAGAGAGAGATTCCGCAAGGAATATTTGGGTCTGCTGGTGCAAAGAGGAAATGAGAAAGAAGGTCAATGAACAATTAACCTTGGATTTGAGAAAAGGTTAACAAGAGGTAGAAAAGAGTCGTAGTTTAGAATAGGAACAGAGCAGACTTACTGCTGAGACAGTGGTCCTAATAGTGGACAATTGGTGTAATAATTAGTGAGTTAATTGTGACAATAAATTGGCGTTGCATTAAAGAGATCGTCATTTGTTGTTCACATATTATTTTGCACCGTTTCTCGGAGGAAAGCAGAAGTCTCATCCTTTCAACCGGCGAAGAGACTACACCCACCCAAACCTGAATAGGCTCGCTGCTGGTAGTGGGAGTGGCTATTCAAAAGACGGGATGGAGACGCAGCATAAATTGCAGAAAGCGACCGTCCCCACAACGGAGAAAGCGGAAAGTGCTCCAAAGAACGGACAACTTCCTCCTCACTCCGTCCAGCCACGGCCAACAGCACGTAGCGACAACCACGTGACCTCAGCTAACAGGGGGTCATCGAAACCCAAGAAAATACCGCAAATCGGCAATGAGAAAATCTTCCCATGCAAAATATGCCTTCGCCCAATCACAAACCCGACCAGTGCTCACGTTCACGCCCGCACCCACCTCAACCCCCACGAGCTGGAACAGTCCTTACTTTTCCGCAAGAAATGCCCCCACTGCGAAAAAGTGTTCTTCCTTCGTCGCGACTTTACCGACCACGTGAATGCGCACGAAGGTCGGAAGAACCATGCCTGCCCCACCTGCAAACAGAAGTTCACCACGAAAGCGCATTTGACCACGCATCTCTTCGTCCACCTGAGCCGCGAGGAGCGCGCGGAGGCGCGGCAGGGGTGGCGACACGGCTGCTACTTCTGCAGCAATCCATTCCAAAGTCCATACCACCTCACTCGTCATCTGCTGACCCACACGACGGAAAAAGTGGGCGGGAGGTGTCCCACTTGTGGAAAAACGTTCACCTCCCAACATTCTCTGACCAATCGTCGTTTCTCCCACCTCTCCGAAGACGAGAAGGTCGCCCTCGTGAAGCAGGGTTCGGGTCGGATGTGCCTCTTCTGTCAGAAGATATTCCCCGACAACCGCACATATGAAGTCCACCTGGTTTCCCACACGAAGGAGAAACCATTTCCCTGCGACCAGTGTGGGAAGCAGTTCAGTTTCAAGTCTCACTTAAACATACACAAACGGATTCACACTTCGAACCCAAAACGGTTCAAATGCGACGAATGTGGTCAAGCGTTTAGTCAGAAACATCACCTGACCAGACACCAGAAGACGGTGCACCGGAAGTTGAAGGACATCGCGTGCCTCCAGTGCGGCAAAATGTTCGGCACGAAGAGTGACATGGTGACACATTTGAACAATATTCATCTCAAGAGAAGGCACCCCTGCCCCCAGTGCGGACACACATTCTCGCATAAATCCAGTCTAAGGAGACACTTGAAGAAGATTCATCCCCAAGATTAAAGTACTTATAATCCAAAACCACGTACAAGCAAATGGAATAATAACTCTGATACTTTGTATTTTTATATTTGCTGATTTCACTATTTATGACAAGTTCATAGTTCTCGTATGACCGATAAAAATGGTATAATCGAATTTTTAATTTGTAATAATGACACACTTTTTGTTACCGTGTTGACGATTTTTATGTAATTAGTAAAGTATTTCCGTTTTTTATAAAACTCTCCTGGCGTCTCGCTCCCATTTTTCCATGCGCCGACACAAATGCAGCGCTGGACCAGTGACGACGATATGTTTCACCGTGACGAGAAGAAAGACCAATTTGTGAATCACACTTAAATCGTGCAGGGTTCCTGTTGCATATAGCAACGGACGAAGGTGGACAAATAATTCTGCAGGAAATCTCAGTTAGCATACATTACACGTTATTATGATACCCAAACCTCAATAATTGATGAAGCGTGGTGCAATTTCTTATCGTGAGGATTCCATCAAAAATCTCTAAAATTCCAGCATAATCTTCATTCCGTTGGAAACTTCCATTTTATTTGAGAAAGAAAATCAGGCAGTGTTTCTCTCCACCAGAAATGAAACCATACTTCGGCCGGAGATGGATGAGAATAAATCTATCCAGAATTCCTCTTGTCCAGCCTTCGCTCAAATTCCATCTTGACAAAAGTGCCACATAATTCTGATATGAGTGAAATGGCGAAAAGATATCGGTCGGATAAGAGCAGAGGAAATTAATCCTGATTCATAGCCACATTTCAGAGATTATGAAAGCACACAAATTTCTTCCAGAGGTGAACGAAAATCGTCTCAATTTGCATAGAATAACTAATGAATGAGCATCATCACCACCGTTTTGCTTTTGTGCCATGATTTTCTTGCTTAATTCTCCACACACAAATATGTAATTCTTCATTTTGTTGCCGTTTCGGATACGCAGAAAAGCCAAGTCATCTCTCGTCCGAGAGACCAACGAGCTCTCCAGCAAGCAAGAGCTCACCTCCTTTTTCCAGAAATTTCCTCAAAGTTTCAATATTTTCACCCAGTTTACATCGAGAAAAAGAGAGCAGAACGTCGTAAAGGAAAGAAAGCAGGACGAGCTGAGTGAATGTCTCTTGACAATTGGGAAGAAGCTGACAATTGGGAAAGTTCGACGAGAGAAAACTTTTTCACTCCAAAAACACGTCCAAATTTGAAAAACGAACCGTTGGTAAGATTGCATTCGTAATTTTCATATAAAATCTTTCCTTATTCAACTCGAAATGCTGACTTAAAAATATTCTGCGCAGAGAAAGGCTTCTTAGCGGGGCAACTTCCGAGTTGGACGACACGTTCCAGTTGGACAAGATGGTTTTCCATCAGAAGTTGCTCGTCCCCACAACGGAGAAAGTGGAAGGAGGTGAAAGTTTTCAGGAGAACGAACAATTTTCCGTACAACCACGACCAACAGCACGTGACGATAACCACGTGCTTGCCCCTTCAACTAGCCACAGGTCACCAAAAGCTAAGAAATCTCCCCTCCAACTTAGCAGAAAAGGGAAGAAGCGTGATCGTCTCTTCATGGGGAAAACTTTCCCATGCAAAATCTGCCTGCGTCCCTTCAACAACGCGACTAGTGCTCACACACCCCTCAACCCGGACGAGCTGGAACGGTCTTCAATTTTCCATGAGAAATGTCCCCACTGCGAAAAGGTTTTCTTCACTCGTCACCAGCTTACCAACCACGTGAACGCGCACGAGGGTCGGAAGAACCACGCCTGTCCCACCTGCAAGCAGAAGTTCACCCAAAAACCCCACTTGACTGCGCACCTATTCGTCCACATGAGCGGCGAGGAGCGCGCGGAGGTGCGGCAGCGCTGGCGACACGTCTGCTACTTCTGCAGCAAACGGTTCAAAATTCTATCCCATCTCAGTCGTCATTTGCTGGTCCACACGAAAGAAAAGTTGGGCGGGAGGTGTCACGTGTGTGGAAAATCGTTCTCCTTGAAGCAAATCCTGGCCAGGCATCGGTTCACCCATCTCTCCGAAGACGAGAAGGTCGCCCTCGTGAAGCAGGGGACGAGTCGAGAGTGCTTATTCTGCCAGAAGAAATTCCCCGATAACAGCACTTATCATAAGCACCTGGTCTCCCACACGAAGGAAAAACCCTTTCGTTGCGACCAGTGTGGGAAATTGTTCCCTCGTAGTAAAAGCTTACAATTGCACAAGCTTATTCACACTTCGGAGCAAAAACTGTTCAACTGCGACGAGTGTGAGAAAGCGTTCACTAGTAAACAAAATCTGGTCAGACACGAGAAGACCGTTCACCGGGGGCTGAAGGACATCGCTTGTTCCGAGTGCGCCAAGAAATTCGGGACGAAGGGTGACATGGTGCGACATGTGAAGAGTGTTCATACCAATATCCGCCACCCCTGCCCCCACTGCGGGGTGACATTCACGCAGAAATGCCATCTTGGGAGACATTTGAAGAAGTTGCATGCTTAAGATCATTCTGCTCATCAAAAGCAAATTCAAGAATAACTTTTATATATTTTGTATTTTTATGTTTTCTTGATTTCACTGTTTATGACAAGTTAATGATTCTCCTAAGACTGATAAAAATGCCATAATTGAATTATTAAGGTTTAAACATAACCCGATTTTTGCTTTCTTTTTACCCTGATTTTTATGTAGTAAAGTCATTCTGTTTTGTGTAAAACTAACTCTGCTCGCGTCTCGCCCCCATTTTCCCATGCGCCGACACAAATGCAAGGCTGGATCAGTGACGACGACGTATTTCATCGTGACGAGAAGAAGCGTCAATTTGTGCATCACATGTAAATCGTGCGGGGCTCAGACGGAGGTATTTGCAGGGTGGTTGTGGTTTCTGTGGTGTAATGAATCGCGAGAATGATTGATTGAGATTCTGTGCCGCATATGGACAGTGTTATATTGTAATGCAAGAAAATCGTGTGTCAAGTAAGACGGATGATGATGCTTTTGATCATTCGCCAATTATTACTCCATGCAAATTGAGCCTCTTTGAATCTCGTAGTCAGTCCCTCTGCCAAAAAGGCGACAAAATGCGGATTAATTTCTGCCTTGAGAATACAGCAACGGGACGGGACGGTAGCCGAAGAAAATCATGCCTTAAAATGATGGTTGTGATGATGCTCATTAATTATTTCATGCAAATTGTCCAGCCCTGGGAGAAATCTGCACCTCCACAATCTCGCAATTTTTTTATGAATCCGAATTCCTTTCCTCTCCTACTGCTGTTTTTTACATTTTCATTCGTGTATACCAAAATTATGTGGCAGATTCACCAAAATGAACCACTGTAGCGGAATATGAAGTAAGAAATTCTGCATTTGGAGTCTGGATTTCTTAACTTTTCTCATGCCAGGTGACCCATGCATGCATATTTAATTTAATGGAAATGAGCACCTTGATAAGTTCTTTATGCAATGTAAATTGTTCACTTTTCTGGACGACTTTGTATGTATCTTTATTGCATAAATAGCCAGTAGCTCTTGCAAGTCACAATCACATAGTTAGTTACATAGTTAAGTCAAATTTTAGATTATAATAATTGTGATAGTAGTAGTCAGGGGAGTAGAGGGAAAACCAGACTTTGGTGGTCGGTCTGGAAAACCTCTACCTGAACTGGGAATGATGCCCAGTTCACCATTCGGCCCTGACTACCTGTAAAACCCAGGTTCGACCAATGCAAGACAGAGATTATAGGCGATTTACATATGAGGAAAAATGGTGACATCCAAATGAATAGGCGCCGTGCTGGCGGAGACACGACGGGTTCTGGGCTGGAGCGGAGCGTCCATGGACCACAAACTAACAAATGACCCATCAGGGTTCGGCCTAAGTGACCCCATAAAGGGGCCATAAAACACCCCACAAACTAACCTCTCCCACCGCAGCACATGACTAGGTCATGGGAACCCCGTAGACCTACCCCAGCCGCCCCCACCAGCACTGCACACACTCACTCTTCCGTCGACCACTCCCACATGCTCACCACCCCAACATATCAAACAAAGGTCTTACCTGGGGGAGCTCCTCCAAAGCGTAGATCCTCCAGTGCACAGGGTCCGACGAGATCCATCTTCGCCTGATGGCTCAGCTTGTCGTTGCTGGGACGGGTGTGGCAGGGGGTGTCACCAGGCACGCAGGTGGGAGGAGTGAGTGGACGAGGCTCACATGGCGAAAAAGCCTTGGGACACACTTAACTGGCCCTGGCACACCCGCGACCCAGATGGAAGAGGATCCAGATGCAGAGCGAGAGAGAGACACGTCTTGCACAGGAGGAGGCTAAAGAGGAACTCCTTTCTGGACGACTTTTATGGATGCAAAAAATCTCGCAAAAATAGTACATTTGTTTTCAGCTTGTCATCTCTATGCTACATAAATTCTTGAGTTCGTATGTATGTATGTCACTTCTACTGGAAGAAATTTGCATATGCGTGCAAAATATTGATGATCAGGACGGACTTGCGATTGTCTTGTTTAATTCTCCACATAGAAAAAGCAGTTTGTTGGTTTTTTGGGTGGAGGGACCGACTACGTAAAACTCTTCGTTGGTGGGATATGCAGATAAGCGAAGCCATCTCTCTGTCCGAGGGAACAGTGACCAACAAGCTCCCAAACAATCAAGAGCTCACCTCCTCCAGAAACTTGCCAAATTTTGCACATTTCCACCCAGTTCACATCGAGAAAGAGAGGGCAGAACGACGCAAAGTAAAGAAAGCTGGATGTCGGTTTAAAATCGTGGATCCGCCAGAAACGAAGGATTCGACGAGGGAAAAATTTTTTGCTTCCGAACCGACTGCATCACACGCCCAAACTTGAAGAAGAGGTCGTTGGTACGATTACTATATCTAAATTTTCATATAAAATCTATCTCCTGATTCTGCCCTAATAATAATGTTAAATAATTTGTGTAGTGACAGGGTTCGAGTATTGTTAGCGGGGTAATTTCCGAGCAGAACCAGTGGACGGGATGGAGGTCAGCGATGCACACCAGAAATTACCCAGAAGACAGCAAGCGACCGTCCCCACCACGGAGAAAGTGGAAAGTTCTCAAGAGAAAGGACAACTTCCTCCACGCTCCGTCCAACCACGACAACCACCACGTGCCCTGGCCCCCAACTTCCAACAGTTTATCAAATCCCAAGAAAATCTTCCCATGCAAAATATGCTTTCGCCCCTTCACCAACGCCACCAGTGCTGCCCGCCACGCCCACACCCACCTCAACCCCCACGAGCTGGAGAAAACTTCAATGTTCCATGCAAAGTACCCCCACTGCGAAAAAATGTTCTTCATTCCGCGCGACTTTACCAATCACCTCTTCGTCCACCTGAGTCCCGAGGAGCGCGCGGAGGCGCGGCAGGGCTGGCGACAAGTCTGCTACTTTTGCAGCAATCCATTCCAAAAGGTGTCTCATCTCAGTCGTCATCTTGTGACCCACACGACGGAAAAGTTGGGAGGGAGGTGTCACATTTGTCGAAAAACGTTCACCACCAATGATTCCCTGGCCCTTCATCGGTTCGCCGCCCATCTCTCCGAAGAAGAGAAGGTCGCCCTCGTGAAGCAGGGTTCGGGTCGGATGTGCCTCTTCTGTCAGAAGATACTCCCCGACAACCGGGCTTATCGTTCTCACCTGGCCTCCCACACGAAGGAGAAGCCCTTTCGCTGCGACCAGTGTGAGAAGCAGTTCAGTGCGAAAAGTAACTTAAATCTGCACAAGCGCATTCACACTTCGAACCCAAAATGGTACAAATGCGACGAATGTGGTCAAGCCTTCAGTCATAAACATCACCTGACCAGACACCAGAAGACGGTGCACCGGAAGTTGAAGGACATCGCGTGCCTCCAGTGCCCCAAGATGTTTGGCACGAAGAGTGACATGGTGACACATGTGAACAATATTCATCTCAAGAGAAGGCACCCCTGCCCCCAGTGCGGTCACACATTCTCGCAGAAATCCGGTCTAAGGAGACATTTGAAGAAGATTCATCCCCAAGATTAAAGTACTTCTAATCCAAAACAACCAAGCAAAATCAATAATAACTTTTATACTTTGCATTGTTATTAATACTTTCTTAATTTCACTGTTTATGACGAGTTCATTATTTTCGTACGACTGATAAAAATAGCATAATCGAATTTTTTATTTGTAATAATGACCCCATTTTTGACCACAACGATTTTTATGTAGTAAAGTATTTCTATTTTTTATAAAACTCTGCTCCTTTCTCGCTCCCATTTTTCCATGCGCCGACACAAATGCAAGGCTGCACCAGTGACGACGACATATTTCATCGTGACGAGAAGAAGGGTCAACTTGTGCATCACACTTAAATCGTGCAGGGCTCAGGTTGCAGGTTGCATATCCGAACTGACCAGGATGAACAAATAATTCTGTAGGAAGTCTCAGTTTGCATACTACTTATGATACGCAGCCCATTTGATGAATGGTTTTTCATCTCCACTTCATCTCCAGTGGCTGCGGAAGTGTGTGGACAGAGTTTCCTCCTCTTTGGATGCAAATATCTCGGCCAAACGTGCCCATTGGGAGATCGTGTCTTTCCCAAATTTCATACTAATCAAATTCGTGATCAATTCACACTAATTTGCCCAAAATCTGAGAGGATACGCTGGGAGAAGTCCATTCTTAGTAGTCAAGTTCTGAGTATAGAGGTCGAATGTCATATTTACAAAGATACGCAGCGAGAAATTATCTCATTTCCATGAATGCTCATCATTTCCAAGTAAACTGATATCACACGAAAAGTGTGGAGGTTTATATATGTTAAGAAAGCCGTCTTCTTATCCATGTCAGGTCACTACCAATTACATGAATTACTTAACTTTACACGGAATAATTTGCGATATCATGACACGAGACAAGTTAATGAGCTAGGTTACCCCGAAGATGCGACACTTTTTATGTGAGCAGATCGCATTCACATCCATCTCAGCAATTCTGGAAATCATTTCTTGCCAATCTGTAATCCCACTGGAAACGATGAAAACTCAAAATCCGGCATTATTTCCACTCTTCATACTTCTCGTCACTCTTCTCGTCTGCTTTACGGTAAAAACTATATTCTTACCTTAAAAGATAAAAGAAAATACGACTCTCCCAAATAATTGGCGTAACAATATAACTAATTCGCATATATAATCGGAGCGGTCTCGCTCCGATTTTGACGAAACGACGCTAATTATGTAACCTTAGATAAATAATTAAACACGTGTTTCAGGATTTTTCATAATGCTCACTTTAAACGAAATTATGATGAAATCCGTAAACAAGAATTTGTATTTTTGTCCCTCGCGAGACAAATGTCACGGTAAAAATGGAACTTCTCGCTCACGGATTCCGTCTTAATTTCGTTCAAGCTGAGCATTATGAAAAATCCTGAAGCACGTGTTTAATTATTTATCTTTAGCGTGGTTTCGTCAAAATCCGAGCGAGACCGCTGGCGTCATCGCATTGTGAGTACACAAAATCTTGGCAATTCACATAATTTAACTTTCGAGCTGCATATATATGCAAATTAGATAAGTACGCCATACATTTTTATTCATACCTAATTTCCCCCCAGGAACAATACACCCCGGTCGAAGAGGAACTAGCAACATGTCAAAACTCTCTGGAAATTCAGAACGCGGCCACCTTATCGCGCCTCGAAACCCTGCGCGCTGAGTGGAGCGCCGTGCAGAAAGAGTTTCAAGATTTGCAAGCCCTCGGTTTGCAACGGGCGCAGCAATGGGACCAGACTTTTACTGACTTGCAAGCTGAAAATAACCAAATTAAGCGGAACATGACCCTCGCCGGGGGACAATTGAAGTCGAAATTCTCCTGTAAAGAGAAACGGGAGGCGGTCGAGGAGTGTCTGAGTTTCTGCCTTTTTCCGAACGGGTACGACACCTGCGAAGATTCGCCCAGCCAGGACAACTATTTCCAGATGTACGCCCGAAATTCGGGTCGTTCTCATTACAACACGGTGACTTACACCATGACAAAGGACTCTGTGGAGAAGGAGTGCAAATTGAAAATTGTCTTTGAATGATAATTTTGAATGTTTTGTTTTGCTCTGGTTTTTGCAAACTTGAACATGATGACACGTGCGAAATAAGAAATTAACGTAGGACTCGATGACTCATCGCCAAAATCGTTAAAAGCAGCTGCACATTTTTAATCATTTCTAGCCTCTAGGAATTTATTTCTAACTTCTGGGCGACGAATTTGTAGAGCAGGGAGTTCCCAACTTTTTGAAAATATACACTCCAGATTTTGACACTTTTTGGCGGAGGAGATCTCAAGTTTAAGAAGCCTTCAGAAACATTGGAATTCCTCGAAACTGGCTCAAACCACCCGACGACATTCTATTAATCAACTCACAGAGGACAAATTTGTCGTTCAGAATTTTAAAATAAATTCCCAGAGCGAAAAACTGATTAAAAATGGGTCAAGATTTTCACAATGTTGGTTGGTAAGACATCGAGTCCTACTTTAAATAAAAAATGATACTGAAAATTCAGCATTTGTAACAATACCCGGAAACGAAATAAATGATTTGTCAGTATAGCACTATTTTTGACATATGCATTTCACAAATATGCATGTAAAAATTTTCATGAAAAATGCCAGGTGGGTGATTATACATAAAATTTTAAAAAAACACAACCAACGACACATTTAATATGTTTACAAATCCACCCAGATAACAAATTCTCTAAAATTGGACTGAATCTTACAAAATTGTGTATGAATTTTAACTTGTATGTATGTACTCGTGTGTTTGTAAGCTCATTGCATTGGGACGACGGGGAAAGAAATGTGAAAGGAATGGTTGTTGAATGTCAAGCAGGAATTAGTCTGCTTAAGGTTAGGATAAATTTTTAAAATGGGATACATCTCCTAGTGCTCAAGGAGTGTTTATAGGGATGTATTTTTGTCCATGTAATAATAACTCTTCACATGAAACCTCCCACTTGTACTCCGCCTCAGTCGGAAGGGGTTAGGGAATTAATACGGACAGGACGCAATATAGATGCCAAATTGAGGACAAAAAAATTGTGGATAAAATTAATCTGGACTGGAATAAACATTGACAATACAAATCTGGACGGGGATAAATGTGGACACAAAAAATCTCAACAATATATTTTCAAATAATTAAAATGCGAATACTAAAGTATTCGCATCTCAAGCTGAAGTTCGGTCTGAAGCTAAGGAATCTTGTGAATGAGGTTGTGATGCTTAATGGGGAATGCAGTATTTTCATCGGCATTATCGAATACCGAATACCGGTATTTAACTTTTCAATACCTGTGTTCAAATTATAAATTTTACATATCGATACCATCTTTCATTCAACCAAATTTCACTTATTCAATCCGAAATTATAATACAGGATTGATAACGACATTTTTGGCAGATGCAATTATATGTAATATATCGGTTACGCCGATTTTTTTTAAATTTTCACAGTTAATGCCAAAGAAATTTGATAGGGAGATCATCGTCTAGAAAAATTTCTGGCAAGCTCAACTAAAATTCCGTTTTTGTACAAGAATTATTTATGAATAATTTTTATATTGCAAGCAAGCCTCATCCTTTTGTGTACCGCTAATATTAAATAACAGATTTTCAGCCATGGTGCAGGCTAACTCCTGAGAAGTGTAATTGTGAGTGATAATTTGGATAGTAAAATAAGGTAAGTCTCTAAAATCATATGTATATTGTGTACATGCAGCATTCTCATACTTATTACATGTCCATAATTTGTCTATGCGTGTCTATATCTATCAAGGGAACATACCGAGGTGTCCAACGAGTTAAGGGTCAACACCTATACCAAAATGACCACAACGCATGACTTATTAAACAAACTGAAGGAATTTCCGTGTAAAATTCACTTTTCGTCACGTTGTGACGATATTTGTGACGAGCGCATGACCATCGGGTTGCCAGAGAGGGAGAGGTCGGCCGCTGAACGATCAGGTCGACCACAGAGAAGCGTCGTCGTCTTCACGTCGTCTTCCGAGACGACAAATTCTTTCAAATTTTGAAAACATCTTGAAATTTGGAGAAAATTTTGAAATTTTGAGAAAATTTTGAAATTTTGAGAAAATTTTGAAATTTTGAGAAAATTTTGAAATTTTGAGAAAATTTTGAGAAAATTTTGAAATTTTGAGAAAGTTTTGAAATTTTGAAGAAATTTTTGAAATTTTGAAGAAATTTCAAAATTTTTTCAAAATATCAGGATGTTTTCTAAATTTGAAAGAATTTGTCGTCTCGGATGACGACGTGAAGACGACGACGCTTCTCTGTGGTCGACCTGATCGTTCAGCGGCCGACCTCTCCCTCTCTGGCAACCTCATGGTCATGCGCTCGTCACAAATATCGTCACAACTTGACGAAAAGTGAATTTTACACGGAAATTCCTGCAGTTTGTTTAATAAGTCATGTATTGTGGTCATTTTGGTATAGGTGTTGACCCTTAACTCGTTGGACACCTCGGTATGTTCCCTTGTATGATGTCCATATATAGTCCAGTCCATATTTTTCTTGACCCCGTTTTGGAGTCCACGTTCATTCCTTGTCCATGTTCATATTGTCCGTATTAATTCCGGCTCCCGTCGGAAGAAAGGTCTCAACAGAAGGCCAACATTAAGCCAAAGAAAAAAAGTATTTGGTCGAAATAAATTCAAAAAGATTAAGACATCTCTCTCTCTCGTTGTGGATGAAATGTGGTGATGAATGAGCATCAAGAGTGGCTTCAAGTGCTACGACTATCTATCTCTAAATACGTTGCTTAGGACTCGACTGGGATGACTTGTGGTACGGCTGAGAAGACGGAATAAAATGATGTGCAGCAGTAGCATTTGAAGAGAAAGTTGCTGCCTTTTTCTCTCAAAATGCATTCAACAATTGACCCACGAGAAGATGAGGGCAAAGATAACACCACCACGGATACATACAATATTTCACAAAGCTACACCCTCGAGTCAGGCCAATAAGAAGGGAAATGTCTCACTCGAGAGAAATTTCTCCCTCATCATTCATTTCAAAAGCCTTCATTTCATCACTTGACAAGATTTGTGCTTGATATTTCTGATACTTTTCTTCCTTGATTTCATATAATCGTCAACACCTTCCCCAATACCTGCGTGGCGTGTTTTAAGGAGAATAACGCCTTTTTGTAATGGTGACAACATAACAGCACCACCCCTCAAACTTATGATGATGGTTCTGTAATCCTGAAAATATGGGATGGTTGTCATTAAGAAGGAGGTGAGGTGAAGATATAGGTGCATGAATGACAGACAAATACAAAACTGCTCAGAAATAGGTAAAGAATCTTGCCAACTTTCTACCCTAGAAAATATTATGGATGGAGATCGACCTTTCACCTAAATAATCTTTGAGAAAGTAGTTTCAATGATGACGACGACGACTTTGTACATGTTCCAGATTTATCGCCGAATGGGAAATACAGATATTTATTTCAGCAGGAGACTACCTTAATTTAGCAAGTGGGGTACGTAGTCCCACCCACTGCAACAAAGCCACTCGTTCTCCTATTAGCGGTTTGCTAGACTTTCGTCTTTGCTTTCCTTCTGCCGCTACTGCTAAAAGTAAGATCGGTTGGTTTGGTCTGCGAGAACCATGACATCGACAGAAGGGCATGGGCCAATTCACGACTATTTACTCACTTGCTCCCATAATAACAACCACAACACTCTTTAACGGTCAACTGCTCAATCCCGTCGAAAATAGGAGACGATAAGAAAACGAAGCGTTTTTCCGCCTTCTTTACTCTAATGGAATTGTTGGTCGATCTTCCATGCTACCAAACAACGTTGTCTTCGTAGTCAGCAGAATGGTTGCAGAGCTTGATGTTGCGGTAGCTAAGGTTTCGCGATAACCAACTGTCACGCAACATTATTTACATTTTCTGCTAATTAATGGTGTTCAATTGAAAGATGGCGACGAGGTGAAGTTGACGTCATCCATCCTGATCAACATTAACGTGTGGTATGTGACGACGACGGGGGTGATAAGAGGCAGGTCAGGTTCAGGGACTGCTATTTCGGTACCTCCTTTGTTTTACAGCGTCCCCGAGAGCTAAATACATAGGATTCGAACCTCAACGTGACGACGCAGTGACATGAGCTCTGGTTTGTGGTTGACTACTTAATAATAATATCTTGGCAGATGTGTTTTGTTATTTACGTACGTGCTGGAAATGCGGAGGCTGGCTTGAGCCCTTGATACTTTCTCTGCACACATTTTTCGGCTGAAATATTGCCCAAGAACGTGACCAAACTTGCAGCATGACGTTGGTTTTTGCTCCCTCCTTTAGGGAAGGTCCTATTCTGAAATTAATTCAAATAATATTCCGAATTTACAATAGTGCCTCTCTGAGAATTCGAAAAGTTGGAGATTGAGCCATCAAGAAGGGTTTCACTTGGAAGGATGGGCGAAATTAATGGAGTGTGTTGATTGAGACATTGTTAACGGTGGGGAAAAATGGGATGATCGTGAGCAGCAGTTAACAATAGATCTACCAGAGAATGAAAGTAGGTATGGGATCAATTTTAAAATGGATTGCTCGATAAATTTCCTTGAAATGTTCCAGTTGGAGCTAAATCATACGGAAGAACACTTCTATGTCACAGAATATAGATTCTACCAGAAGAATCGATCTTATGTATTCGAGTGATGCTTATGGAAGAACGGGGAGAGCCAACCAAATAACTCGGTGTACATTTGGCCCACCTGGGGGATGGCACCTCCGCATCATCATCATCACCACATCTCCTGGCATCAAAAAATGATGATGAAAGCACATAGGTGGCGGTGGCACCCCCATTTGTGCACCAGAACACACCATTCTGAGCTGCGTCTCCAAATTTGATGCTCTACGAGGTGTGTTCTGGTGCACAAATGGGGGTGCCACCGCCACCTATGTGCTTTCATCATCATTTTTTGATGCCAGGAGATGTGGTGATGATGATGATGCGGAGGTGCCATCCCCCAGGTGGGCCAAATGTACACCGAGTTATTTGGTTGGCTCTCCCCGTTCTTCCATAAGCGGCACTCGAATACATAAGATCGATTCTTCTGGTAGAATCTATATTCTGTGCTTCTATGTAAATATTATGCGGAACATACGTATTATGCAAGTGTGGTTGATTCAACAACTCACTTACATATGAAGTTTTATGAGATTGCATAAACTCGTGGGTGAATCAAGGCAGGAAACTAATATAAACGGTATTGTTGACAATTTATTTTAAAAACAGCATTAAAGAAACTGTGTTAAAGTATGTAAAACCACACAAATTTACTTCTTTCAAGTATAGAAATGATAATAAACAAGATACTGTTACACTGTCAGTTAAATACATATGTTGTGACCATATTTAATTAAGTTTCTCGTTTCATTCAGATCAATAAAGAGATTCTTTGCTTGTTCGCTCCATTAGCATTAGCAGCCTATTTAATAGTAGAAGGTCCAGGGATTTGCGGTGGTAGAGAATTTGAGTTTCCAGATAGTTGAGCTGGTGTCTTTCGTTTTAGCGATGTCCAGTCGTAGTGGTTATCATATTCATATTCCTGGACTCGGCTCAAAATTAGGAAATTTTGTCGGAGATATCTGTAATTTGGGCCTTCTTCAAAGCCAAGAGTACGACAATAATTCATGTACATTTCAAATTCTTGGGGAAGTTTCTGTTGAAACAAAAATCGAACTTAATAAATAATAACATTTCAAAATACAGGATAAAGACGAAAATACGTCACAATCCCTTACATTACAAAGGTCTTTTGTTGAAATTTGCAACTTAGTTTCAGTGATTTTCTCGTATTTCTGCTTCTGGTTGGATGCTTTTAGACCTTGCCATGGCAAGCGACCCATCAAAAAGTATATCATTACGTAGCCAATTGCTTCTAAATCGTCCCGGCGACTGTAAAAATATCAAATTAATTATAAGACTGGAAGAAATGATGTGAGGCTGGTTTTATTATCACAGGATCACCTCTGCTCGTGTCCCTTATGAGCATTAATGGATGCGTAGCGAGCAGTACCCGTTAAACTTTTGTCACTTCGATGCGGAATATGACGACCAGTAGATAAGCGATATTTCTTGGCGAGTCCAAAATCAATCAGGTACACCTAGGGTACAAAATAATAAAATAATTACTTACTTAATGACAATTGTTTAAAGAATTAACAAAATAAGGTAGATCTTTAACTATATTGGGCATACTTGGTTGGAGGATCTTCCCACGCCCATGAGAAAGTTATCCGGCTTGATATTAGAAAAATAAAATAAATAAGTTAGAGCCAAATCAACTTGAAAAATAGATTAATAAATAGTCATAAAACCTTTATATCTCGATGGATAATGTTTTTCAAATGTAGAAATTCCACCCGTGCAAGCATTTGATCAGCTAACATCAGAACCTTTGCAATGCAAGTATAAGATATATAACTAGGTAACTAACTAATCCAAAGTTAAACTGACATTCAAAATCCTTACTAAATTGCAACAAAGAAAATGCGAATTCATTGCGAAAAGTTGCTAAAAATCTAAGTAATATCAATCCATGAGATTTCGAAGTAGAAATTATGATCGTTGGGCCGGTGTCTTATCGGATGACGATGGCGGTGGTGGTGACTCTGGATCGATTTTCAGGCTATCTCCGTAATACTGCTTCGCGTAAAAGAGAAGACTCCGACTCCCTGAAAGTGACAAGATTACGAAAATGTGACATTGTAAAAAATGACAATTTCAAATTTATATTTCTTCAAAAAAATTATGCTTCAGAAAAAGCAGAATTTCCCTGCATATATTCACTCACACAGTCATTTGTAACTTTGTAAAATCTGTGCGTTTTATACCAGAATTTTGCAAAATAAAGAGACACCTCTCCTAATCCGAACAAGTTTACAAAAATTTTGAGACTTAATTTTCCTTCGAAAGTAAAATTATGATAAAAAAATTGAACTAAATTATGAGTAAAATTATGAAAAAGTTTGTAAATTTACGGATTTTACAAGGTTTCCAAGTCCTCCGTGAATTGCTTCAAAGTTAAAATAGGGAGAATTTTGTTTTTGTTGAGTAACATATTTTTTGCAGAAACATAATTTTGCACGTGCAATTTTTTCGCAGTTCTATTTTCATCCCCAATTTATGTATGCACCCACCTTTTTCACCGTTCGGAAACTTCTCTCTCCTTTTTTTGTCCTCCTCCCACCTCACGTACTCCAAATCGACTAAGGCCCTCAGTTCTTTGTCAATATTGGCATAGTCGTACTCCGGATTTGGTGGGGGTGGTGGCGTCTTGGGTCTTTGTCTGGTCCAACCACGTGGCAATTGTGGCGGGCTGGGGACAATTACGGGTGGCGGAGATAAGGTCATCCCCAACCGGGACGCCATCCTTGACCGGACCGATGCCACCCACTGACGCGTGTAACTGCTGCAGTGGATGCTGCTGTTATCGTTAACGTCCATGGCGGTGGATAAGAACAAGATAAGACACAAGAAAAAGTGACCACTTTACGGGGAAAATCGGAGGAGAAAACAGTACCGATTCACGGTCCGATCCAGGCCTCGACTGACCAACTAACTCAAATAGTAATGTGATGGTAAATGTATTTTGTTACGATTTCTTTGTATTCGTCTTTACATAAGTGTACGAGATACGTACATATGTATTTATGTAAGTAAGAACACTGGACAAGTCCAGGTAAATGTGTGACTGACACTTTGTCGGAAGGATAAAGACGTGGGTCTGTAGGCATGAAAAAAGAGACATACATTTGTGTGTAGATGACCTATTTGTACACTGTTATATGCTAATTGATTGATTAATAATATGTATGCAGGCATAAGTATTTAGAGTTTAATAAAGGGGCTGGATTTAATTTAAAGGTTAAAACTAAGGTGAATACATATATCTCGTACATGCATAAATAGAACTTCTCCGTATTTTTAGACTAATTGTGAGATTGAGTGCTTATTTATAAGTCGAGATAACTGCCAATGGAGGTCTCCCAGAGGATGCGATCCGATTTTGGGCAAATTAGTGTGAATAGATGGCAAATTTGATTAGTATGAAATTTGGGAAAGACACGATCTCCGAATGGACACGTTTGGCAGAGATATTTGCATCCCAAGAGGAGAAAATACGCAGTAAAAGTCGACAAATTTTACACTTTCCAAATTTACTGCACGTTTTCTCCTCTTTGGATGCAAATATCTCGGCTAAACGTGCCCATTGGGAGGTCGTGTCTTTCTCAAATTTCATACTAATTAAATTTGCGATCGATTCACACTAATTTGCGCAAAATCGGAGAGCATCCGCTAGAAGATCTCCATTCTAAGCTGGCTAAACGTATATAAAAATTGTGGTTAAATTAATGAATGAAATACTTGAAATACTTGAAATACTACTAAAAGAGCAGATATTTACATACACTCGTACATATATTTTTGAAATACAATATTTCAATGAATGAAAAATTTCCATATATTTTTTTCCAAGTTACTGACTGACAAGGAGAAAGTCTGACCCTTTTCTTTTATTAACAATTGATTTTTAATCTTGTTTTTCATAAATTTTGCATCAAAACAAATCTCACAAAGTTAATTGATGCGTTACCAAGTATTATTTTTTAGTGGCATTGAATTGTACAATAAAATATTTTGCGTCAATCCAGTCTCGGGAATGGACTGGAATTAATGAGATTTTACAACATTGTGTGCACAAAAAGTCACAAATTTTTTAACAACCTTCACTAATAAATAAATGTGTACGCGATTTCGAGCGAATAATGGATTTAGATTATATTTTTTGTCTGCACAATAAATACATAAATGAATTAGCACGACGGAGATGACATTGGGCAACAGGTGTATAAATGGCTGCATTTGGGTCAACATCGGCATAAATTTGGGAGCTTTTTTGGCAAAAGTGGAAAAAATTAGGGAATAATTTTTTGTTAATTGTCTTAAAATGACGAGCGGTGGGAGGTGGCTGATTTTTGGTGGTTTGTTTTTGGTGGTTTTTGCCGTTTCGGGTAAAAATGTTCCTGTGGGCGGAGAATCGCCAAGATTATCGGCATTCCAGGAAAGTACAAAGTTAGTGAGGATTATTTTTTGCTATGCATTTTTTTGGTGAAATTTTGGAGATTTTTGATAAATTTTTTTAAGCATAATTCAGACATGAAATTTTATTTGTTTATTTTCATGACAGTCGAATTTGGCGTCTTTTATAAAACTTTAACAAAATTCGGATTGCAGTGCATGAAACTGTATTTCGAGTTTCATGAAACTTTGTCTCTCGAACTTGCATGAAACTCAGAATCAACGTCTCTTTGCCTTATGAAATTGTAGAGACATTTTTCTCAAGTTTCATGTAAATTTTTTCATGTAAATTTTCATGAAGCTTGGAATTTTGGTAAAATTGTGAACACAATTTCATACGGCAAAACCGTTAGTTTCGAGTTTCAATCAAATTTGAGGTAAATTTTCATGAAACTTGGAATTTAGTAAAATTATGTACACAAATTTTAACACGATCCCGAGGTTCATGAAAATTTATCTCGAATTAGCATGAATCAGCGTCCTTTTCCTGTATGAAATTTTTGCACATAATTCATGAAATTACAAAAATCTACCCCACATCAAATCCTCACCCAATGTAACCTTAAACTGTTTCCTTTTAATTAGAACGATCGGCATCCTTGCTGCCCCCCAGGAATCCAAAGTGACCATCACCGTCGGTGAGAAGACGGGATTCGCCTACACGCTAAACGGCTATACCCAATCGCCCTACAAAATCGCCGTGTCGGGCGAATACTTCAACGACCCGGTCGCCCACGACGGGTACGTCCGCCTCTACCTCGTCGTCGACACGGGCATCGCGTACTACTCGCTCCGTCCGAGCGGCAACATTCTCGACGTCTACGTCCAAAACGGGTATCGGGCCGAGTTCTACTTTGAAATCTTGTGTCCCTATCCGGTCCGCGCGTATGATTTGTGGGAAGGACAAATCAACGCGACCGCCGTGCTGGTCACGGGACCCTCGAGTTCCGCGGTGCGACGAAGTGGGGTGAGAAGCTCGATAGATTTTGTGAACTTGGGGGGCAAGGGGGACGTGGTGGAGGACGTTAAGGAGACGATTTGAGTTGGCATGGCAACGAATTCGTTTAAAATCGGAATTATTTATGTATTTAATTGGATTTGAGTTGTCATGGCGACGAATTGGACGTCGTGTTCGTAAAGGGTGCGATTTAGTTTAAAACTTTAATTATGCATTTATTTATTTATTTAAATGGATTTGAGTCGTCATGGCAACGAATTGGTTTAAAATCTGAATTATTTATGTATTTAATTGAATTTGAGTTGTCATGGCGACGAATTGGACGTCGTGCTCGTAATTTAGCTTAAAATTTGAATTATGCATTTATTTATTTAAATGGATTTGAGTCGTCATGGCAGCGAATTAAATAAATCAAGGTCATCCCCGTAAAGGGTGCGATTTAGTGTAAAATTTAAATTATTTATTTATTTGAACCTTGAATAAATCAATCCAGTTGGAATGGCAATGTTAAATTTGTATATATTTTTTTGCACGGGATAAAAATAGGAAGACAATGTTTGTAGTTTTGTTTTGCGAATTATTGCGAATTGTGTGGTGGTACGTGCGTATGCAGTTTACCGGCTCTTGACACATTTTCCGTATCTGCAGTACTGCAAATGACAAAGATATACATAATTTTGGAATTAATGTGGTTTGAGGTTAAGGTTAATTGTTCGTGGAGAAGGTGACACTGATTTTTTTTTGCGAAAAGTGATAAGCTTCAGGGCGGATATTTATTTGTGTATGTGACTAACTACATATTTCATGGGATGCGGGAATTTTTTTTATAAAAAAGCATGACAATTATTTGTAAAAGTTTTTCAAGATATTTCTGTCTAGTTTTTCAAAATATTAAGTTTTCGTAAATATTTCGGCTGATTAAAAAAATATAAATTTTTATAATAATTTATGCGAGAAAGCATATCCTTAAATAAAGGTTTCTCGAAATATGAATATTTCAAACATATTTTTTTACAAAACATTTAAATTTTGATGGGAAAAGTGAAAGAGTTTCTTTAAAAAATTTGAGTACGAAGAAATTGAAGATTTAATTTTAGAAATGATTTAAAATTCCAGAAAATGTATATTTTGGTTTTATTTGGGTTAAAAATTTCGTCAAAATTTCCACAATTTTTCATAGATATCCACCCATCCACCATGATAAGTAACGTTTTATCATGTTATAGACTTTTGGATTTACCTTTCCACTGCCACAGGGTGACCCTTCGAGGGCCGGATGCGCCTGTTGTATCTGTTTCCCACCCGTTACAGCCTTTTCACACCACAACATGGAGCAAACATCCTGAAATTTTAAAAATATATTTCAAAAAATTCCTGACCCGTCAATGTGAATGAAAATGGGATCGCATTTTTATCAAATTTAGAATCTACATACATACATATGCAATGTAAATATTCATGAAATTTTGATAATCAACTCGGGCGTTATGTAAATTTTTAGCGATTTTAGGTTTGGTTTTCTTTGCAAATTTATTACTTATAGAAATCGAGTTTAGAAAAATTGACAAATTGTTTTATCTTTTTCAGAAACCATGTTTATGGGGACGTTTTGCAAAAAAGACGTGCAAAAAACTTCGCATATAATATTTTGCATAACGTTCCGAGAACTGTGCGCATCTCTTTCGCATTGTGGATTTTAGGAAGAATGAGTTATATACATCCTCGTTAATTGTCATTATAAATGAATGATGTATGAATGTATTTAGTAGGAAAAAAACGTGACAAATTGAGTACTTTTTTATGCACGAGGTTATTGGTGGCGGCGACGGCGAATAATAAAATGGAATCAGTGCAAAATATTATTAATCATTAAACTGGATTAAATTTTGAGATGAGGTCAGGGTTTGGAAAATCACAGGATTTCTATGTGCAAAATCGAATAACAAATTTCTTTGATATGCATTTTGGATTAGGACAAGCTTGATATTCGGATTCGGCCTAAAATTCTGAACCTTTTCATACGCGACATGACCCGGTTTTTGGCCAACTTTCATCTTTAACATAGAAATCTCATGTAAACTGCGACTTTGTCCGAATCTGGGCAAGTCAACTGGTCAGAATTTCGGGCTGAATCCAAATATCAAGTTTGTCTCGTCCTAGAATGTATTTTAAACGAGTTGTCTCATTTTCCCCACAGTAATATCACAGAAATCACGGGGTGTGGAAATCACAGAAATCACACCCAAATCATAAATTGTGATTATTATCACAGTTCTCCAAGTCCAAACCCTGGATGAACGAGGTGAATGAATGATATCGAACTTTGGAAAAGAGATAACCTTGGTTTTTTCATGGATATGCAATATACACGAACGAATAATTGCATTAGCTCAATGTCGGCATGTCGTGCTAATTGTAAGTTGCAAATTCTACGGAAAAATTGAAATTGTTTGCATACTTTTGATGTTTTGGACATGAGATAAATTGTCAAATTTTACAAGGTCATAGTACTAATTTAGGTAGAATTCTCTACAATATGTAAACTATGTAATATGCTGATTTTTTCTTACTATTTGGAATTTTAAGCTTATTTCAATTTTTTACTGGATGAAATATTTAAATTCAGAGTAAGTATTGCAGGTGGGCTAATAAAATCATAAATTTGCATAATCTCACCCAATGCACATTGGCTAAACAAAAGTTATAGGACCGAAATCAATTCATCTGCAAACTTTGTGAATGAAATGTGCAAAATTTTTGCACCTCTAGATTTGATATTTTTAGACAAAAAATACGTTACTGGATCTAATCTATTGAGTCAATTCACGCAGTCATTTGTAACTTTGCAAAATCTGTGAGTTTTTTGCAGTGATTTTACAAACTTTCCAAAATAAAGAGACGTCCTTGATCTGAGCAAGTTTGCAACAAGTTAGGAGCTAATTTTCCTTATAAATATGAGCAAAATTTAGCAAAAGTTTGTAAGTTTACAAGGAATTTTACAAGGTTACCAAGGCCTGCGTGAATTGCCTCATAGTTTTATTTTATTCTCTTACGTCTTGATGAGCCTTGACGGTGCTGGGACTGCATACGTTTCCACATTCGTAATTGCACTGCACTTTGAGTCCGTAGAGCTGTCCGGGCAGTTTTCCAGGGCCGGAGGAATATTTGATTTGCTGATTTTTAAGAGCGGAAGGTTTCGATAAACAGGCTGGAACGGTGGCCGTATCCTTTTTACCGACTTCAGGAGAACCTATGGAGAGAGATCATTTTTGGAGGGATTCATTACGTGCTATCTCCGATTTTTTGGACATATTAACGATGAAATGAGTGAGATAGCACGTAATCCATCTTCAATTTCATAGGTACCATTTTTAGAAAAGTGTGTAGCTTTTAGTGGTATATTTGACGGTAATATCTAACGTTTTGACATCAATGCAACGGAAAAAAATGAGATAGCGCATAATGCACCTGCACAATTTAAAATTTTCATAAGTACACATTTTTAGAGAAAGGTGCGATATATTTGCGACGGTGCTATCTGACTTTTTAACACGATTAGTAGTGAAAAAAATGAGATAGCACATAATGCACCTTGGACAACGATACATTTAAAATTATCATAAATAAATAAATAAATAGTGTCACCTGTAGCAATGAAATCTTTCAGATTGGTGGACGAGCATGATGACCACGTGGTTTTTCCGGCCCCCGTCGTCGGCGACATGATATACTTGTTGGACTCGCACGCCTTGCTGACCCCTGATCCGTCATGCTCCATCCCCAAAGAGTGGCCAAGCTCGTGACTAAATATTGCATGGAATTTTATGTAAATCCCTATGAAAATTAAGAAGTAGTTCGGGTGATAATTTTTGCAGGCGAATTGTACAAATGTCTCTTGATTATGTAGAGCGTGCTGTGTTACAAACATCGGCGTGAAATAATAATAAAAAGAGTTACGTTAGGATGAAAGCGGTGGAAAATGAGGTCCCCTCGCTCACAGAACAGCTCCAATATCTCAAACACATTGTGGAAAACCAAGCCATTCCTGGAAAATTTTGAGGGGAATATGTAAGCTTTTTTGGTAAAATAATATGTTTTAAGAGGCCGCGGAAGCTGTGGGGACGCTAGCATTGTAAAATAGGGGGGAGGGGGGTTATTTAGCATGGTCAGATGATGGGGACATCAAACAACAGCCATGAGGACATTGTTCCTGTCCCCATGCTTCCACGGCCACTTACAAAAACAGCAAATTTATGAAATTAGGAAAACCAGTGGCCGCGGAAGGTGTGGGGACATGTGGGGACATTAACCTTGCAGGATAGAGGGGAAGGACGGGTTTTTATAAGGTGGGGAGATGATGCGGACGTCGAACAACCGTGGGAACATTGTCCCTCTGTCCCCTCACGCTTCCGCGGCCACTGTGTTGGATTACACTGACCAGCGACGAGTTTGTCGCCGGCTTCCTTGATGTCATGTCCAGTGAGGAGGAGGGCGTGGTCCCACTGGTTCCCCTTCTCGTTCTTGCTGCCGGCATATTTGCAGAAAGATTTGAGATATTTGGTCGCCTCGCCGCCGCTCGAGTCCAGTCCGGCCGGTGTTCCGGAGAGCATTTCCAAGTGGACGAGTCGGTATGAGAGCGACATGCCGAGGGAGGCTTGTTGGTAGAGGAGATTCATCTGCGAAAAGAGAAGAAGATTTACAAAAAATGGAGAGTTGTAGAATTGGAGAAAGATTTAAGAGAAAATTGGGGAATTGCATATTGCGGAATTTGAGAATAAGCTAGACAATTGAGAGATTTGAGAGAAACTTGAGACTTGCGAATTGGGGAATTAGAGACAAAAGTTGAGACTTGCATATTGGGGAAGGTGAGACAAAAATTGAGACTTGAGAATTGGGGAATTTGAGACAAAAATTGAGACTTGCATATTGGGAAAGGCGAGACAAAAATTGAGACTTGCAACTTGGGAAAATTGAGAAAAATTGGATAATCCCAAAGTTCAGAGCTTTAAAAACAAATTGCAGAAAATAAAGAAAACTTGTAAATTAAGAAATTTCCCAAAGAAATTAAACCTTCCACATTATCCAATTTGCATAATAAATGAAAATTTGCTCACATTATTAATCAAGCTAAGAATGAAGCCACGCAGCCTAGTTTTTCCTTCCTTTGGAAATCTCGTATCCCAAACTTTGGTCAATTTGGAATCAGCAAAGACCGAAATCTCCACAATTTTCGATCCCTCTTTCGTGGTCTTGGAAGAAGAAGATGCCGATTTTTTGCCGTTTGACTTGCTCTTATTTCGCCTTAAAAAATATGTCAAATTATTTCAAAATTTTGTACTATTTTTTTGAAAATAGAAATCTTACCCTTGCTTTTGACTTTTCTTCCCAATCTTCTTCTTGTTCTTGGTGTTTGGTTCGGCAAAAGTGTTTCCGAGCGTGGCATCGTCAGTTTCTTGGTCACCTTCAATCGTCACGTCACTATCGTCATCTTGGTTATCATCGTCATCGGTTATGTCTGGACTTATCGTGCTGGTTGAACAATCTGCCGAATTATTTGCATTCATTTCTTCAAAAGCTTTCTCCAACTCGTCCCTCGGCACGTGGGCGACTGGTAAAAGAAAAAAAAGTAAAATTTCATGCTGAAATTCAAATATGTACTTTCTTAACGTATGACTCATCGTCAAAATCAGCACATTTTTAATCATTTCTCCGCTCTGGGAACTTATTTCAAAATTATGAACGACAAATTTGTAGAGCAGGTGGTACGAATTAAAAAAAAATATGCATCCCAGATTTTGACACTTTGACAAGGAGATTTAAAGCTTAAGAAACCTTGGAAAAATTGGAACTCATCAAAACCGGGTGAAAAAACTCAACGCCATTCCATCAATCAACTTACTGACTACAAATTTATCGTTCAGAATTTTAAAATAAATTCCCAGAGGGGAGAAATGATTAAAAATGTGCTGATTTTGATGATTTTAGTTAATGAACTCACCATCAGAATGAGTCGCGTTGTCGCGTGGATCTAGATTTTCATCGACTTTATACAATTTGTGGGGGATGACCACGGAGGTGGACGAGTTCGTGCCATCTTCGGGGGAGGACGATCGCCGTTTTCGCGTTAATGGGTCCTTATTTTTGAACCGGAGGGGTTGTAAAATATAGTGAGAGTCGCCCTGGATGATGTGACCCGTCTGGAAGTAATGAAATTGTGTCAAATTATGGACATGTTTTCTATTCGCGTCTACCAACAATCACGACTCACGACCACTCATGTTAACCTACGAGTGGATAAGCGAGCACGGATAAGATAAACCAGTCCACCACCACCAAGATGATTTAATATTTTCACTTTTATATCTCATTTTGACATTATTCAGGTTTCACATTTAAACTTCAAATTTACAAAAATTGGGGTATAACTTGTTCCTCAAAATGAGATGCAACAGTGAAAATAGTAAATTGTGGATACGCGCTTATCCAGTTCCCCGTAGGTTAACACGAGTGGATAAGCAACAGCAACTACCATCACCACCAGGACGATTAATATTTTCATTTTTGCATCTCATTTTACATTCAGGTATCAAAATTTATTTCAGATTTACAAAATTGAAGTAAAATGAAAGGAGGAATGAGATGCAAAAGTGAAAATCTCAAATTGTGGTGGTTGTGGTGGCGATAAGCGCTTATCCAGTCCCCCGTCCCCCGTAGGTAGGCACGAGTTGTGGTGATGGTCTACTATTTGAACTTACAAAACCGACGGAATCGTGATGATTGCCAAGAATCGTGGAGGTGAAGGCGGCTCTCCCGTTGCCCTTGAAATGTCCCCTGTACACCGCGTGCACTGGATTTTGACCTTCCTCCTTTGGCGACCTGGATTAAGGAGAAAAAAAATTATGCTACAACACACGCTAATTTGGCAGAAAATCTTACGTACAAATCGTGAACACGGTTTTAAGCTTATTGATGTTAAAAATAAAATACGTAATGTTTTGCATGGTTTTAAAAAAAAACAGAGATTATCAAATTTAGCAAACAAGCTAAAAATTAAAGATAATGAAATTTGAAAAAAATTGCAAATGTTAAGCTTTAGATTAATATTAATTAATTAAATTAAGGACAAAGATTTGAAAATCGTGTATCCCGTTACTTTCGATAAGCTGTCATTTCATTATATTTGACTCCTTTGTAACTTGCGCCATAGTTAAATTATAACATTGGTGCAAGTTCCTTATCTGAGAGAGACGAAAATGAAAGAGGATTTTGTTTTGTATCATTTCTCGATTTTTGGAGCATTATGCGCACTTCATGCTACTGGTCAAAACAATTAGTAAATAAATAAAAAATTGACATTTTACTTCATCAAAAATTTATGAAAACCAAATTTTTCAAAATTCTCAAATTCTGAGTGTCAAGGATTTATCATATCATAGAAAAAAGATTCATCTATATTATAAGCTGGAAATGTCTGTCCGTCCAGAAGTGAAAGTAGTTTTCCGTGATGGAAATGAAATTAAAGAAAGTAAAGTTTCGAATGTTGCGAAAATTCAAAAATCTTAAGCGGTTAATATCACTTCCGTCGGCATCAGAGAGTATACGGAAAGTTTAATCGGGTGGAAGTTTAAAAACTACATCGGCTCTTGCCCGGCGGTAGACGGGCTTATACACTAGTATTCATAAAGAGCCTGAATTTCGGGCTCCATTCATTCCGTCTCGCCGCCGCAGGCGACACCAAGTCTGGGGGCCAATAATTTATCACGAGCTAAAAAAATCCGAAAAATTTGTACAATTTAATGTACATCCTCTTCTTAAATATATTTTAGATAATAAAACTCCCATTTCGAATCCATATAATTTTTTTGGGGAAAAAATAAAAAATAAAAATTTCTCATTTAGTCCCTTACCGAATTTATAATTTTTCTTAAAAAAACTGCGACATCGAAGCTATGAAGGTAATTTGCATCTGAAATTTCAAAATCTTCGAATGAAATTTAAAATTTTATGTGTTACACTTTTTATCACGTTATACACTTTAAGCCCCTCAAGAAAATGCGTGTCTCAAATTTCATCAGACTCCTCGTGCTTTCCTTCCTCGTGGTTCGACTTCGCCTTCATTGTCGGTTCGTCTCTGGCTCTACACAGGTTTTCTTTTCGCTCTTCTTCTTTGGTAAGTTTTAGATTTTTAGGAAACTTTCGAATAAATTTTGATAACTCTAATTAATAGTCTGAATTTGCCATATTTGTAGAGAGTTCAGTGTTCAATTCCATCTTCTTATCTCCAAGAAAACTACCAAGTTCTACGTAAGTCTAAAATTTCTAGGAAACTTTCAACTTCAACTCATTGTGAATAAATATTGATAACTTTAATTTTGCTATATTTTTTACAGAATTTGAACATTCGGACAGAGTATAAAGTAGCAAAATGAAGGATCCAGTTCCAGCTCAACAGCAAGGTGAGATTTCTTTTAAAATATTTATTCTAGAGTTCAAAAAATAGACAGAAAAATTCTACACGTTATCTACCATTTTTTTCAACTTAGAAAAAATTAAGTACTTTTGTCCCTATTTTTTTAACAAACCGCAGTTAATTTTGTGATTTGGAGCATGTCTTTTGCATGTCTTCTCCCCTCTGGGAATTTATTGGCGCCTTAAACTTGAAATCTCCTGCCAAAAAAGTGTTAAAATCTGGGTTGTATATTTTCAAAAACTTGACACCTCCCTGCCCTTCAAATTTGTCGGTCAGAATTTTAAAATAAATTCCCAGAGGGGAGAAATGATTAAAAATGTGCTGATTTTTAAGATGAATCATCGAGTCGTACGTTAATAGAAAATGTACTCGTTTTTTTAGCTGGTGAAGATATGGCAGATCTGTACACAGAGGCGATCATTATGATTGAACGCGAGGCCATCGCTCGCGCTCTGGAGGAGGAGGATCTCGCGAGACACGGCGGTCGCCGCGAAGGAGATGAAGAGTCTGAAGGAGAAGAAGAGTCTGAAGAATATGAAGAGTCCGAAGAAGAAGAAGAATCTGAAGAAGTTGAGGAAAATCGAGCTGGAGCTGCGCCCACCGAGGCGGCGTCGGGAGAGCCTCCCAAGAAAAATGAGGAGAAGGAACAGGACAAGAAGAATGTCGAGAGGTAAATTATGCATAAATTTGTTTTATAAGTTTTCTTACTTAGAATGAAAGTCTCCCAGGGTATGCTCCCCGATTTTGAGGAAATTAGTGTGAATCGATGACGAATTTGATTAGGATGAAATTTGCGAAAGAGACGATCTCCCAATGGGCACGTTTGGTCGAGATGTTTGCATCCCAAGAGGAGAAAATGCGAGTAAATTTGGGAAGTGTAAAATTTGTCGACTTTACGGTGCGTTTTCTCCTCTTCGGATGCAAATATCTGGGCCAAACGTGCCCATTGGGAGATTGTGTCTTTTCCAAATTTCATACTAATTAAATTTGTCATCGATTCACACTAATTTGTCCAAAATCAGGGAGCATACGGTGGGAGACCTTCATTGTTAGTAAATATTGAGTGATTTCACCCCTTGATTACTTTCGTTTATTGAATTATTTTTATAAAATGCGTAACAATCTGTAAAAATTTCTTTCAGATGATGCGATGTTAGGAGACCAGTTCCCTGTTCACCGTCAGGAATTCTCACAATCATCTTAATATTTAACAAAATTTGACTATTGTCTTCACAAATTTGATAATATCTTATATATTCTTAACTTTTTTTATATCTTTTCTGAGAATTAAATGCCTTGACGAAATCAAACTTTTTTTAAATCCTGGCCGAATTTCATTGAGCAAAAAACTGTCATTGTTGAAATATTTGTAAATTACTGGGAATATTGGATAGGATGCAAATATGTACATCAGCCAAACGTGACCATGTGTTGAGGTAATTCACGCAGGCATTTGTAACTTTGTAATATTTTTATAGTATGAATTTTTAAACTAAGGAGAAGCTGTCCTTGATGTGAGCACGTTTTCACAAAATTCGGGAGCTAATTTTCCTTCGAAATATGTATGAGTAAAATTACGTAAAAGTTAGCAAGTTTACAATGTTACCAAGGCCTGCGTGAAGTTTCATGAAACTGGAAATTTTGATAAAATTATGTACACAATTTCATACAGCAAAAAGACGTTGATCCAGGATTTCATTCACATTCAAGGTTTCATGCAAGTTCGAAACGGTGAGGGAATTCATTCACGTAGTCATTTGTAACTTTGTAAAATCAGTGCGTGTTTTGTATGTAATTTTAGAAACTTTACAAAATAAGGAGACGCCGCCCTTGATCGGAGCAAGTTTACACAAAGTTGGGAGTTAGTTTTCCTTCGAAATATGTATCAAGCATCAGTAAAATTTTGTAAAAGTTTGTAAGTTTACGGAGATTACAATGTTACAAAGTCCTCCGTGAACTGACTCATTTGCAAATAGTTTCATACTAATTAAGTCCGTGATCGATTAATCAAAATCGGATTTCATACATATTTAGTTTAACTATGGCGCAAGTTAGTGACGTATTTATAACATGTGTACGCAGTGGCGGCGGAAGTTAGGGGGGGGGCATTAGCATTGTGAGATTGGGGACTTATTAACATGGGGAAGGTACGTTTTTACAGAATTTCTGGGGGAATTTTGTGTCCCCATGTCCTTCCGCCGCCAATGAATGAACATGACCCAGTGGCGGCGGAAGTTGGGGGACATTAGCATTGTGGGATTGGGGAATTACGAACATGGGCAAGATACGATTTTACAGAATTTCTGGGGGGAGGGGGGGGGTTTGTCCCCCCGCTTCCGCCGCCACTGAATGAACATACCCAACGACGGTCGGATGGACGAGATCCGTATCCCTGTGCAAATGAATGTCCACCAATTCTTCGTCCAGGCGAAGTTGAACGATATGAAAATCTCGCCTTATCAAGTCCGACGATAAGTCCAGTCTCGTCGAAAACTTGAGATACATAAGTTTTCCATTGTCTACATAAAATTATAGGGAATTTAAATTTTAGGAAATTTTAGGAAAAACATATTGCGTCCGTCTCGAAAGTAAAATGAGCGTAGTAGCGACAACGTCTTATTTCGCATCGCAACTCATTTTGCAAACTTGTGAAGATCAGAAAATTAGTGGAGTGAAGTGATTCGCAAAATATGATTTCGCAAGTCTCGCCAATTTGCTAAAAACACCTATTTTTATATTAGTTTCGTGGGATTTCTGTAATTTTTCTGGTGATGGTGAAGATGAGTTTGCGAAATAAGACCATGTCCAATTGCTGGGTAAATTTGCGAACAAAATCCCGTAGCTTTCCAGCAAAACTAAATCTCGCAAACTCGCAATTTATATGTTGCTACGCTCAATTTGCAAGATTTGCGAAAAGTTTTCATACCCGAAATATTATTCCCGTGTGGCTTTTGGCTACCAAAAAGTGGAACTCCATCACACGACGAAATAAGTGACGCAAGTACAAGAAAGACGACGCTGCATATAACTGACGACTCGATAAGGTGCCTCTTTTTAGCGATAAGCTGTCCCTTTTTAGCGATAAGTTGCCTCTTTACACTACACTTTCCCACATCAACCAGCACTTCACTTAACTTCATACTTTTATCACAAATAGAATATTAAATCCGTGCGAAATACATACGTATAATTTTTGCGAATTTGCCAATTTTTTTGTGTAAAGTACTTAAACGAAATCTAAATTGCGACTGGACAAATCTGCATAATAATAATTTTTTTCTCTTTTTTTCTTTCTTTAATGGACATGCAATAATTTTGGGATATTAAATACGTAGAAAGAAACCACGTCAAAAAGTGTGGTGGGTGGATTGGATTGGATTGGATTTATTTTGTGGGCATGCAAAATGGAAATTAAAAATAGTTTGTTGCTTCTTCTTTTTTTGTGCGAAATCGTGACATGGAATTGCATGCCGATGATTGTCATGCGTTATGACGAGTGAGTGGTGCATTGTCAATGTCATGCATTAATTGTTGGGTGTAAGTAAAGAGGGGCAAAATTGTGGAGAGAATTGGAAAATTGTGGGTATGAAAGGTTCATTTTTTTTCGGAGGAAATGGATGGAAATGAATGAATTGTGGATAGAATGGGGACGATAACATGGGTAAGACTGTGGGGATGAAGGGGTGGGGGAGGAGTTTAATAAGACGGGAAGGATATGATTTTTTGGGACAATTAATGTCCTTAGTTCGGTCGATCGGTTGTTTAGCTGAATTATTATGAAATATTAACAATATTCGGATTAATCTATATAGTGTTTGGAAAATCTCGGCACAATGGTTAAAATCATGTGGTGACGTATTTTATATGTGGTTTCTATCAAACACGAGAGTTCTGTGAAATATGTAATGCGTTTGTGGGATTTTTATGAAATATGTAGATGATTTGTATGATTTACGTGAAATAAATATGTGTGATTTGTGGGATTTCTGTGATAATGTAGCAAAGTGGGAATAACTTTCCTTAATACGCATTTTACTTAAATTAGGATTATCATGATATTCGGATTCGGCCAAAAATTCTGAACTTTGTTTATACGCGAATCGACCCATTTTTTGACCAACTTTCCCCTTTAATATACAAATCATGTAACCTGCGACTTTGTCATAATCGGGGCAAATCGGATAGAAAAATGGTCAGAATTTAGGGCTGAATCCTAATATTAGAGAGGTTGAGCAAGAGTACATGATTGTATTTTGCGATTGTAAACACAGCGGGAAATCAAAATTAGTCAGACTTTTAGTCAAACTCAGGATTACAAATCTCCGTCTCCAGGCAGCATTGTATTGTACTCATATACCCAACTTACAGGAATTTCAAATCTGCCGCCGGAAATTAATGAGAATTACAATCCTCCCATAAAATATTCTTGCTCAACCTCAAGAACATTCAATCATAGATTGTGATTGTGATTCTACAATCATTTTTTTACAATCTTGTACTCTCGCTAAACCTCTCTATTAAGTTGGTCTCGTACTAGAATCCATTTTAAATAAGTTGTCTCACTTTCCCCGCAGTAATATTACAGAAATCACGATTTTCACACTCCTTGATTTCTGTGGGGAAAATGAGACAAATCGTTTGAAATACATTCTAGGACGAAACCAAAGTTGACAGTGTTAAAATCACACAAATCACAAAGCGTGATTATGATCACAGTTCTGCAAAACCCTGGTCTTTGATGCCGACCTGCGTGTGAAGGAGTGACACGTATACACTTTGTAAATACATATTTCGTATTACGTCGCAACAAATTAAAAGACATTGACACAACAAAATATCATTGGTTATGACAGATTTATCAAATTTTTATTGTCCCCGACAGGGTGAAGGTCACTGAAATATCTCCTTTGTTTAGCCTTGTTAAATGGACAAGGTAGCAAATTCATGTAAGACGAAGGAAGGAAATGCAATCCAGAATAATAATAAAACTACCTCTGTTTAATAGATTTATAGAAATGACTACGAATTTTAAAAGTTTCCTGAAAACGATGTTTTTTTAATAAGTCAAATTTACTCTGTGTATTCTGTTAAATCTCGAAATACATAATTCACGCAGTCATTGATAAGCTAATTTCCCTTCTAAATATTTGTAAAATTTGGTAAACGTTTACAGAATTTTGCAATGTTACAAAGGACTGCGTGAGTTGTATCAATGCAAAATTTGTTACAACAATACAAAAATTTGCAACAATGATTTGCGTCACGTATGTACATACAAATTTACCCTGATTGCATATGTCAATAGGGGAGTGTTGGACCCATGTTTTTTCCCAATAAGGGAAAATATTTGCCATGTTTGATCAATTTCTTAACGGGAACCTTTCTCTCTCTCATATCAACTTTCACTTTGTCGCAGTGAAAGTGAAAGTAGAAATTTAGACGAAACTATATATACTTTATTCATTTCTAAAATTACAAAAAATGGCATTTTTTGAGGAGGGTGCAATTTTTAAGCAGTTTTTACACTGCAAGGTAAGCTTATCGGATTTTGTATTTTGTACAATTAAGAATTATTCCAAAGTTTGCCAGATGTTTTTCAAGTTTCCTAATAACAGTAGAAATTATGACAAATTTTGCCTGGTTTTTGTAAAGTTTCATTACAACATTAAAAATTTTGCGAAATTTTGCCTAATTCATTTTCACGTTTCGTAACAACATTAAAAATTATGCAAAATTATGCCGTATTTTTTCAAGTTTCGCGACAACATCGTCCGCCTGCTTCACTTGGGGAGGAAGGATGTCGACATTTTACTCGGGGTGACGAAATTTGGTCAGGTGGGGTTATACGACGGGGCGAATAATATGAGCCTCGTGACGACCTTTTGTCTCGACATGGAGTACGAGGATAGTGTTCGGAAACTGTACGGAAGGAGGGACGCCGTTCGACCGAAGTGCAAACGAAGCCATGTCGTCGTGGATGCCGTGTTAGCGGAAAATATTCAGTGCGTCATCTTCGCCACGACGAAAGGAATGTTGCAGTGGTGAGTCTGGTGTATCCAACTTGCGCCATAGTTAAGTATTTGGCGCAAGTTGTATAAAATATTGCATAATAGAGTGTGATGCCAAGTGTTAATAAATTTTGCCCAAATTTTAGCAAATTTTTGTAACATTTTAGCATGCTAAGATTTTACGTTATTTTAGTCAGATTTTAATAGATTTCGATTTTAGTAAATCTTACTCAAGTTTTCATAAGTTTTAATTAAATTTTAAATAAATTTTCATTAAATATTTTGATAAATTTTATTAAATTCAACTCGGATTTTAATCAAATATTAGTAAATTTTGGTAAAATATTTCAGCATATTTTACTAAAACTTAGATAAATTATAGTTAATTTTACTCAAATTTTAGCATATTCCGGTCGCATTTTAGCATATTTTACTCAAACTTTACGAAATCGTAATAAAAAACTTCAAATTTTGAGTAAATTTTAGTCCAATTTCTTTTAATTTTCTGTTCAGCTACGACAACGGCGAGCTCGACGGGGAAGATTTAGGCCTGCACATATTCCCCCGCAGTAAATTCCTCCACTTGTCGAAAGGTCGTTCTCCAATCTCTCCAAGAAATTTGGGCCTTGTCGAAACCTTCCGAGTCCACGGGTTGTACAGCGTTCCGTCCTGTCTCTGCTATCACCGAGGTAGGGATAAGCTTGTCGTATGTGTCATGTCAGTATGTCATAAATGTCAAAATGTCATATTTATGAGACATTTATGACTTGCCGACATCCAAGAAAATGCCACATTTGTAGGTTGATTGATTGATTGATGGATTTATTCAGCATAAAACCCTTTCAGGCATAATTGCCCATAGAGTTACAGAGTTAAAAAAATATATATGTATAATATCGTTATACACATTATTATCATAAACAAGTCCTTAAAAATTACTGATTAATTGGTTAGTGCATTGGTTAATTGTAATGATGTACATACATTAGATTTTGTTGACTATTCTTCCAAAATTAATTTTCTATGTCTAAGTTATGTATATTCTGTGACGATTTCTATTGGATCTGTTCCATATAAAAATTGCATTCCTGTTTTTAGTCGACCCCCTTTTCTGGCTACCAATACTTTCATCTTCCCTACATTTAATTTCAAATCCCATTCCAAAAAGTAATTCTTCAGTAAATTAATTTTCTTCTGCATATAAAATTCATTCAGCACATTTGTAGGTTGACATTTATGACACCTACAATATTTACGGCGTCACAAAGCAATTCTCTTTTCGAACACGACATGTCAAATTTGTCAAATGATATTTGGGACATGTCAAAATGACACGTCAAATGCCATGAACAATTGACAAATATGACATTACATGACATTTATGACACGTCAAATTTCGTATTTGTCAGATTTTTTACTATCTTGCCAAATATGATAGACAATTGACATTTATGACATGTCCGACATGAACTTTTGTGACACTGACATTTCACATCCCTAGGTGGACGTGATGACGCCGAGGGGGCGAAACTGCTCGTCGGCCATGTCGACGGGACCGTGACGATAATAGAGCTTGGCCTCGAAGGGAATAAATACCCCTTTGGCGACGGGAAGAGAAAACTTCGTGGGGTTATCAACCACATCGATTTGTCCCGACAACGCCACAAGATACGAAGTTATCGTGGACATTGCGATCCCGTGAGAGAAATCCAGTTTTTAAAGAGTAGTTCGAGAGGAAGAAATAGTAGGAAGTTGATCCTGTCGACGAGCCGAGATCCAAAATTTTCACTTTTTTGCGAAGATTATTCCGGAATTTGTGAATCTTTCATTATTTCGTTGCCAAAGGTAGTACGAAATTTTTGGAAAAATTGATCTGTACCAATTTTTGGGTAGAATTTGCGAGGAAATTTGTGATAAAAAAATCCTGAGTGTTTTAGAAGGTATTCATTTTCATGTAGAGTAAAATGTGCAGAATATTTGGAGAAATTTTGCCAAAACATTTTTGCTAAGAAAAATCCTGCACATTTTAATCAAACTTTCATTCAGTGTAAAATGTGTAGAATTCTCAACGCGTCTTGAGTAAAATTTGGCAAGTTTTGCAAAAAAAATTTCACTATCATTTTTTCCACATATAAAAATATGTAAAATATTAAATCTCCAGGTGCGTTTTCTACCGAAAAATTGCTTGCTTTTTGATACTAGGTCGATTTTCATGTGTGATTTTTGCAAATTAATTTCCACCTGAATTTTTGTGCCAGGGCGTGAACACCGTGGCTCACTCGGACCTCGGGAATAAAATAATCACGGGCAGTGAGGACGGCGTGATTCGTATATTTTCCGAATTTTCTATGAAAATGCCACAAATGGAGTTGAGCGGTCATAAAGGCGCCGTAATTGGGTTGGCTCTACTCTCAGTACCATTTTCTTCCGGGGGTGAAATCCTCCTCAGCTATTCGGAAGATGTGGTAAGGATGGAAATTTTGCGAAAATGAAATAATTTGCGCATAAATAATTTGTAAATGTAATGTTTTTTCAGGAACTACGTGCCTGGGATCCCGACACGTTTACATGCCTGCAAAATATTTACGTCCGCTTTCCCTGTGCCGCACTGAGTTCTACGATTATCTGTAAAACGCCACAATTCGCGAAAAATCCGATTTTGCTATTGAGTACGAAATCTTCCAGGTAAATTTTTGAGTAAAAAAAATGCGAAAATATGTTTCGCATTTTTGACGAATATTTACGATAAAAGTCAGAATACGAATTTTATTAGATTATTTTCCGATGAAAATATATTGAGCGTATTCACGACTATTTCACATCGCAACTCATTTAGCAAAATTGCAAACCTAAAAAGATTTAGGGATTCGCAAAATAGGATTTTGCAAATCTGCACATGCAAACAGTCCTGTTTTAATTTGGTTTTCATGGATTATTTGCAATTTCCACAACATTAAATGAGAGGATGAGTTATCGAAATAATCTTTAAAAACATAACGTAAAACTGCTAGATAAATTTGCGAAAAAAGTTGTATGGGCTTCCAGCAAAAGCTTTGCCAAATCGCAAATTTCACAAAAATTCGCAAGTTACATATGTTGTTTGCTCAATTTGCGAGATATGTGAAGGTTGGCGAACATCTTCCTTGAATGCTTAACACAATTCTGGTACAACTTTTTCTCGTAAAAAGCTACTGAAATATAATTGCCAAAATTTTTGCAATCCTAGCGAAAAAGAGGATACCTCCGTGATCCTCTTGTACTGCAATAGCTACGCGAAATTTGCCATCTATCACGACAACCCGGCCTCCACGGCGGCCTGGCCCTTCAACAACTTGGACTTGGAGGATATCGATTCTTATGCAAAAAGCAAGCCACGTGTCACCGCATCATTAAAAAAGACGGGACGACGAAATTATTTGGGTGACGAACAATCCGATTCGTCGACCCTCCAAGAAATCGCGACGGACACGATGAGCGCGTTAATGCGACACAAATATTCTGCACATCATGGGCGCCCCGGTGGTAAAAAGAGCTTGACCGCGGTGGCCACGAGGAGGCTGGCGTCACTGCAAATTTCTTCGGATCATGTGAACAGGAATGCGAAAATTTTTGACAAGCTGACCTACCATGAATTACAGCCTGTTGTAAAGTGGACTCTGCAGGAACCAAAATATTACACGGATTGTTTCAGAGACGATTAATTAAAATTTTGCAATAATTAATAAGAATTTGTAATAAATTTTCATTTGAACTTTAAAAATGACAAGATTTTTCATTTTTTTCATAATTATTCCCCCATTAATTAAGACGATTAATTATGTATATGGAAATGTTGTCAAATTAGTATGAATTTACATATTAAACTAATTTTTAATTTCCGTCATAAGTTCGGGTTCGGATGGGGATTCTTCCATTCTAATATTCGAGTTCGGATAAGAACACGTATAAGTCCGTACCCTCCTAATTTTAATAAAACAGGATAAGAAGAAATCCGATCCAAATGAATCTCTAATTATTTGCGATATCTACATCTAAGCTTTAATTGCGACAATTCACACAGGCCTTGGTAACATTCTAAAATCCGTAAATTCCCCATACTTACAAACTTTTACGAAATTGTACTCATATTTCGAAGGAAACTTAGCTTCCAAATTTTTGTAAACTTGCTCCCATATTACGCGTGTAAAACTCGGAGGGTTTTCACGTCACCTCGTAAATAGCGTAAATTTACGACATCTACGAAAATTCCATGCTTACGAAGCTTCGTAAATATACATACGCAAGGTTGAGGTATCTTTATCGTTCGTAAAAAATTTCGTAAGCATAAAAAAATCATATTTCGAACACCATAGTTACCGATGATATTAGGCAAAGAAAAATTAAAACAATTTTTACGAAATATTTTTCACGTCAACCCGTCGTAAATGACGTAAATTTACGAATATTTTTTTACCAATCCACAGTTACGAAGGTCGTGAAAACCCTCTCTGTAAAATTATGTTACAAAAGGCACCGATTTTACAAAGTTACAAATGACTACGTTAACTGCCTCAGTATATGTACATAAATACATAGGTATGTAGTAGGGCTTCTGACTGCATGAGGTAAAATTCTTCGTATTCGTATGTCCATCCACAGCTTAAGCAAAGTCCCGTTATTATGTCACATGTACAGACTTGTTATTTACATATTTATCTCTTTAAGAATGCATCCATTACATATCTCACTACGTATTTCTGGGTGTGGGTGTGGGGTGCATATGTATGCATAATCATGTAGATCTATGTATGTACATATGTGTGATGACATATCGTGACGACGTGATGCATTCTATCGTGCATGGATTACATACAGAAAAGTTGTTCCATTGGGATTCGTGTATGTATCTTGACGTTTACTACGAACAATGGAATGCACTGCATGCATATAGAGATTCTGGTTTTGTGCATTGTTATTCTTCCTCCAACTTTACTTTACATAGTAGATCTTTCATGATGCGTTTACTTTACAGGTTGTGCATCTATACGTATAATATGAAGAGGAGAGTGGAGTAGTAGTAATAATAATTCCCGATAAACATGGGAACACATGGGCAATAGCTGGCATCCCGAGTAAAAATTTGAACAGATTTTCGGTAGAAATGTGGGCCGATTTTCTGCAAAACTTAACCCGAATTTTTGACCTGATTTTAGTCAGAAATTAGATCTGAAGAAAATTATGTAGGTAGAATTATGCACCAGGATAAAACGGATAGAAATGTTCGGCAGGATTATGTACCAAAAAAATACGTAGAATACGATATGCATCCAGCTTTTGTCGATTGTTGCAGAATTCGATGCAGTGATTTATGTATACTCGGGTGGATTGTTGATCGGGAAGTAGGTGTACCTTGAGGCTCTTGTTGGGTGCATGCATTGTTGAGAGGAAAAAGGTTATACGAGAAGAAGAAGACGAAGGAGGCAGAGGACAACAGACATTGTTTGCTGCATTTGATATTAAAATGCATTCTCGTCGTCGTCGTTTCCTTTCTTTCTTCCCTTTTTCGTAATCGTTGGCTCGCGAGCAAAGTTCTTCTTCTTCTTGGACGGCAGAGAATTATTGCATCTCACAAAAAAAGTGCACTGCTGATAATAGTGATCTGTTGAAAAATTGCCGAAAAATCTTGGAAATTGATTTGTTAATAGCACTCATCAATTTTCATAGAAGAACACTTTTAAAAAAGTGTAGTGGAAATAGTATCGTGAAAAACAAACAAAAGTTTTGAAATTTTGTTTAAAAATTGAAATTCTGAGAAAAAAATGGAAAAAGTGGAATTTTTTTTGTGACGTGATTTATTTTGAGACGAATTTTATCATAATTTTGCCAGAAAGAAGAAGTATTTAATATTTTGACGCGATTATAAAAAAGGAAGAAGACGAAGAAATAGATAAATTTTATAAAAAAAGGTAACCTTAAATTGTATGGTGACATACATTTCATTAACATGATTTTTTTTCTTGTCAGACTTGATTTAGTAGCAATATTGCGCATCTATTTACTACTTGTAAAAGAAGCAATAAAAAAGATTAACATTTCCGGAGGATGGAAATTAATGAGGACTTTTTTTCTATTTGGGTCAAAAAGTGCATATGTACATACATACGTGTTTTATTTATTTATTTAGCATATAAATGTGATCACATCGAGACTCATGTGTCTTACAGTCCAGACCTCGTGTATATTTCTATTAGAGTTTTTGAGGGACAAAATTATTCAGATAAGGTGTAATTTTTAGGAACCAAAATTTGATATAGGTAAGAAAATATATAAGGAAATATATTTTTCATTATGCCAGTCTTATAACATAGATTTATCAATATTTACACCGAAAATGCTCATAATTCCACTTACTTGAAGTTTCTTATATTAGTTAATTCAGACCTCGTGTATATTTCATGTATCATTTTCGAGTGAGGGAAATTAGCCAGCAGAAGATGTAATTTTTTTGGGGTTAAAAATTTAAAACAGATAAATAACTAAATACATGGATTATGTCATTTTTAATACAAATTTATCAGTGTTTTCATGGCAAAAATGCCTAAAATGCGATACAGGCAGTAATTTTCATGCCATGGCGTGAGCATTGTGATTGGGGCTGAGGAATTGAGTCCATTCACTTTTTGTGACTAATTTTACCTGTAAAAATGCGATTTTTTATGCATCTCTCTCTCTGATGATAAACTATGTTAGCGGAATACTTATGCCGTGATAAGTTAAATGGATTATGAAAAGTAGCGTATATTATTATTACGTAGGTATTTGTGTAATTATTAGTGGAATTGATTAAGGTAGTTGATGTCGATGTGAGTGGTCAAGCCCAGTCAAAGAGATCGTGGCAGACAGAGTGGCACCTCATAAAAAATAGCTTCATGTATATCATTAACAGAAAAGAGTTGAAAAGTAGATTCAATTCGTAGGTAATTTTTTTTAAGACGCGGGTAAAATACTTTTTCAAAATGTACAGTATTTTAGCATGGGGCTGGATTTCTGGGGGTATTACAGCTACAAAAAGTACGAAAATGAGAACAAAATTCACTTACACATTTTTTAAGTTTTTTTAAATAAAGCGAGCAAACTAAACAATTCACGCAGTTCTTGATGACATTGTAAAATATGTAAATTCCATAAGCTTTTACAAAATTTTACTCATATTTCGAAGGAAAATTAGCTCACAAGTTTATGCAAACTTACTCCGATCAAGGGCGTCTCATTGCGGAAAAGTTTGTAAAATTATGCTTCTGTACTTATGTAAAATTTTACAGATTTTACAAAATTACCAATCACTGCGCGAATTGTCGAAGTATCCTGACAAGATAATTTCTTCACAAAAACGTGTATTCTCGTCTTCTTGTGGTTGTAACAACGCTCCCAAATCTGACAAACAGAGCTATAAATACTCTACATTTAAATGAACTAAAATTCCTTTCTATCTTTACAGGATGGAACAACGTGCCCCGTAAAGTGTGACCTTAAATAAAGTATTTTTTAAAAATCGGAGAGAATTTAAAAACACGATGTCCATCTATACTTTATCCCTCGTCCTGATTTTGCTAATCTCGTCCCCCTCGGATTGTCTGAGGAAGGAGGAGACATCAAATTTGCAACGTTTGTCACGTGCCCATCTAGAATTCGCACTTTCCCTGTTTCGCACCGTTGCGGGGGAGACGAGTGCGGGGGACAATGTTCTCTTGTCCCCGTACAGCGTGGCGTCCGTCCTGTCGCAGTTGTGGTTGGGATCAGCGCCCGAGTCGGGAACGTTTACTCAGCTGGAGAACGTTCTGCACTACAAAGACGGCGGTCTAGGACCGGAAAAGGTTCACGCCGTCTTCCATTCTGGACTGGATACCGGGGACGATCCTGATTTTCAGGTATAGAAATTTTGAAAGTTATTCCAAGGGGGAAAATTCCCATATGGAAATTTAAACGTGTAAAATTTGTAATGATTACGAATGAAAAACATATTTTAAAAAATTGATCTTCATAGATTAGAAGCGTGTGTTTACTTTGCAAAGTTATTTCATTTCATACAGTTTGGAATGAGTTTGAGTTTCTAGTTTTTTTAAACTTTACAAATTTTGCGAAGATTTGCATAGAGTGAAGCAACGATTTTTCCGATGTTTGCAGTGTCGGTTTATTTTATAAAATTGTTGAACTACATAATATAAAGTTTACAAAGACAAATGCATATTGAGGGTATTCATTATTTCTTCGTATCCGTAGTATCGTAAAATAGTTTACGAAGAAAAAACAAGGGGTCAGGTTTAGTAAAAATCGTAAGCGTAGTAACGTGATTTTCGATGAGAAAATCTTACGACGCTTACAAAATCTCGTAAGCCTCGTAAGTTATTTTACGATACGAAGAATACTTCGGCAAAGATGGAGGGACGGTTTTGCCGATTTTATTCCAGATTATAAAATTATTTTACTTAATATATAGTAGATATACAGGTTGTAAACAGTTTAATGAGCTTGAGTTTCAAATTTTTGAGAACGGTACAAAAATAAAGTTTTGCAAAGATTTTGCATAGAATTGAGGAACGCTTTTGGCCATTTTTACGATGTCTGATATTATACAGTTTACAATGGCAATGCATATTGTTATACAGTTTGCAAAGATTTAGAATTTCAAATTTTTGTAACATTTACAAATTCTACAAAAATGTTGCCAATTTTTTGCAACTTTTTCTTTATTCGTATTTTTCAGAGCGTAGTAAAGCAGGGGAACGCGCTCTTCCTGCAAGACGGGATCCCGATCGAGTCGTCTTATCGCCGCGACCTGCGTCACTTCTACAACTCTTCCGTGGAGGAGGTCGACTTTTCGCGGGAGGACGCCACGCTGCGGATCAATCGCTGGGTGTCCAAACGAACGGGGGGCTTCATCCCCACGCTGATCGAGAGTCCGCTCCCCGCCTCCACAAAGTTGGTCCTCGTCAACGCCCTGGCGCTCAAGGCCTTCTGGAAAAATAGCTTCGATCCCACGAGAACCGCGGCGAGTGGGATTTTTCATCGAGGACCGAATGCAAAGTAAGAAAAATAAATTTGGGTGCAAAATTTGTGCAAAAATTTGCAAGCATGTTTTAGTAAAACAAAAGCATGTATAACACAAGTGGAATTTTATTAAAAACCGAGATTATGAAGTTTTTTAAATTTTTGGTAGGTAATGAATATTTTGTGAGAAAATTGAGATTTTTTAAGGAATTCAATTTTCTATTAAATTGAGATTTCGCCAATTTGTTCGCTTATGAATTTGAAAATGAATGAAAAATCCTTCTTTTGTAAAAAAAAGATGAGAATATGTAATTTTATGTTTAAAAACATTACTTTATTTTCAGGTCGTTAATAAGTTTACATAAAAATGAATTAAAAAATTGGGATTCTGTTATAAAAACGAGGTTACCAAATTTTTTAACAAGTTGAGATTTCAAAAATTCTTTATCCAGTATGAATTTGTGAAATCCGAAATTATGAAATTGTTGATTGAGGCAAAAATGGAATTGTTACTTTTGCTCATGAAGAATGATTCTGAAATCCAAATTTTTCTGGAAATTTTATTTTTGAAACGTAATTGTTTTTTTTCAGACTCGAGATCCCAATGATGGCTGGAAAGTTTAAGGTTTTGCTTGGTGAAAGTGACACGCTTCGATGTCGCTTGTTAGAGTTACCGTTTCGTGGCAAGCGCTTATCCATGTTTATCATGTTACCGGATGAGGACGTGTCCTCGTCGAAATCGTCATCGTCAAGATTGTCCCATTTGGAGGAAAATTTGACGGCACAGAATCTGAAAAAATTATTTGCATCGTTACGAGTAAGAAAATTTATGGAAATTTTTAACTTAGGATTCGATCACTCATCGCCAAAATGTTCAAAATCATCACGTTTTTAATTATTTCTACGCTCTGGGAATTTATTTTTAAATTCTGGACAACAAATTTGTAGAGGAGGGGAGTTCCCAATTAAAAAAAATGAAACCTCCAGATTTTGACACTTTTTTAAGGAGGAGATTTCAAGTTTAAGAAGCTCTCAGAAAAATTGAAACTCGTCAAAACTGGCTTAAAAACCTCAGCGTCATTCCATTAATCAACTTACTGACCATAAATTGGTCGTCCAGAATTTTAAAATAAATTCCCAGAGCGGAGAAATGATTAAAAAATGTGTTGATTTTGAAGATTTTGGTTAAGAGTCTTGCACTAACGAATAAACGATAATTTCGTTTTTCCGCGAAGGAGGAAATGGTCCACATTCGAATGCCACGATTCAGCATGGAGGACACGTCTCGATTGACGGACACTTTGATGACGTTAGGACTGCGAGATATTTTTGACCCTAGTCATGCCAACTTTTCCAGAATATCGGCATCCGAAGAGGAGAAAATCAGCGTGTCCACGTTAGCTCACAAGTAAGAAAGTTTAATTCCGTCCTAAAATTCAGAGTTCATAATTATGCCATGCAGAAAGGATAAACTATTTGATAAAGGAAATTTGAATTTGATACTTAATTACCACCTAGTAACAATTTTGTCACCTTAATGTGCACGTGTCGCAACAAAAATTTTGCCAAATTTGTAAAAACTTTGATAGAAAAGTGTTGTAATTTTTCATTATAAATTTACCCAGCAAATGGGCACGTGCCAAATTTCAAACAAAAAAAAATTATTGAACATGGCGGAATTTTTTCTTGCAAATTTATCCAGCAAATGGACGCGCTTATTTTTCGCAAGATTATTTCGCAAATTATTTAATTAATGCGAATTATGTACTACGTGTTTGCAGGGTAAGTCTCGAAATAACGGAGAAAGGGGCGCACGCCGCTGCCGCGACGGCCACGGGGATCGAGCGCTTTGGCGAAATTGGTGAATTTTTCGAAATCAATCGTCCTTTCGTCTTCTTCATTTGGGACTACGTTTCCGGAGCTTTGCTGTTCATTGGACGGGTCGCTGATCCAAAACCGCTGGCAGTACCGTGAAATCTTAAGACTACTCACAACGGAGGTCTCCCAGCAGTTGCTCTCCGATTTTGAGCAAACTTGTCTCAATCGATGCCAAATTTAGTTAGTATGAAATTTGCGAAAGACACGATCTCCCAATGGGCACGTTTGGCCGAGATATTTGCATCCGAAGAGGAGAAAACACGCAGTAAATTTGGAATGTGTAAAATTTGTCTTCTTTACTGCGCGTTTTCTCTTCTTTGGATGCAAATATCTCTGTCAAACGTGCCCATTGGGAGATCGTGTTTTTCGCAAATTTCGTACTAATTAAATTTGTAATCGATTGATACTAATTTGCCCAAAATCAGAGAGCATCCGCTCGGACACCTCCACTGTCAGTTCAGATCAGGTTACAATAAAAATATATATAGATTTACCATTCTTTTATCATAAAATTATACATATCTAGAAATAATTGATAATAGTTTTATAAAGAAAATTGTAAAAAATAGTTGATATCGTTTGAGAGGAAGCCGTAAATAGATAACTACCGCGAGACGTCAACTGTGTGTCGAGCTTATCTAGTTTTTTTTGTATTTTGTAGGAAATCAATAAGAAAGAAAATGGTTTTGAGTTGAGAAAGTTGTGTAATTTTTTATAGAATGTTTTACTCCGTCTCATTTTACGAAATGTCGCTTGATATTTTATGTCCTCCGTAAATAAAAGTCTGTAAATAAATAAGAATTGGAAAAAGATGTGACTTATTTCCTTAAAAAGAAGAACGCTTTAGTGGTCAATTAAGAAGTCGTTTGCAGAATTCCTTCTGTTCACATTCCGTTTCAATAGTTCACTTTAAGGGCACATTTGCATAAAGCTGTTTTGCATAAGGGTCATTTGGTATAACCTTTATTGACTAATCCTAAATATCTTTTCACATAAAGGAACGTTTTACATACTTGAACACCTCATAATTTTACCCTGTCGAAATCTGGCAATAGTCATGCAGGTATTGATTTCTCGGTATTAAACTTGCCACTGCTAGGCATTAAAATTATACTGGACGGTAAAAAATTGTTATACCAATTTGTAGTACCCAATGTGTGAAAAGAATGAAAATTAAGAGTATGCAAATGCAAATTATGCGAAATTCTTGTTTGTATAATTTGAAATTAGACAAATTTCCTATATTGGTATTATGCAAAAAAAATATGTAAATCAACACAAGGCCCATTTTAACATGCCTGCTGCAAATACACACACACAAAGTCTGCTACTCTAGTTAATATTGCTTGAGGGGACATCCGTAAATTATGTTACTCAAAAATAGCTAATTTCTAGACCCCCTTCCCCCACTTGAATATGTGTCACATAGGCATACCTGTTCAAAAATTTAGTTTTCATTCAAAACTCAGTCATCAGAATTTCTGATTGATGATTTTCTTTTCATTCACATTCATTTCATTTCATTTCACTTCATCTGACTTCATTTTTTACTTCGTCCCTTGTATTAAGCATAGGGTGAAAAACGAAATGAGTGATAAATCCTTCATTCACAGTCACTCATCTGAAATGACGGAATCTTCCCATCATTTTCACCCAAATTACAGGAAATTCATTTTCATTCACTATCACTCACCATCATAATCACTCAAATGAATGAAAGTGATCAGGTATACACATAGGCACGCTATCATTGGAGCCTTGGATGGACCCCTATCTTGAGTGACATAATTTATGGACGGCCCTTAAGATTAAACGATTTAAAAACTCGATTCCATCCTAACTCTAATCGTCTTATGGGCTTAAACAGGATTTATTTTAGTACTCATTGTCTATGGATTGAATTAATAACTGTAAGAAGGAGCAATGTCAAGGAACTTTTCTTTCTGAGAAGTCACGTAGTAAAACAGTGACTAATGATTGCACAACGATAAGATAGCATTGTCATGTGGTAATGATAGTAAAAATGCAGTATCGAGCATATAAACATTATAATCAATCCAGATGTTGACATTATCTTAATAAACACTTGTTAAGCTAATGGTAAAAGAGAGGCACATCTTCCAAGTAATATAGATCACCATAATTTTCATGAATTTCAGTCTCATTCATTTTCAAACTTAAGAATCAATCACCAACTGTTCCAAAGTTTTTAGTTTGACTAATAAACACAATAACCTTGTTGCTTATCGGTTCCTTAAATATTCGTCTAGAAAAATGATTCAAGGAGAGGAAGTTACTGAAGAAATGGAAACTTTAGTAGTCGGGGGCACTACACAAACTCCGAGTCCATTTTCCCCATGTTGGTGTCAAGTCAATTAATTTAATTATTAATCATAGAGCGTACTCACGTCAACCTTCACAAATCTCGCAAATTGAGGGTATATAGCAACATAACTTTTCGTTATTTGGCAAACATTTTGCTGGAAAACGATGGAATTTTTTTCGTAAATTAACCCAGCACTTGGACATGTTCTTATTTCGCAAAATTATCCTCACCATTGCCAGAAAGAGAAATTAAAACAATACGAAAATAGGTGTTTTTCAGTAGGTTTGCGAGATTGGAGAGATTTGCGAAGATTTGCAAGAGATTTGCAAAATCATATTTTGCGAAATCCCCCCACGACATAAATATTTTGATTATCTCAAGTTTGCTAATTATTTAGCGAACTTGCGACGATCAAAATATTCGTTGCGATTGCGAAGCGAAATAAAACATTGTCGTGAGTACGCCCATTTAATTTTTAATGTTCGGCTCCGTTGTTATGAATTAAAAAAATTATTGTTATATTTTCAGTCGAGCAAAAAGCCATGGACTCTTCGTACGATGAAGACCTCAACGAGAACCCGTTTTTTCAATCCTTGATAACCTCCTGTCCCGACTTATTCGGTCAGTGTGTTCTTGAACAGTGGCTGATTTGCGTTCCCCGAAGGGATTCTTTGCCAAAGTATACTTTCACTTTGGAGGATTTTACTCACCACATTTTGCGACCTGTTACTAAAGCTAATGGGCGACATTGGAGTGGAGAAAGCAATTGTAGCAGTATCAGCATCGGTAGTCTTCCATCGTCGTGTGGAAGCCTGGGTTCTTCTTCAGTAGAAGATCAGAGTCATAGGTGGGCAGCTCCTCCGACGTCCGCTTCTGCCAATTTTTTTTTCGCTTCCAGTACTTCCGCTTCCGACCAAAATTTGTGCTTCCAACTTCCGCTTCCAACCAAAATTTTCTCTTCTAATTTCCGCTTCCAACTAAAATCTTCGCATCCAGCTTCCAGTACTTCCGCTTCCGACCGCTTCCGACCGCTTCCGACCAAAATTTTCGCTTCCAGTACTTCCGCTTCCGACCAAAATTTTCTCTTCTAACTTCCTCTTCCAGCCAAAATTTCCGCTTACAACTTTCGCTTCTAACCAAAATTTTCTCTTCCAGTGCTTCCGATCATTGTGCTTCCGACGTCCGGAAATTATGATTAGAATAAGTTTTTTATGGTCCGCAGCACAATTCTGGAAGATGACGTGAAGCCCAAAACGGAAGCCCATTCACTCCAAGGAAACTGGAACTATCAGACATTGACACACATCCGAGTAGAACTTACTGGTCAAACGTTAATTCTTGATGTCGAAATTCCCATCTCCAACGACGCCAATGATGACGTACTGAATGGGAATAGTAGAGCGTTTGTCCAACTTCGAAAGGAAATTTTATTCGACGAAACGTTTTACACAAATGACCAGAGAAAGTATAAAGTTCTGTGTGTGGCGTCCCCACTCAACTCAAAGGTAAAAGATTAATCAGTCGTAATTAAATAAGGGATTAATAATTGGGATTAAGGATTAGTAATTATTAATGCTTAATTCCACCAAAAATTTTCACACGATTAATCCTTAATCTCGACGAAACCGGGCCAAATTATTAATCCTTAATCATGATTAGAATTAACTTGATTGCAATCATTAAATGCAGTAAAATATAAATTGCATCAATCCTTAATCAATAATTAATCATGATTAATTAATCCTTAATCAGCAATTAATCATGATTAATTATTTCTTAATCAGCAATTAATCATGATTAATTAATCCTTAATCAACAATTAATCATGATTAATTAATCCTTAATCAAAAATTATTTATCATTAAACAATCCTTTATCCTGAATCAAGAATTAATAAGAATTAATTAATCCTCAATCCCAGCAAATTAAATTATTTAATTAATCCTGAGTTAATCTAATCCCGGATTAAAATTAATCCTTAACCACAAAAAATTCGCTGATCACGTATTTCTGTCAAAGGTCGACATTGAGGACGCAGGGTTCGGAAACGCGGGTTTGGGGCTCTGGAATTTGACGAGTCTTCGTGACTGCATCGATTTTATGTGGGTCAAAGGTTCCTTCAAAATTTTAGAAAGTTACGATACGTACATCAAACTTTTTTTGGACAATCATCCCGCCCTCGAAAATCTCCCGCTGCCAATTCAAAGTAATCTGGTGAATATGCTGTTCCTACAATGTGTCGAGTTTGCCGAAGGAACCGGAATGACCACGCCTGTCCCGGAGAATCATGGTTTATCCGACTTTCTCCGTCAGAAGTTACGCATTGCGACGGAAACGTACGTAAATAATCATACCTGTTCACCTTCATTCATGTGTGACTGATTATGCTAGCGAATGAAAATGAATTTCTTGTCATTTAAATGATAATGAATTTCTAGTCACTTGAATGCAAATGAATTTATTGTCATTCGCATGAAAATGAATTTCTTGTCGTTTGAATGAAAATGAATTTCTAGACATTTGAATGGAAATGAATTTCTTGTCGTTTGAATGGAAATGAATTTATTGCAATTTGAATTCAAATTAATTGCTCTTCATTTAAATGAAAATGAATTGCTTGTGGTTTGAATGAAAATGAATTACTTTGCCATTTGAATGAAAATGACTGAAGGATTCCGTTATTTCAGACGAATGACTGTGAATAAAGGTTTTTTTCAATCATTTCATTTTTCATATGCGTGAAATAAGAAATGAAACCCGATGAAGTGCAATGAATTTGAAAAAATTCTTAAATTTGAATTACAATCTTCCCTCATAAATCTGGTTGACTGACTTTCGAATGAAAACTATTTTTTTGAACAGGTACATAAATCATGGCGTGTACAGATCAATAATCAGTGCCATAACATCCGTCACTGCTGCAGAGGATGCTTTCATCAATAAAATCACGAGAAATTTGGGCGAAATTCACCCCCAAGATCTGGACATTGATCCCGCATTTTGGAATATTTTAGGCCGAGCACGGTACGAGTTGAGTCGGATAAGCTCTTATTCCACGCCATTGGGGAAACTGGTCTGCATGAAACGAACGGTTCGTCACATCCGTGCTAATTCTGGGGCAGAGTAAGTTTTTTTTTCAAAAGTGTACTATAAAAATTTCGAGAAAATTGCTCATAATCACATGTTATATTTCTCGTCAAATTGAGCATAACTTGCGAAGTTTTGCGAAATTCTGAAATAAAATTGCTGGAAATGCATGGGATTTTTTTCGCAAATTTATCCAGCAAACGGGCGTGTTCTTAGTTCGCAAAATTATTTCGCTCATCCTCAGCAAGAGAAATTACAGAAATTCATGGAGACAATATCAAAATAGGTGCATGTTTTTAGTAAATTTGTAAAGTCATATTTTGCGAATCCCTTCCTTCACGACATAAATATTTTTATCTTCGCAAGTTGCGATGCGAAATAAGACGTTAATTAATTAATTAATTATTGTAGGAGTGGCGATTCGTCCAAAATTTTGACGACAGATGAGCTTATCCCCATTTGGGTGTATTTAGTTCTGAAGAATCCGCTAGGAAATTGGGTGGCTCAATTAGGTATGCAAATAATACATAAGTTCAGTGAATATGCAAATATGGCTCATAACGGGGATGCAAACCATATTCAACCCAGATTATTTTTTGACCATGTTAACTTAGAGAAAGATAAACTCTTTAGAAACTACATTTAGTGTGGCACTTGCGCAGATGCAGCAAGTTTTGGGCGCCGCAGGTTCGCCTCAATGCGCAGATTCTGTTGAAAAAAACCGCGCATTTTCGCGAACTTGCGGTGCCCAAAACTTGCTGAATTTTTCACATCTGCGTAAGTACATCAATTAATGATATTTCTAAAGAGTTTGTCTATTAAACGAAAGTAATCAAAAATAATCTGGGTTGAACATGGTTTGCGTCCCCATTGCCAAAGTTAAATAAATTCGTTTCTCCTTATTTCCGGTTAGAATTCCTTCGCAATTTTCGCTTTTCCTCGACCGAAGAACCCACGAATGAAGACACCTTTTACATCACAACTTTAGAGGCATCCTTGGAGTACTTAAAATCCGGGAAAGTGCTTCGAACTTCGGAGGAAAATGATCCGGGGTCTCCGTGCGAATCCTGGCTCTACAATTTGCACCACGACGCATACGAATCGGATAATCCGCAAATTTCCGAAATGTTTGAAGCGATCCGATTCGGAAAATGTGGCAGGTTGGAAGAATTAATTGAAGAATATGAAGTCCAGAGATTTGAGTTTAACAAGAATCGAAAGGATTTTCCCGAAATTGAGGCAGATTCGCTGTGTCATCCGCTCTGTCAGTGTGTCACGTGTGACGCGGTGTTTCAAAGTGCGGTAAAGTGGGAACCGATGATACCCGCGGTGCAGTTGATAAGCCCGAATGGCTTGACTTTGTTGCATATTGCTTGTATTTATGGGAGACCAAAGGTTGTGGATATACTGATAGGAGCTGGATCTAAATTGGAAGCGGAGGATTCGCAAGTAAGGGTTGGGTTAAACTATTGCGCGTACTCACGTCAACCTCGCAAAACATAATTTGCAAAGTTTCGCAAAAAAAATTTGCTGGAAAACGATGTTATTTTATGTACCCAGCAATTGGACATGTTCTTATTTCGCGAACTCATCCTCACCATCACCAACATGAGAAATTACAGAAATTCCTGTAAACAAGTTGTTTAAAACAACATCAAAATAGGTGTTTTTAGTATATTTGCATAGTCATATTCTGCGAATCCAAAATATTTGTATCTTTGCGAGTTTGCTAAATGAGATGAGATACGAAATAAGACGTTGTCGTGAGTACGACCATTGAACTATCTAAAATTCCCTCAATTCAAAACAGCAAAAAAATAGTGGCATAATTTTTGTTCAATTTTAACATTTTAATAGGGCAACAGAGCAATTCACTATGCTGCAAGCCGAGGTCATCAGAACGCTGTGCTACTGCTTTTGCACGCCGGGTAAGTACGTAGAAATGCGATGAAACATGTGCCATATTTTGACTTTTGGATTAAGCGATTTAGTTAATCTCTTGAACAGAAGCGATTTGTGAATGAATATATTGCGAACCAGATCAAGTTGTTTTCATTAAGAAAATTTAATGAAACAAATTCCTCGTCTTTTTTTCATTATGATTTTTAATCAAGCTGTTTTGATTAAGAAATTTAAACCAAGAAAATTCATCTTTTCTTTATGATCCTTATCCAACTTAGATAACCCTGTATGATATCCCAAAAACCGCGATATCTTTAACATGTCTCGATAAAGTTAGCAAACTTCTGACTGTAATCATTTCTTTAAATCGTTAATGTATTTATAAATGGTTCACGTGGCTCATGTATTGACACCTCACCTTGATTTTCAGTCTGGCATTGTCTTCTTATTTCCAGATGTGATTTGAACCCCACGAACAAAGACTTGGACACGCCGCTTCACTTGGCCGCGCAAAATGGTCACGAAGGTTGTGTGAAGGCTTTAATCTATTATGCAGAGCACGCGGGGAAGAATCTGAATCTAAGTTCGGGGAACAAGAATCTAGATTCGCCGTTGCATTTTGCATCTCGCTACGGCTTCCTTTCCATAGTGAATATTCTGACCGAACATAGCGCGTCGATTACCTGTACCAATATTGTTCATGCAACCCGTAAGTTGTACTCATAGATAATGTAGCGCTTTTTGTACATAGCTCGGCGGATATCGGGTGAAAACCTCCAAATATCGGGGTCAATATACATGTCAGGGGGCCAACATTTCGTCCTCTTGTATCCATATCCAGGGCCAAATGTCACCCTCCAATATCCATATCCATGAGAAAGTCTCGCCCTCCAATATCCAAATATCCATTATCCGTGGAGGTTCTAAATACGTACACTGTTAGAAATCTGGTATAGTCAGGCGGGTATTGATTTCTCGGTATTAAAGTTGCTACTACTTGGTATTAAAATTATACCGGTCCTTAAAAATTTGATGCCAATATTGTAAAACTTAAATACGATTTTATTACTACACGGTATTATTTATCAATACCACGTTGGTAGAGTCATATATGAATATCGACTGGTATTATTTAAGTAACTACTGGATTTCTAAGAGTGTATTAAATTCTCACCTTTAAATATCCAAATATCTATATCCTGAGCAAAATCTAGCCCTCCAAAGTCCAAGTAGCCATGAAAAATTCACACCATCCAACCTCCAAATATCCATGATATCCGCCGAGCTCTGACTTTGTATAACAACCAACTTAAGCTGCACAGAACGTAGAATTAACAAATGTCGTCTCAAATTTATGTCTCATTTACAGCGATTGACTGTGCTCACGATATCCACATTCTCCGAATCTTGCAACGATCTTTGCGAAGACGTTCCTTAGTCCAGACGGATCACGGAGATTATGTCAATATTGAAATGATGCAGAAAGAAGACTCCGGAGGAATTGTGATGCTCATCAGTGAACCCGCAGACGACCCTCCAACTGACCCTGCCCCACCACCCACTGAATCCGATGGAAACAGACTAAAATCATATAATAATAGTCGATCCGTCCGTCGAATTTCTAACCGCCGAGCAAGCGCTGCAACGGCTCCTCCCACTCTATTTATGCAAAATTCTCAGAGGTGGGGAAAATACCGGGTCAAAATGTACACCATTTTGAGCTCTAGATTTTGTATTTCCAGGGGTGTCATACCCACAAAAAGACGATAATCTACGTGGAGAAGGCAACAGTCGTACGAAAATACAGGTTTTTTTAAAGAAATTTACTTTTTATCGGTCTGAAAATACGATATATTTTTCTTAAATCGTGAAAACAATGCATTTAGACAATTTAATTTCTATAAAAATCCCACATTTTCGACTGAAAGTTGCCTTCTAGACTTAGATTTTCGTCTTTTTGTGGGTGTAACGCCCCTGGAAATCCAAATCCCAGAGCTCAAAATGGTGTACATTTTGGCGCAGTATTTTCCCCACCTCTGAGAATTATCTGCCTCCTTCTAGAAGTAGAAGAGTCTCTGCCATGGAACTACAACCTGAATTCAACGATGCAAGAATTTCAACTGAAAAGTGCTTGCAAACGGTGGTCCAACATTTAGAAAACGACCCCAGCAACGCTGACTTTGTAGTCGACTATGGTAACAACAACTACGACGCCACCACGGAGCAGGAACATCTTCGACTCGTTCCAGCGGAGGATCTTGGCATCCACGAACTTGCAGAAGAGATTGAAGACAAACGAGGTGAATTATTTAACATAGGACTCGATTACTCACAAAATAAGCACATTTTTAAGTATTTCTCCATTATGGGAATTTATTTTAAAATTCTGACAGACCCATTTGTAAAGCAGGTCTTTCCAATTTTAAAAAAATTAAAAAAAGAATAATTTGAACAGCAAAGGGAGTTGCCAAATTTTGGAAAACATACACTCCAAATTTTGACACTTTTTGACAGAGGAGATCTCAAGTTTAGGAAGCCTTTAGAAAAATTGGAACCCTAAGAAAAACTGGCTTAAAAAACTCGACCCCTTTCCATCAATCAACTCACGAAGGACAAATTCGTCGCGCAGAATTTTAAAATAGCGGAAAAATGATTAAAAACGTGCTGATTGTGCCGTCGAGTCCTACGTTAATTACAGGGCTCTTACTTTAATGACTGTCACTTAAGTCGCCAGAAATATTTTGTTCATTTTGTGTTCTTCTAGAGAGGAACATTGCAAAATTATTTGCCACCATTGCGGCTGGTGACGTTCCCTTGGCCTTGTTCTACCTGGGGATTCCAGCCGAGGAAAGCGACATTCTGCAAGAAAACGACCACTGCATTGATGTGATTCCTCCCTGTCACCCACTCTGTCCATGGTACTAGCTTATTACATATGCATATTTCTGTTTCGTTAATTTAGGGGTGAAAGTCCTTTATATATCCGTCCGTCTGTCCGTTGATATGATAGCATCAAAGGACAAGGCGAGTTAGAAGATGGACAGTGTAGGTCACACCCTTCAAGGTCATAAACGGTCACAAAATATTAAATTTGATACATTCATGATATGTCAATTCGAACTGAAATTTTACCCCGAATTCAATTGTGACCTCAAAGGTCACAGCAACTGTTAAATTTGACATATACGACGACACAAATGTCTAAAATACGTGAGACATATCAATTTAACAGATTTATATAACAGCTTTCACCCCTTGGTTACATGCGTTGTAACGGTTTCACGTACTGATACTTATTATCCTCGCATTTAGGCGTGTCACCTCATTTGCATAAATCTCACTATGCCCATTTTCGGCGATATGGGCTTTCCATGTTGAATAAACTCTGCCTCTCGCGAATGTGTCAAAATATGCAAATGAGGTGACCGGCTATAAAAATTCGACTATACATGTCCATATTTTATTTTTATAGTCCAAGATGCCTCGCAAAACAGGCCGGTTTGCGTCTTTCTCTCGACATACAAAATGCCGCCGGACTGTCGCCACTACATTTGGCGGTGACCTGTCATCTTATAGTTCTGGTTAAGGCTTTGATAAAATATGGGGCCAATGTTAACCTGCAATCAACCGTGGAGAAAAAGACAGCTTTGGATTTTGCGATTGCGCGAGGATATCATCAAATCGAGGACGTCCTTTTGACTGCGGGAGGATCGTCAAGTTTACACTTTCATTCCGTTTAATCCATCCCTTGGGAGGAATTTTAATTTTTAAGTGTAAATTAATTCCAGTGGCCGCCGAAGCTGTGGGGACATCTGGGGACATTAACATTGTAGGATAGGGGAGAGGGACGGATTTGTATAAGATGGGGCGATGATGAGGACATCAAACAACCGTGAGGGCATTGTCCCCCCCTTTGTCCCCTCAAGCTTCCGCGGCCACTGCTTAATTCCCACGATGTATACCGTCTAATGTATGCACTTGATATCTTTAATTAATGAATAAATGTACGAAAGAAATGAAATATTGCTTAAAAAATAAATTTGATTTATTCACATCAAGCTTGATTTACAAAAGTCTCGCTACGCTTGACGGCTAATACAAAAGTTTACACAAATTTTTGGCACATGTACATATAAGAACGCCCCACGTGGCATTATTCATGAAAATTTTTGCATCCCATATTTTTACAATGTATGAAATACACGTAACAAATAGGTGGTGCCATGCATACATAAATCATTTATTCGGTTTCCGGGTACCATTTTAAACGCTTTTTCATGATTAGATTTTTTTTCAATTTTTTATTTCGCACATGTCATCATCTTTAAGTTAAAAAAAGACTTACAATTATCATTCAAACACGATTTTCAATTTGCACTCCTTCTCCACCGAGTCCTTTGTCATGGTGTAAGTCACCGTGTTGTAATGAGAACGACCCGAATTTCGGGCGTACATTTGGAAATAGTTGTCCTGACTGGGTGAATCTTCGCAGGTGTCGTACCCGTTCGGAAACAGGCAGAAACTCAGACACTCCTCGACCGCCTCCTTTTTCGCTTTACATGAGAATTTCGACTTCAATTGTCCCGCGGCCAGGGTCATGTTCCGCTTAATTTGGTTATTTTCAGCGTGCAGGTCAGTAAAAGTTTGGTCCCATTGCTGCGCCCGTTGCAAACCGAGGGCTTGCAAATCTTGAAACTCTTTCTGCACGGCGCTCCACTCAGCGCGCAGGGTTTCGAGGCGCGATAAGGTGGCCGCGTTCTGAATTTCCAGAGAGTTTTGACATGTTGCTAGTTCCTCTTCGACCGGGGTGTATTGTTCCTGGGGGGAAATTAGGGGTAAGTTAAAATTTAAGGCATACCAAATCGGAGGGTTACACTTCACACCATTGCATTGTTACTTTTACAGAATAAGAACAAATTTTTACCGTAAATGAGACGAGAAGAGTGAGGAATGCGAGGAGTGGAGGAAATAATGCCGGATTATTTTGAGTCTGCATCGTTCCCAGTGGGATTTCAGATTGGAAAGAAATGTGCAGATCTCTAGATCTGACTGCTGATGAGATGGATGCTCACGAAAAAAGTCTCAGATTCGGGCTAGCTCATTAATTTGTCTCGTGTCATGATATCGCAAATTATTATGTATAAAATGAAGGAATTCATGTAATTTGTGCCTTCCCGACATTGGCATGGATAAGAAAAAGGCTTACTTAACATACATATGTAAACCACTACACTTTTCGTGTGATGTCAGTTTACTTGGAAATGATGAGCATTCATGGAAATGAGATAATTTCTCACTGCGTATCTGTGTAAGTATGACATTCGACCCCTGCCGAGAGCTTGACTGCTAAGAATGGGAGTCTCGCAGCGAATGCTCTCTGAATTTTTGCAAACTAGTCTCACTCGATGACAAATTTAATTAGTATGAAATTTGTAAAAGACACGATCTCCAAATGGCACGTTTGGCCGAAATGTTTGCATCCGAAGAGGAGAAAACGACCAATAAATTTAGAAAGTGTAGAATTTGTCGACTTTACAGCCCGTTTTGTCTTCTTCGGATGCAAATATCTCGACCAAACGTGCCCATTTTGAGATCGCGTCTTTCGCCAATTTTATTCTAATTAAATTCGTGATCAATTCACACTAATTTGCTAAAAATCTGACAGTATATGCTGGGACGTAGGTATTTATTTTTAAAATGCTCACCCATTTCACCCATATACTGGTTGGTGGACGGAGTGAGGAGGAAGTTTTCCCTTCTCTTGGGAACGTTCCTTTTCGTTCAAATGCTCCGCTGCGAATATGAGCGCTTCGAGTCCTCTGAGCAACTTCCGGTGGTTGACCTCCATCTTGTCCAACGGGAACGTCTCGTGCTGCTCGGAAGTATCCCGGTTAACATCCATCTATTCTCTGCACAGAATATTATATATTATTACGTCAGTATTTACATTACAGTGGAGGGACACATTATAGATGAAAATTAAACCGTTTAAGGGCAAATTAGCTCATGGTTTTTCCCGCAAGAACAATGAAAACCACGAAATACGTAACAAAATAGAAAACATAGTCGCTTAAATGAATATTACACGGTAATAAAATGGTGGGAGAACGACCATTGTTCAGGTCATGCACTTATCATTTCAGGTTATCATTCTCTCACCTTGTTGAAAAATACTTGGCTCGTGACGTGAGGGTGTGAAAGGCGGGAGTAAGTTTTTCTATTTTTTGAAAATCTGAGTCCTACAAGAAATTTCAAATGTAAATCTAAATATTTAAGTATTTAAAGTAAATTTTCGCCCATAATTAAGCCCACTCACCAAGTGAACTCCGCGACTTCGACGAGTTCCTTGTCAGTCACTAGTTCTTATCTACGAAGAGAACAAAGGTTTTTTGTCAAAAACCATATATTTTAATTATTGTAGTAAAATAATAATGGTTGAAAGTTAAAATTCGTTTAATTTTAATTAAAAGATAAATAATTCCCACGTGCCTGGCTTTGTTTTATGTATTTGCGGCTGATTTCTCGTTGGATCGCATTTTCCCCAACTTTCTCATTTCGAGAGTTTCTCATCTCTCAAAATTCATAAACTTTTAGTACTTTAAAAAAAATTCCTAATTAAAAAATAATAATTATTTGGTGTCACTGAAGGTTTTGCGTTTCAAAGGATTTGCATGACTCTTTTAAAAATCAATGTATAAAGCGATGTTCATCTTGAGAAAAAGTAGTTGCAAAAGGGCTCATGAAAAATATAGGTAGGATTTTTTTAAGTATTTTGAATCCTGGTACAATTTTATTTTATGAATGAATTGCTATCTGCATGAAGCACGTGTGCATATGACCATACATGTTCACATTCATTCACTTAATGGTGAATGAATAAAATATTCATTCAATATTCAAAAATTGAATGCATATTTTGTTTAAGTTTTGAATGAATGAATATCTATTCAATTCGTGTGAATGAATAATGAATGAATTTTTTTTCTTCATTCATTTTTTTTCTTAATGCTTAATACATAGGGAACGTTGAAAAATTCGTCTAATACGGTGAATTTTTATTAAACTGAATAACGCAGGAAAAGTGAATAAATGTTGAATAATTAATGAATATATTTTTTTACAAATTATGAATGAGGAATGAATATTTTTTTTCAAGGCTTTGAATGAATAAATATTTTTTTGAACATGTATGCATATGACAACCACAGTGTGGTGACTCTGGTGACCACACCACCAAGGAATCCGACCGAATAAAATATTTTTCGATGGACTACTGCTCACCAGTGGCCGTGGGGACCTCGGGGGGCATTAACATTGTAGGACGGGGGGGGGGCTGGTTTATATAAGATGGGCATCGATGATTCAGATATCGAATAATCGTGGGAACATTATCTCTGTCCACATACTTCCGCAGCCACTGGAGATGAAGTGGAGATGAAAAACCATTCATCAAATGGGCTGCGTATCATAAGTAGTATGCAAACTGAGACTTCCTACAGAATTATTTGTTCACCCTGGTCAGTTCGGATATGCAACCTGCAACCTGAGCCATGCACGATTTAAGTGTGATGCAAAAAGTGACCATTCTTCTCGTCAAGATGAAATACGTCCTCGTCACTGGTCCAGCCTTGCATTTGTGTCGGCGCATGGAAAAATGGGAGCGAGAAAGGAGCAGAGTTTTATAAAAAAAACGGAAATACTTTACTACATAAAAATCGTCAACACGGTAACAAAAAGTGTGTCATTATTACAAATTAAAAATTCGATTATGCCATTTTTATCAGTCATACGAGAACAATGAACTCGTCATAAACAGTGAAATCAAGAAAGCATTAATAACAATACAAGGTATAAAAGTTATTATTGTTTTGGATGAGCAGGGCTTAATTCTTGGGGGTGAATCTTCCTCAAGTGTCTCTTCAGATTGGATTTCTGCGTGGCTTTGTGCCCACAGTGGGGGCAGGGGTGCCGGATTTTGAGATGGACACCCCTCAGATGTTCCACCATGTCACCCTTCGTCCCGAACATCTTGCCGCACTTGGGGCACTCGATGTCCTTCAACTTCCGGTGCACCGTCTTCTGGTGTCTGGCCAGGTGATGCTTTTGACTGAAGGCTTGACCACATTCGTCGCATTTGTACCGTTTTGGGTTCGAAGTGTGAATGCGCTTGTGCAGATTTAAGCTACTTCTCGCACTGTACTGCTTCTCACACTGGTCGCACGGAAAAGGTTTCTCTTTCGTGTGGGAGGCCAGGTGAGAACGATAAGTGCGGTTATCAGGGAATTTCTTCTTACAGAATAAGCACTCTCGACCCGTCCCCTGCTTCACGAGGGCGGCCTTCTCGTCTTCGGAGAGGTGGGAGAACCGGTGATTGGTCAGAGAATCTTTGGAGGTGAAACTTTTTCGACAAGTGTGACATCGCCCGCCCACTTTTTCCGTGGTGTGGACCAGCAAATGACGACTGAGCTTAGATGGAGCTTTGAACCGTTTGCTGCAGAAGTAGCAGCCGTGTCGCCAGCCCTGCCGCACCTCCGCGCGCTCCTCGCCGCTCATGTGGACGAAGAGATGCCGGGTCATATCCGTTTTGTGGGCGAACTTCTGGTTGCAAATGAGACAGGCGTGGTTCTTCCGGCCTTCGTGCGGAGCCACGTGGTCGGTAAAGTAGTGACGATCGAAGAACGCTTTTTTGCAGTGGGGGCACTTCTCCTGGAAAAGTGAAGACCGCTCCCGCTCGTCGGAGTTGAGGTGAGTGCGGGCGTGGAGGTGAGCACTGGTTCTGTTGGTGAAGGGACGTAGGCATATTTTGCATGGGAAGATCTTCTTATTGCCAATTTGCGGTAATTTCTTGACTTTTGATGACCTGCTGCTATCTGAGGGGGACTGCACGTGGTTATCGTCACGTGGTGTTGGCTCACGTAGTTGGACGGAGTGATGAGGAAATCGTCCTCTCTCATGAAAACAATCTCCTTTCCCCACTTTCTTCATTGTGGGGACGGTCGTTTTCTGCCGTGGGGGTAATTTCTGCTCCGTATCGTTCATCCTGCCAAACGGCAACGGTTCTGCTCGGAAGTTACGACGCGAGCAACCCTTTCACTACACAAAATATTTGGCATTATTATTAGGTCAGCACCAGGACTGGAGCAGGATAGACTTTGTATGAAAATTATGCATGAAATCTTACCAAAGACGACTCTTTCTTCAAATTTGCGTGTGTTCTGGATGCGCTCGGTCTGAAGATAAAACTCTTTCCCTCTTTAAAATTCTGCTTGTCACGATTTTAAACCGACCTGCAGCTCTCTTCCTTTGCGACGTTCTGCTCTCTCTCTTTATCTCAATGCGAACTAGGTGGAAATTTGGAAATATTTAAAATTTCTGGAGCTCTCGTTTAACGGGGAGCTTATTGTCTCCCTCGGACGGAGAGATGACTTGGCTTTTCTGCCTATCCGAAAAGGCAACAAAATGCAGAATTATTATTTCTGTGTGGAGAATTAAGCAAGAACATCATGCCACAAACAGAAGGTGGTAGTCGTGCATGCACGTTAATCATTCATTAATTATTCAATGCAAATTGAGAAGATTGTCGTCCAGCTCTGGAAGAAATATGCGTGTGTCCAAAATCTCTCAAGTTTGGGTATGAATCAAAATTCCTTTCCTCCGGTTTGCCTTCAGCTTCATATTTGAAGGTGAGTGGCCGTGGAACCTGTGGGGACATGTGGGGATGTTAACGTAGTAGGATAGGGGAGGGAGGGGTTTAATCAAGATTAGGAGACGATGAGGACCGTGGAGACCTTTGTCCCCTCAAGCTTCCGCGGCCACTGGTTTTGCCTTCAAGTTCAGATTAGAATTGTGTCCCACTCACCTTAAAATGAACCATTGAAATGGAATATTGCTGGAAGAAATATGCAAAAACTGTCTCGTTTATTTATGTGGCCAGATTTGTTCTCTTCCTCCTTCGGCCGAACTATCGTTTCATTTCCGGTGAAGAGAAACAATGCCTGATTTATTTTCTCAGATAACACAAAAGTTTCCAACTGCATGAAGATTACGTTGGAATTTTAGAGTTTTATGTTTTTGATGGAATGCTCGCGATAAGAAATTGAATGAACGACCGTTAATAAATTATTGAGATTTAGGTATCATAATTAGTATGCACATTGAGATTTCCTGAAGAACTGTTTGTTCCCCTTGGTCTGCTTTGATAAGTAAGCCACATTTTGAGCCCTGCGCGATTTTAGTGTGATGCACAAATTGACATTTCTTCTACACAATTTTAGATCTCATTACTCCATTTTTTTAAATTCCGAGAAAATGTGTTATGCAAAGTAGTTATGTGAACTTTATGGAATACAAATCAAGCTATATTGTACCGGTACGGAAAATGCATTATGCAAAGTGACCGGAAACTGCAACCTACAATATTATGAGTCCTGCGCGATATACATGTGATGCACAAAGTGACTTTTCTTCTCGTCACGATGAAATAGTCGTCGTCACTCTTCCAGCCTTGCATTTGTGTTGGTGCATGGAAAAACTGAAGCGATACGCGAGCAGAGTTTTACAAACAAAAGAATGGCTTTATACTTACTCAGAATTACTTCACCAAAAATTTGATTCCCGCTTCGTATCCCTACCATACTAATAGTATGGGAAGGATATCAGCGCGGGATGGAAAAGAAAAACTGAGTTGGTATTACGTACTCCATAAAAATCGTCACGGAATAAAGGTAACAACCTTTGAGTCATGTTTACAACTTAACAATTCAATGATACCATTTTTATCCGTAAACTAAGAGTAATTATTTTGTAGTAAGGAAATACAGAAAACATAAGAATATAAGAATGTAAAGCATGGGAAATATGTATGTCGTCCCTCATTGTGACGTTGTCTGGGACGAAAAGACTTTATTTTGGGGGATGAAACTTCTTTAAATGCGTCCCAAGATTGCACTTCTGCGCGAACGTCTTCTCGCAGTGGGGGCAGGGGTGCCGGATTTTGAGGTGAACACCGTTCAGATGTTCCTCCATGAAACATTTCCTGCTGAACTTCTTGGGGCATTCGGGGCACTTGATGGGTCGCGGGTCCGCGCTGTGAAGGCGCGCGTGTATGTTTACACCAGTTTTCGAAAAGAATAGCTTTCCACACTGGTCGCAGCGGAAACGTTTCTCCTTCGTGTGGGAAACCAGGTGAAAGTGGTAGGCGCCGTTATCGGCGAATTTCTTTCTGCAAAATAGGCACACGCGCCCCGAACCCTGCTTGACGAGGGTGACCTTCTCATCTTCGGAGAGATGGGCGAACCGATGTCTGGTCAGGCCTGGTTTGGACGAGAGAATTTTCCGACAAACGTCGCACCTCCAGAGCACTTTTTCCCTGAGGTGGCTCAGAAGATGACGACGGAGGGGGGAATGACTTTTCAACCGTTTGCTGCAGAAGTAGCAGCCGTGTCGCCAGCCCTGCCGCACCTCCGCGCGCTCCTCGCGGCTCAGGTGGACGAAGAGAAGACGGGTCATATTTGTTTTGTGGGTGAAGCCCTTTTTGCAGGTGGGGCAGGCGTGGTTCTTCCGACCTTCGTGCGCAGCCACGTGGTCGGTAAAGTCGCGACGATGGAAGAACACTTTCTCGCAGTGGGGGCACTTCCCGTGGAAAATTGAAGGCTGGTTCAGCTCATGGGGGTTGAAATGGGTGCGGGCGTGGAGGCGAGCACTGGTTCGGTTGGCGAAGGGTCGTGGGCATATTTTGCATGGGAAGACTTTCTCCACGCCGCGGCGACCAGGCGTCTTACCCTTTGTGTCAGTGTGCGGGAATTTCTTCACTTTTGATGACCTGCTGTTAGCTGAAGGCGAGGACACGTGGTTATCGCCACGTGCTGTTGGCAGTGGTTGGAGGGCGTGAGGAGGAAATCGTCCATGCTCTCGAGAACTTTCCCCTTTCTCCACTTTGTCCGTTGTTGGGACGAGACTTTTCTGTTGTGTCACCAATTTCTGGTTGACCTCCATCCCGTCAAAGGGCACCGTCTGCTCAGAAGTTCCCCCTTAACAAAGCTCGATCTCGTTCTATGCACAAAATATTCATTCCGAATTGAATGACAGATTTGTGAAGATTAAGAATGCAATCTTACCAACGTTTTAAAATTTGGGGGTGAGGCGTGTGCTCTGGATTTAAAAAAATTTTACCTTGTCGCACTTTTCCTGTTTTTCAGGCTCCTCCACAATTTTCAAATTACGTCCAGTTTTCTGCTCTTTTTTTCTCGATGTAAACTGGGTGGAAATGTTGGAAATTTCTAAAATTCCTGGAGGAAGTGAGCTCTTGTTTCGCTTCTAGCTCGTGGATTTCTGTCTCCTTGGACGGAGAGAAGCCTTCGCTTATCTGTGTATCCCACCAAGCGCCAAGTCTCGTGTAGTCAAACTTATATACCAAAATGCAGAATAATTTCTGTAGGGAGAACTAAACAAGAAAGTCGTGAATTGCCAATATTTTGCATGCATGCAAATTATGCACATACATATTTCTTCCAGTAACATACAAAAGAAATCCGACAAAATGATGAACAAGCTAACCACAAATGTGCTAAATTTGCGAGGTTTTTGCATCCATATTTTACCCAGGAGTGGTCAATTTACATCGCATAATTAACTCTCGATTGACCAATGTGTTCGTTTTCCATTAAATTAAGAAATTCAGACTCAATCCTATGCAAACTTTCTTTTCTTCAGTTCTCCTTCATATTCCGCTTCATTTTGAAGAACATGCAACATAACAATGGTATACGAATGGAAAGGCAAAAATATCCCACTGGCAGACCAGCAGGAATTCATAACCAAATCTGCGAGATTTGTGAATTCACGCAGATTTCTTCCAGAAAAGGTGGACAAACAGTCTTAATTTGCATGGAATAATAATTAACAAATGATCAATTAGCATTATCATCACCACCGTCCGTCTTGCTTTACTCATGATTTTTTCTTGCTAAATTCTTCACACAGAAAGCATTCCGCACTTTTTGGCACGTCTGACTATGCAAATGTACGAGACTTGGCGTTTGGTGGGATATGAGATAAGCGAAGCTACGTATTTCTCACACAGAGACCAACAAACTCTCCGGCAAACAAGACCTCACTTCTTCTTCCTCCAGAAATTTTCCAACTTTTTAAAATTTCCATACAGTTTACATTCATAAAAAGGAACGACGCCAAGGAAAGAAAACTGGATAAGCTGAATGAAAATTTGTGGAGCAGTCTGATAAGCACGGATAAGTTCGACGAGGGATACATTTTTTTAAACTCCGGAACACACATCTCACCCCCAAATTTTCTTAACGAGCCATTGGTAAGATTTCATTATGAATTTTCACCTTTACAAAATCCGTTCTTCAACTCATCTAAGAGATTTCCTATTTTTCTGACCAGCAAATTTCCACTAAAGATGTCACAACGTCTGAACCCCATACGCGGTGGGAGCGGCGCGTCGTTCGTGGTGGCAGTCGCGGGACGGAGAAGGCCCCACCGCGACCACTCTGAGACAAGCAACCTGCACAACAGCAGGATCGACACCTACTCCGGCTTTGCGGACGGTTTGGCCGATTAGAAAGGGGTCTCGAGTTCCTTCATCGTTCCGGAAGTGGGGGCGACCAAGAAGAGGAAAAGGCCGGCCAAACCGCTCAAATTCAGTGACGATGAAGATGACGATGCCAAGGAGAACGACACGATGGTGAGTGTGAGGAGGAAACGTGTCAAGTAATATGACCACGGAAGCTGTGGGGACGTTAACATTGTTGGATAAGGGAAGAAGTGGTTTATAACACGATGGAGACATCGAATAATCGTTCCCTCCCCACCCTTCCGCGGCCACTGGTCGCATTTCAGTAATAATAAAAATTTACCCTCTTTCTGCGCAGGCGGATCCGCTAGCGCGAATTGAAAAGTGGGTGAACCACCAACACGCGTCCTTTGACCCGGCGAGAGACACCTTCGCGCCTGGCAGGGTCACCTTCGCGGCTGGCAGGGAAACCTTCGCGCCTGGCAGGGAAACCTTCGCGCCTGGCAGGGTCACCTTCGCCTCCTTCGCCGACACGACGTCGTCAAGCCTCGTGACCTCGTCCGTTATCCCGGTGAGACTATAGGTCAGAGGTCAACGCAAACCAAGCTGGCGGTGGCGCCACCAATTTTGCAGATTTTGTTGACCTCCGCTACAAATAATCATATTTTAAACAGGCATATTTTAAAAACTAATTAATTGTTCCTACTCAATTTTGTGCAGAATCAGTCGTCTGATTTTTCGCTCAGAAACGCCTCCACGCTTGCGCAATCCATGGCGGAACTCGACGCCGCGATGGACGCGACCAACTTTCCCGTCGCGTTTCAAAACTACGAGAAAAAGAGGGCGGAACGACGCCGAGGAAGGAAAACTGGACGAGCTGAGCGTCTCTGGAAAATTGTGGAGGAGCCGGAATCCAGGAGGGAAGAAGCTCCCGAACCGACCCCATCTCGAACACGCACATCACGCCAAAATCTAAAAGAAGAGTCGTTGGTAAGATTACATTCTTAATTTGCATACACAAATCCATCGTGCTGAGCAATGGCCGCGGAAGGTGTGGGGACATTAACATTGTAGGATAGGGGAAGGGCCGGGTTTATATAAGATGGGGAGATGATGCGGACATCTAACAACCGTGGGGACATTGTCCCTCTGCCCCACTGCGGCAACTGCTAAAAATCTCTTGTTCCACTCCATACAAATAAGTAGTGACCTACATAATATTGCACGTTTTTCTTGCAAATTTGCATTTTCAGATTAGAAAATTAAGAATTTAGGGGTCGCATACGATCGAATGTACGAATTTTTCCTTATCAATTATTCAGTGGAAATTGGAGGCCGGGGGACATTAGCATTGTGGGATAGGAGTAGGAGGGACTACTTAACACGAATTTGCTCAATTTCTGAGGGGACCATGCCCCCTGTTTCCTCTGCTAATGCAATTATTACCGATTTCTTATTCCTTATCCATAATTTTTTTCCAGACTTGGAAAACTCAACGCCACCGGTGTCACGTGTGTCGAAAAAGTCTCTCCTCCAAAGATTCCCTCACCAGACATCGTTTCTCCCACCTCAGCGAAAAAGAGAAGGCCGCCCTCGTGGCGCAGGGATCGGGTCAAGCGTGCTTTTTTTGCGACAAGATATTCCGCGACAAAAGCCATTATCATCGCCACCTGGCCACTCACACGACGGAGAAACCTTTCCGCTGCGACCAGTGTGGGAAACAGTTCAGTTTGAAAAGTAACTTAACCAGGCATGCGCCCATTCACTCCGCGGATCCGCGACCATTCAAGTGCACCGAGTGCGACGAAGCGTTCACTCGAAAAGCATCCCTGGTCAGCCATAAGAAGATTATTCACCAGAAGCGGAAGGACTTCGCGTGCCCCGAGTGCGGCAAGAAGTTCTGTACGAAGGGTAACATGGTGCAGCCTGTGAGGGGTGTTCATGCCAAAATCCGGCACCCCTGCCCCCACTGCGGGAAGACATTCACAGAGAAAGGCAGCCTTAGGACACATTTGAGGAAGCTTCATCCCCAAGAATTAAGTCCTTGTTCATCTGCCCATTGACCCCTCGTCAAATTACGACGTATTCTTTATATTTTTCCAGTTTCACTATTGTGACACGATAATTATTCTCGTTCGACTGATAAAAATGACATGCTTGAAGTATTAAGTTGAATCCATGACACTATTTTTCTTACCTGTTAGAGACCATAACGATTTTTAATTAGTAAAGGAATTTCGTTTTAGATCAAAAAAACTGTGCTCGCGTCTCGCTCCCATTTTTTCATGTGTCGACACAAATGCAGCGCTGTGACGACGACGTATTTCATATCGTGACGAGAAGAAAGGTCACTTTGTGCATCACATGCAAATCGGTCAGGGCTGGCAATTTCAGGTTGCATATCGAAACTGATCACGGTGCATAAATAATTCAGCAGTAAGTCTCAATTTGCATATTTAAAAAAAAAACATTCAAAATATAGAACACTAAAATTCCAGCATGATTTTCATATCGGTGGAAACTTCCGTTAGTATTGAGAAAATCAGGTATTATTTCTCTCTAATGCTTAAGCCGGAGGATGGGAACAAATCTAGCCACATATGCAAGTAGACCAGACAGATTTTGCATGCATGTTTCTTCCAGAAATATTTCATATCATGCATAAGAGTCGAGCATAAGGATGACAACAAATATAAAAAACTTGCTAGACCTCTACATCCATATTTCGTCCAGGAGTGATCAATTTGCATTGCATAATTAATTAAATGCTTGATCAATGTTCCCATTTCGATTAAATTCCATATGCATGCGTCACATTGTATCAGAAAAGATTAAGAAATCCAGACTGTACATAATTCCGTTTCAATACTTCATTTTCATGAAAGTGTGGCATAATTCTCATTCTGAGGTATTCTGATAAAGGCAAAAAGATAGCACTGGCATTCAGACTGCATAATGCAGTGGCCGCGGAAGCCGTGGGGACATTACCATTGCAGGAGAGAGGGGTGCAACGGGTTTATATAAGATGGGCACATGATTAACCGTGAGGACATTGTCCACAGAGTCCACACACTTCCGCGGCCACTGCAAGGATAAGAATGGAGGAAAGGAAGTCTAATTCATAGCCAAACTTGAGAGATTGTGGAAGCACGCATATTTCTCCCAGAGCTGGACAAACCATCCCAATTTGCATTGAATAATTAATGAATGACCATCACTACCTGTTCAAAAATTCACTTTTCATTCAAAAGTCAGTCATCCCGATTTCTGATGGAAGATTATCATTCACATTTAGTCATTTTCGTTCAAGTTCATTTCATTTCACTTCATCGGACTTCATTTCATACTTCACCCCATGTATTAAGCATAGGGTGAAAGATGAAAAGAGTGAAAAATCCTTCATTCACAGTCATTCATCTGAAATGACGGAATCCTTCAGTCATTTTAATTCAAATCACAGGAAATTCATGCTCATTCACTATCATTCTTCATCATAATCAGTCACATGAATGAATGTGAACATGTCACCACCACCGCCGTCTTCCTCTTGCCACGAATTTCTTGTTTTACAGAAATTCCTCAGCATTTCGTTGTCTTTTTGATGGACTACGAGATTCAGTGAGAGATAGATTTGCCTCTTGGCAAGGTATGCAGATAAACGAAAAAGCCATCCACGGTCGGAGGGAGACAGAGACCACCGGAAAATTAGAGTTTGAACTCTTCCCCCAGAAATTTTCATCAAATTTTTAACATTCCCAAATTTCCACCGAGTTTCCGTTGAGAACAGAACGTCACCAAGCAAAGGAAGTTGGACATCGATTGCAAATTGTGAAGCAGTCCGGATTCGACGGGGGAAGATTTTTTTTACTCTGGAACACACGTCTCTCGCCCATATTTTTGGTAAGATTGCGTTCTTATTTTTCATATAAAATCTCGTCTTCAACTTGATCTGCTGACCGAATAATTTGTACAATTTGGTGCCTATTTAAAGATCGATTTTTGTGCTAGAGGAGGAACTTCCGACCATCGAAACACGACGGAATGTGGGTCAACCAGCCCCACAAGGGGAAAATCGCTCGTAGCCCAGAAAGCTACGTCCCCACAAGGAAGAAAGTGGAGAGAGGGGAAAGTTCTCCAGAGAAGGGACAATTTCCTCCCCACTCCGCCCAACCAAAGCCAACAGCACGTGGCGATAACCACGTGTCCACACCTTCAGCCAGCAGCAGGTCATCAAAACCCATGAAATTGCAGCAAGTTGGCCGAAAGGGGAAGAAGCGTGGTGGTCACGTGGTGGGGAAAGTCTTCCCATGCAAAATATGCCCTTCACCAACCCAACCAGTGCTCACTTCCACGCCCGCACCCACCTCAACCCCGACGAGCTGGAGCAGTCCACACTTTTCCATGAAAAGTGCCCCCACGGCCGAAAAGTGTTCTTCACTCGTGGAGTCTTTGTCGACCACGTGAATTCCCACGAAGGCCGGAAACCCGGGGACGACGACATATTTCACCGTGAACGGTCAATTTGTGCATCACACTTAAATCGTGTATGTTGCCGGTTGCATATCGAAACGGACCAAGGTGAACAATTAATTCTGCAGGAAGTCTCAGATTGCATATTTTAAAACACATTCAAACTATAAAAAACTATTAAAATTCCAGCATAATTTTCATACCGGTGGAAACTTCCGGTTTAGTTGAGAAAATCAGGCATTGTTTCTGTCCAGATAGAACCGGAGGATGAGAACAAATCTAGCCATGTAAGTCAGCGAGACAGATTTTGCATGAATATTTCCTTCAGCAATATGGATCAGAAATAAAAAATTGCACATATAAAAGGATGATCAGTTAACAACAAATATACCCAATTTGCGAGATTTCATTTTCAGATTAAATAAGTATTTAAATAATTGATTGACCAAAATGGATGGATGCATTGTTTGATGAAAAATTTCTAATTTCCCTCAACAAATAAGCTCCGACATCGGCACAATACGGGCTACGATCTTTAATATTGCTTAATTTGAAATATCTTATATTTTTTTCAACAAGTAAAGTTATTAATCATAATATTCATAATCTTCCTTCGAAGAACCAATCTTAGTCTAGATATCTTCATCCGAGATACCGTCGACGCCAATTGGCTCATCTTCTTCATCCTCGGTCACCCACTCAGATTCATCTTCTACATCTTGAGGAGCCTCAATGGCATCTTCAACACCATCATCATCATTGGCAGTTTCCGGATCATCTTCGTCATTGGCAGATTCATCATCATCACTTTCGTCATCACTGTCATCACTGCTCTCATCTTCGCTTCCTGATTCCAGTTTATCTACCTCGTCGTCACTATCATCTTCATCCTCACTATTTTCATCTTGATCCTCTTTGTTTATCTTTTCTATCAATCGAGTCCACTTCTTGCTGCACTGTGGAACTGGAGCACCTTCGGCAGCCTCTTGTTCTTCTTCCTCCAAAGCGGCGAGATCGTCGTGTTCTTCAATGATGCGTTCAACGGCTTTCCACTTGTAGAAAAATGACGCGGGTGGAAGGTAGGTGCGCTTGACCCCTGCCTTGAGGGTCTTTGTGCAAGAAAATCGTGAATAATGGACGTAGATCTCCTCCTCAAAATCGTTCAAGTTGTCAAAACCTTCCTTCAGTTTCAACTTGAGGCCTCGAATATGAAGCGCAGATGCGACACTTTGAGGGTTGTCGGGATGGAACGTTCCTACGAAGAGAAAACGGAACAATTTATTCACTCACAATACCAATACTAAAATCGTATTACAATTATTATGATAGTTGAATAAGGACAAACTCACTTCGATCAAATGTCCGTTGCTTGACGCCATTTTTCTCGTTCCAAGTCCCCCAGTATTCATCTCGACTTTGTATGTACTTGTCCAGAGAGGTGATGGTGGCCAGGAGAATGTCCCTGTTAAACATTTCCATCATACGTACAAGTTGCTCTTCAGTTGGGGGCTGTTGAGGATTCGCTGGGAAGCAAAACGGAGTGGCTGATGGCAACGTTTTCTCCTTCACCTCTGTCAGCTTTCTCAGAATGTCAGGCAAGTGTCGATATTGGAACACATTGTAGCGAGTCATTGCATACGCCTCGTGGTACTAGTCAAGTAAAAAATTTTGAGATTTCAAAATAAATAAATAAATTATAAAAATTATTAACTTTAAAAACTCAAGTATTAATTATGTACTTCTTCCAGTGTAGAGTGCTTATATGCCAAATTACGGGACAAGAGGTTGTAGCGGGTCGAGCAACCTTTCCTATTCTTGAAGGAAGAAAATTGTTCAGAAATCTTTTGCCAGTTGCGATTCATCGATACAGCCAAATCCATTAACAATCGATCTTCTTCCCTACAATCATTACATTTTTTAAATGATAATAATTACGTACTAATAACTGTAAATATTATTATAAATGTCTTTCTTCCGACTCACAAAGTCCAAGGGACAATCCAATCATTGAATAGATTGGTAGCACGGTCGCGCCAAGCGGTTTCATACCGCCAAGAAAGATATTGGTACACGTAGCCCAAATGTCCCTCATCACAGAGAAAAGGTTTCAAACGTTGCATGGTTAGAAGTAGCAAGCAGTCTTCCGTTCGAGAAAACGGTCCCACTTTGATGAACGGATTCAGCTTCCTGTATCGCTCCTGTGCCACCCTTTTCGTAATTCCCTCATGATTCAGCGATGCAGCAACCTTTCGCCAGTGTCCCGGATTTTCTTGAATTCCAGTTTTGAGTTTTTCGTCCATTTCTTTAGTCCACACGGGTTTTGGGGGAGGAGCCACATGTGTGATGTAACGTTTCATGCACTGAAATGCTGTATGTGGCAGAGTCGGTTGACCATTCTTATCGACGCTGATTCGTCTGGCGATCTCGTCCCAGTCCTGCACCTTCTCCACGTCGTTCAGATATTGAATTTGTCGGGTTTGTTCAGCCGTCAATCTCTTGTGATTAATCTGTTTGACAAATCAAAACAATATGTAATAATTTATGATAAATAGGACAACAGAATAATTAATTATCCACCTTGGGATCAATGGCATGCGTGTTTGTGCGACTGCAATCGTCATCGGATCGCAATTTCTTTGTCCGAGTCATCATTTTCAAAGAAACCTCATCCCAATCGATCATTTTGTCGTTATTTTTGTCCTTCATCAACGTGTCAAAGCTCATGTTTCGGAGGCGTTTCTCCATCATGGTTCGCCACTCGCTGAGCTGTTTGGGCAACATTTCGTATGCAACTGTGTGATCCTGCGTACGAAGGAAAACCGGATAAACGATCCCGTACTTGTCGCGTTGCTTAGTTTCCTCCTTGGTTGGTCGTCCACGCCTTCGTTTCCGAGGAGGCTGGTTAACTTCATCCATTGGTTTCCCTTCTCGACACATTTCGTCCTTCCGACGGATCTCCGACTCCAATAAGAGCTCTGAATAACGGCCGTTTAAGTCATCAATCCGTTGTGAAACGACGCATTCTTTAATAGCTTGTTTTAAGGCTTTCAAATCCTTCTGGGTCCCTAAAATCGAAGTACCAAACAATTTAATAATGAATTATTCATCAACATTACGTAAGTACCTTAATACCGAATAATATGCTTACACTTTTGTTTCCGAACGGGAAAAGGCATGTGGTTCTTCTGAGCATTACGATTAGCATTTGGAAATTCAAATGATAACATTCCGTCTTCAGTTTTGAAGTAGGGAGGCTCCATCATCATCTTCACCCCTCTGATTCCAGTGATGCTCATCTCATCGAATTTGGCATCTTTCAAGTTCTCCCTAAGATATAATTCCTGAAACTTTTCCTAAAGAATCAATTATAAGAACAATTAATCGATGCTCATGTTGAATTAATTAAATATCCCTTTTTTAATTCGATAATCAAGCGGACAAAATATTATAAAACGTGTGCTGCTCTCTGCTCACCAAAAGACTATATTTCCCTTTCCGTACTGCTTCTACATTCTCTTTTGCTTCATAGATCCGCATCGCGACGACCTGTGCCGAGCCGGCCAACTTATACAGATCCATCTTCATCCTGTTTTTTGTTTCTGAAAATTAAAAATTAATCACAACTCATTAAGTTTCATTACATCAATTAAGCAGAAATAATGGATGAACAATTACTCTACCTCGCAGCCTGTGCGTAAATTCAAGGCAATCAATTGACCTGTTCTTCTTCCCGTATGGAAACGGGGCAATACCAGCGGTCCTGGTGCAAAACTCCAACATTTCATACTTTTGATTATGCAAGAACACGTCTGCCAGCTCGATCAGCCACTTTTTGTTGTCAAGCCGGGCCTTAGCATCCACACAGCTCGTGATGTACACGAGATGCTCCGCTTTCAAAATTGAATTAAGGATGACAGGTGTTGATTGTTTCATTTCGTGCAGCGACATCGCTTGATTTCGTTCATCGCCAGATTGTGTCAGAACTCGGGGACCAATCCGCTTCAATCCCTCGTACTGACGGATTGTGGCCTCTTTGGAGATGTGTAATGTTCGCATCATAGTCGACACGATAGACCCAGTAAATTTCTTCAATGGCAACGTTATATCCGCTTTAGGCATAATTTCTACAAAAAAATAGTTAACCAATCCAATATTAATTAATTAACTTGACATTTTAACCAATAAATAATATACCAGTTATAAGCTCTACTCACCATTAGTCTGGAGCGGTGCACAGACCCGTTTCACATCAGCCTCTGAGAAAAGTCTTTCTTCTGCTAAAGGATCTTCAATTTCAGCTTCCGGGTTTCGACCAAGTTTTGTTTTGATTGGTGCTGCAGGAGGACAATGGTTTTGCTTTTCCATCCGCTTGTAAGACGAGGTGTTTAACAAGTCCTTCCGTTCTCCACCCACAGCAACCGAAGGGCGGCGACCCAGACTGCCCGACGAACACGGTTCTTCTGCATCCTGCCACTTCTTATTTTTAATCAATGACTTCCTCCCCTCATCGGACTCGTAATCAGACCCAGAATCAGAAGAACTTGACCCGTCGTCATCTTCATCATCGCCTTTCCACTTATACGCCGTATCACTCCTTCGTCCACCGAACACGGGAATGTCGTCGTCTTGTAAAGTGTTGAAAAAAGCGTCCATCTCATTGTTCACGATATGAACAACTGATGCGTCGGGGATTTCTGCCTTGCACAATTGGCTAGCATCGACGACCCCTGATAATTCGTCGCCCTCAACGTCCACCTCCATCGACACTTCCTCTTCAAACTTTGACTTTACTTTGTTCTCTTTCACCTCATCTAGCTTATCCGGGTCAAGCAACACTAAAGACATGTTGTCGTTTGCTACTACTCCTCTACTTGGTTTTCTATTTTAATTAATAAGGTTGTAGGTAATCAAAAATTAATTAAGTTTAATACCTCGAAAAAAAAACTACACCAAAAAAACCTGTCTGCACTCTGCCTCCGCTGCTTTTTAATAACGAACTGATGATGGAGCAGGAGCACGCTCTCACCTTTCCGTTCGGCCCGGCTCGTCAGATGGTGCAGGATGTGCCTTTGCAAAGTCAAAGCTTTTTGGTGAACGCTGAATGCCGCAAATTTTACGATTTTATTTAGGTTGGACAAATTGAAATTGATGTCGCAACACCTCGCAGTGGCCGCGGATGCCGTGGGGATGTTAACATTGTAGGATGGGGGAGGGAGGGGTTTGCATAACATGGGGAGACGATGGGGACATCGAATCACCGTGTCTCACGGCCAATGTAAATTCTTATAAATTCATAAGAAGATATTTTCTTGTAAAATATCTTCAAAATTATTTTAATTGACTGTGACATGACTGCGACTGCGAGACTAGAATTTTTCGGCCAAGTCTGGCTTCATGGACTGGACTGGAATGACGATAAGGACAAATTGCATTTTAGTTAGACGACTTCATCAATGAAAACAATGTATTTTTGACGAGAAAGGTCTCATTTTATGAATTTATGCATATATTTTGGGTGTATTCGGATCTGTACAAAACCAACTAAACCAAACCACATACATACGTTTGCAGTGGCCGCGGAAGCTTAGGGACAATGTCCCCACGGTTATTCGATTTACCCATCATCTCCCCATGTTATATAAACCCCGTCCTCCCCCTATCCTTCAATGTTAATGTCCCACAACTTCCGCGGCCACTGTACATTTGTCGTCTTCTGCTCCCCGTCGCGTCGAATGGAATTATTGCCCAAATTTATCCCATTTCTGTATAAAACCCGTCCACAAAAGAGTCTTTTCATCTCATTTTCCGTTCAAGCGAGAGAGCAAACGTACGAATCGGCACGTGTTTTTGCAATTCTGCGACTCCTGATGATGCGATATTGTTCTTCTGGATGGGCGTGGCGTGAAATGGAGTGAACAGATGGAATAGTTGGCTTAAAAGTGAATTCTTTAAGCACAGAATGGAAAGTATGTACATATGTAAATCTGTATATACATAGAAATGCATAAGTTTGACGGCAATCGTATAAGATGAGATTTCGCATTTATTTATTTACAGAATCCGTAAACTTAATTTTTGTCTCAGAAGACCCCCGTCTCATGTTTATGTCAATTTCGCAAACCACAAAAAATAAGTAGTCTCACACTCATATAATCATGTCACAGTTAAGTAAAATAATTTTGAAGACGTTTTATTTCATAGTTTGCCCATGAAATTTCTCGAATTTACAAGAATAGAGGACGAGACAGTGAGGACATTGTCCGCGAGACACGGTAATTCGATGTCCCCATCATCTCCCCATGTTAGACAAACCCCTCCCTCTCCTATCCTACTATGTTAATGTACCCACATGTCCCCACGGCTTCCGCGGCCACTGCGACGTACGACATCAATGTCCAAAATCAAAATTAACCAAAATTACAGAAACTGTAATTTTCTATAAAATTTACGGCATTCAAAGTTGATCAAGTCACATCCTGCACCATCTCACGAGGTGAGCCGAACAGAAAGGTGAGAGCGTGCTCCATCCATCATCATTTCGTTATAAGAAAGCAACAGAGGCTGAGCACACAGGTTTTTTTGGTGTAGTTTTTTTATCGAGGTATTAAATTTAATTAATTTTTGATTACCTCCAACTTTATTAGTTAAAGTAAAAACAAGTAAACGAGTAGTAGCAAACTGCTAGGTCATGTCTTTAGTGTTGCTTGACCCGGATAAGGTCCTAGGTGAGGAGACAGAGAGTTTAGAGTTAGGGAACAATGCTAGGGTGGAAGAACAAGTGCAAGTGGAGGAAGTGTCGATGGACTTGGACATTATTGAGGACGACGAAACAGTGGTCGTCGATGCTGTGGAGGAGGATTCCGAAATCCCAGATGCAGCAATTGTTCGCCTCGTCTCTAATGAGATGGACGCTTTCCTGAACACTTTACAAGACGACGACATTCAAATGTTCGGTGGACGAAGGAGTGATGCGGCATTTAAACGGAAAGACATAGGTGAAGATGACGACAGTTCTTCTAACTCTGGGTCTGATTACGAGTCCGACGAAGGGAGGAGGTCACGTTCACGACCAAGTAAAAATAAGAAGTGGAAGGATGCCGAAGAAGAAGAGGGACCATGTTCGTCGGGCAGTCTGGGTCGCCGCCCAACCGTTTCAGGGGGTGTAGAACGGAAGGACTTGTTAAACACCTCGTCCTACAGGCGGAGAGAAAAGAAAGACCTTTGTCCTTCTGCAGCACCAATCAAAACAAAACTTGGTCGAAACCCGGAAGCTGAAATTGAAGATGCTTCACTTCCTGTAACGGAGGAAGAAAGACTTTTTTCCGAGGCTGATGTGAAACTGGCTTGTGCGGCACTCAAGACTAATGGTGAGTAGAGCTAAGAACTGATATATTATTATTTATTTGTTAAAATGAAGAGCTAATTAATTAATTATGGATTGGTTGGCTATTTTTTATTGTAGAAATTACGCCTAAAGCGGATATAACATCCCCCTTGCCGAACCGATTTACCGGTTCTATCATGTCAACCATGATGCGGACGTTGCACGTCTCCAAAGAGGCCACAATCCGGAGGTACGAGGAATTGAAGTTGCCCAAAGAAGTGAACCAATCAACACCTATCTTCCTCAATGGAATTTTGAGAGCGGAACATCTCGTGTATATCACGACCTGTGTGGATGCTAAAGCCCGGCTTGACAACAGGAAGTGGCTGATCGACCTGGCAGACGTGGTTTTGCACAATGAGAAGTATGAAATGTTGCAATTTTGCACAAGGACCCCTGGTGTTGCCCCGTTTCCATACGGGAAGAAGGATAAGTCCATTGATTGCCTTGAATTTACGCACAGGCTGCGAGGTAGAGTAATTGTTCACCTATTATTCCTGCTTAATTGATGTAATGAAACTTAATGAGTTGTGATTAATTTTGCTACTTTTCAGAAATTAAAAACATGATGAAGATGGATCTGTACAAGTTGGCCGGCTCGGGAAGAGTCATCGCGATGCAGATCAATGAAGCAACGGGCAATGTGCAATCAGTAAAGACTCAAAAATATGAACTTTTGGTGAGCACATAGTTTTATATTTTGCCTGATTAATTATCAAATTCAAAAAATGGATATTGAATTAATTCAAAATGAACATCAATTAATTGTTCTTTAGGAAAAGTTTCAGGATCTGTATTACAGAGAGAACATGAACGATGCCAAATTCGATGAGATGAGCATCACTGGAATCAGAGGGGTGAAGATGATGATGGAGCCTCCCTACTTCAAAACTGAAGACGGAATGTTATCATTTGAATTTCCAAATGCTAATCGTAATGCTCAGAAGAACCACATGCCTTTTCCCGTTCGGAAACAAAAGTGTAAGCATATTATTCGGTATTAAGGTACTTACGTAATGTTGATGAATAATTCATTATTAAATTGTTTGGTACTTCGATTTTAGGGACCCAGAAGGATTTGAAAGCCTTAAAACAAGCTATTAAAGAATGCGTCGTTTCACAACGGATTGATGACTTAAACGGCCGTTATTCAGAGCTCTTATTGGAGTCGGAGATCCGTCGGAAGGACGAAATGTGTCGAGAAGGGAAACCAATGGATGAAGTTAACCAGCCTCCTCGGAAACGAAGGCGTGGACGACCAACCAAGGAGGAAACTAAGCAACGCGACAAGTACGGGATCGTTTATCCGGTTTTCCTTCGTACGCAGGATCACACAGTTGCATACGAAATGTTGCCCAAACAGCTCAGCGAGTGGCGAACCATGATGGAGAAACGCCTCCGAAACATGAGCTTTGACACGTTGATGAAGGACAAAAATAACGACAAAATGATCGATTGGGATGAGGTTTCTTTGAAAATGATGACTCGGACAAAGAAATTGCGATCCGATGACGATTGCAGTCGCACAAACACGCATGCCATTGATCCCAAGGTGGATAATTAATTATTCTGTTGTCCTATTTATCATAAATTATTACATATTGTTTTGATTTGTCAAACAGATTAATCACAAGAGATTGACGGCTGAACAAACCCGACAAATTCAATATCTGAACGACGTGGAGAAGGTGCAGGACTGGGACGAGATCGCCAGACGAATCAGCGTCGATAAGAATGGTCAACCGACTCTGCCACATACAGCATTTCAGTGCATGAAACGTTACATCACACATGTGGCTCCTCCCCCAAAACCCGTGTGGACTAAAGAAATGGACGAAAAACTCAAAACTGGAATTCAAGAAAATCCGGGACACTGGCGAAAGGTTGCTGCATCGCTGAATCATGAGGGAATTACGAAAAGGGTGGCACAGGAGCGATACAGGAAGCTGAATCCGTTCATCAAAGTGGGACCGTTTTCTCGAACGGAAGACTGCTTGCTACTTCTAACCATGCAACGTTTGAAACCTTTTCTCTGTGATGAGGGACATTTGGGCTACGTGTACCAATATCTTTCTTGGCGGTATGAAACCGCTTGGCGCGACCGTGCTACCAATCTATTCAATGATTGGATTGTCCCTTGGACTTTGTGAGTCGGAAGAAAGACATTTATAATAATATTTACAGTTATTAGTACGTAATTATTATCATTTAAAAAATGTAATGATTGTAGGGAAGAAGATCGATTGTTAATGGATTTGGCTGTATCGATGAATCGCAACTGGCAAAAGATTTCTGAACAATTTTCTTCCTTCAAGAATAGGAAAGGTTGCTCGACCCGCTACAACCTCTTGTCCCGTAATTTGGCATATAAGCACTCTACACTGGAAGAAGTACATAATTAATACTTGAGTTTTTAAAGTTAATAATTTTTATAATTTATTTATTTATTTTGAAATCTCAAAATTTTTTACTTGACTAGTACCACGAGGCGTATGCAATGACTCGCTACAATGTGTTCCAATATCGACACTTGCCTGACATTCTGAGAAAGCTGACAGAGGTGAAGGAGAAAACGTTGCCATCAGCCACTCCGTTTTGCTTCCCAGCGAATCCTCAACAGCCCCCAACTGAAGAGCAACTTGTACGTATGATGGAAATGTTTAACAGGGACATTCTCCTGGCCACCATCACCTCTCTGGACAAGTACATACAAAGTCGAGATGAATACTGGGGGACTTGGAACGAGAAAAATGGCGTCAAGCAACGGACATTTGATCGAAGTGAGTTTGTCCTTATTCAACTATCATAATAATTGTAATACGATTTTAGTATTGGTATTGTGAGTGAATAAATTGTTCCGTTTTCTCTTCGTAGGAACGTTCCATCCCGACAACCCTCAAAGTGTCGCATCTGCGCTTCATATTCGAGGCCTCAAGTTGAAACTGAAGGAAGGTTTTGACAACTTGAACGATTTTGAGGAGGAGATCTACGTCCATTATTCACGATTTTCTTGCACAAAGACCCTCAAGGCAGGGGTCAAGCGCACCTACCTTCCACCCGTGTCATTTTTCTACAAGTGGAAAGCCGTTGAACGCATCATTGAAGAACACGACGATCTCGCCGCTTTGGAGGAAGAAGAACAAGAGGCTGCCGAAGGTGCTCCAGTTCCACAGTGCAGCAAGAAGTGGACTCGATTGATAGAAAAGATAAACAAAGAGGATCAAGATGAAAATAGTGAGGATGAAGATGATAGTGACGACGAGGTAGATAAACTGGAATCAGGAAGCGAAGATGAGAGCAGTGATGACAGTGATGACGAAAGTGATGATGATGAATCTGCCAATGACGAAGATGATCCGGAAACTGCCAATGATGATGATGGTGCTGAAGATGCCATTGAGACCCCTCAAGATGTAGAAGATGAATCTGAGTGGGTGACTGAGGATGAAGAAGAAGATGAAGAAGATTGACGTCGACGATACTTCGGATGAAGATATCTAGACCAAGTTTGGTTCTTCGAAGGAAGATTATTAATAATCATGCTTAATATTCATATAAAAACTTGTTACGTTATAATTATTAATTAACATGTTGTAACACGTTTTCCATGAAGTGCTTTAATAATCGAAAAGTAATTGAATAAAAATAGTTAAAAATTGGAAATTGATCTTGCTCATGATTCGCCTTTTGCTAAATAATAAATGGTAAAAACCCTGACCTACTCTACACAAGTCCTGCAACTGTTCACGCCTCATAAAACCCTAGAAGAGACAATGATCCACAAAATATTGAAACAAATTTTATGAATTTTGAGAGATGAGAATTTCATGCGAGGAAGAGACAATGGGAAAAATGCGATTCAACGAGAATTCAGCCGCAAACTCCGGCACGTGTAGGGCACGTGGGTCTTCTTTTTTAACAACGAATTTTCATCTCGACTTTCGTCTCTTAATTATTTTATTGACCGTAATTAAATTAAAATCTAGATTTCGACCCCATGATCTCTTCCTAGATAAGAATTAGCGACGACGAACACTTATCCTTTCTTTGATGAAACAAGATTCTTCTATTTAGTTGGTGAGTGAGTGGGTTTAATTGTTGGCTAAAATAGGGTTAAATACCTAATTAACTTGAAATATTTATAGATATTCAAAAATTTATAATCGAATTTTCTTATACTTTCAGAAATTTGGAAAATAGTCGAATTTTGTCCCACCCTTGACACCCTCACTATCTACCTACTCTCTAAAAAGGTGAGAGAATGATAATGATAACCTGAAATGATTATAAAAAATGCATAAACCGAACAATGTTCCTTTTCCTGCACTTTTATTACCGTGAATTCCTTCATTCTTCATTCATTTAATCGACTTTATTTCCTATTTTGTCCTGTATTTCGTAGTGTTCTTGTGAGATAAGCCAATAATCACTGATTTTTTTACCCCACATTTATGTAAATAGTATGAATATACGTTATTAGAGGTGTGTAGTCAGTGGCCGCGGAAGTTGTGGGGACATTAACATTATAGGATAGGATAGGGGAGAGCCTGGTTTGTATAAGATGGGGAGATAATGTTGACATCGAATAATTGTGGGGACATTGCTGACCCTTCCGCGGAAACTGTAAATATGTAGATTAGTTAGATGTTTTCACTTGTATGTAAATATTCACATGTTTAATTGCCCCCCCCCCCCGACGAATCTCTCCACTCAATTTTTTTCAATTTTCACTAAAAAAATCCTCCTTTCCAATTAATTCTGAGAGCAGAATCGCAATGTCAAAGGGGGTCGACCACCAACCTGAAAATGTCGAAGCTGTCACGACGACGACGAAAAGTGGACCGGAAATCGTCCTCGGAGAGAAAAATAGTTCTGAAGAAACGACTGCATCCCCAACACAAAATTATCTTATATTATATTATCTTATTAAGGACGAGCCATTGGTAAATACGATTGCCTTCTAAATTTTCATCCCAAATCTGTTATTCGACTCAAGCTGATAATCTAATAATATTTATTTTGTACAGGAAAAGGGATCGAGTTTTGAAAGTTCTCAAGAGAACCGACAACTTCCTCCTCACTCCGCCCAACCACGTGACCCATCACCACGTGACGATGACCACGTGCAGCCGCCATCGACTAGCGGAAAGTCACCAAAAATCAAGAAACCAAAAATATTCCCGTGCAAAACATGCCTTCGTCCCTTCACCAACCGAACCAGTGCTGACCGCCACGCCCACACCCACCTCAACTCCTCCGAGCTGGAGAAGGCCTCATTTTACCACTCGAAGTGCCCCCACTGCAAGAAAGTCTTCTTCCGTCGTAAAGACTTGACCGATCATCTCTTCGTCCACATGAGCGCAGATGAGCGCGCCGAGGTGCGGCAGGGATGGCGACATAAGTGCTATTTCTGCACAAAACGGTTCAAAAGTCCGTCCCATCTCAGTCGTCATCTTGTGACCCACACGAAGGAAAAGTTGGGTGGGAGGTGTCACACTTGTCGAAAAACATGCTCCTCCAAAGATTCCTTGATCCGTCATCTCTTCTCCCATCTCCGCGACGAGGAAAAAGCCGCCCTCGTGAAGCAGGGGACGAGTCGAGTCTGCCTCTTCTGCCAGAAGATATTCCCCTCCAACGGCACTTATCATGCCCACCTGGTCTCCCACACGATGGAGAAACCCTTCCGTTGCGACCAGTGTGGGGCGCAGTTCGCTAATAATAATATCTTAACCAGGCACGCCCGCATTCACAGCGCGGATCCGCGACCCTTCAAGTGCACCGAGTGCGACCAAGCTTTCGGTCGAAAAGAACATCTGGCCAGGCACAAGAAGACGGTGCACGGGGGGCTGAAGGACATCGCGTGCCCCCAGTGCGGCAAGAAGTTTGGCGATAAGAGTGACATGATCCGACATGTGAAAGGTGTGCATGGCAAGATCCGCCACCCCTGCCCCCACTGTGGGGAGATATTCACGCAAAAAGGCAACCTTGGGAGGCACATGAGGAAGGTTCATCCCCCAGAATAAAGTCCTTCGTTTGTCGACTGAGCCCTCGTCAAATTTCATGTAATGTTTCCATGCGTTAGATTTTTATATGTTCCCGATGTCGCCATTTGTTACGAGATAATTATTCTCGTATGACTGATAAAAATGGAATAATTGAATTAGTAAGGTGTAAACATGACCAATTTTTTGTTACCGTTTTGACCACGACGATTTTTAATTAGTAAAGTCATTCTATTTTGTGTAAAACTCTGCTCGCTGCTCGCTCTCTATTTATCAGCGCCGAAATAAATGCAAGGATGGAACAGTGCATGACGATGTCATACATATTTCGTCATGACGAGAAGAACGGTCACTTTGTGCATCACACTTACATAAATCATGCACGGCTCGCATTGCAGGTTACGGTTTCGGGTCACTTTGCATAACCCATTTTACATAACAGAATGATTACGTAATCCATAAAAGTCACTTGGTAAATGGAAACAACCACTTTGCATAACACATTTTCTCATATTATTATTTGTAAATGGAATAACTTCTTAAAACCAAAATCATGTAGGCGAACGAAACAAAAAGAAAGATTAGTTTGTGCATCACACTTAAATCTCATATTGCAATTTGCATATTGAAATGGACGAAGGTGACTAAATAATTCTGCATGCAAAAAATTATTCCAGCTTGCATATTAATTATCGTGACACGCAGACGTCCACAATTGATAAATGGTCGTTCTAAAAATAAACAAAATCAAGAACTCATCACAAATGAGGAAGGAATATTATTTAGTTTTATTATTTTTTCCTAAATATGAAATTAGTATTACTATTATGCAGTTAAATTAATTTAAATTGTAGAGATTTTAACCAGTTTTTGTTGATTTTAGGCTTCCAAAATGTCCAAAATAAAAAATGGATCAAAATGTTACAAGTTTTTCATTATTGAATCTTCTGCGTGCGGACCTACATGCAGTTTCCCATTAATTTTGAGCATTTTACGGGTTTCTGTAATACCACGAAATTTGGGAAAACTGAGGTTTTCACATATTTTCTTTAGACAAATTGAGAAATTTTATAATCTGAATGAATGAACAAGCAGTCGCGAAAGAATGGAGGAAAGGAATTCTGATTCATATCCAACGATGAGAGATTGTGGAAGTACACATATTTGTGGACAAACGGTCTTAATTTGCATTGAATAACTGATCAATCAGCATCACCGTCATTTGTCTTTGTGGCACGATTTTCTTGCAAAATTCTTCGCAAGAAGAATCCACTTCCGGTTGCGTTCATCTATAAACGCCGCATATTTCTCGCACGTTCTTGCGAGAAAATGCAATTCTCACATTTTTTTCCACTTTCTTTTCACAGTGCATGGTTAAAACCAGGGCGAAACTCTACATCCAAATTTTGTGCTTGACTAACACGAAGCCACCATAAATTGACAAAGTATATAAATCCGTCTCATCCTCTTTCCTATGCAATTCACTGACCTAGTTTAACACGAAATATTTTGCATGGTAATAACTTCTCTACACGATAACCACAACTTTCGCCTGGTTCATATTTTTGCAACAAATTTCCATATTTTGCTTGCATGGAGTTTGAATCATTGCAAATTTTGCACAGTGCTTTCTTAATTTTGTGACATTCACAGATCTTAATTCTAATGTGAGTGTAGCTACAAAAAGATAAAAGCACAAGGGAAAGAACGGAATTCTGATTGATAACCAAATTCCAGAGATTGTGGAAGCATGCACACTGTTAGAAATCCGCATGTATTGATATCTTGGTATTAAAGTTCCTACCGCTTGGTATTAAAATTATACCGGTCCGTAAAAATGTGATACCAATATTGTACAACTTTAATACTGCATGGGTTATTACTTCACGATATTATTTATCAATGCCACGTTGGTAGAGTCATACATGAATACCGCCATGGTATTAAATATTTCAATACTGGATTTCTAAGAAATATGCATATTTCTTCCAGAAGTGGACGACAATCGTCTCAATTTGCATAATGAATTATCATCACCACCGTCTTATTAATGAGTTCATTGCTTAATACTTCTCATGAAAATTATTTATCTGCATTTTTTCCTCTTTTTGGTCCGTCTGACTACCAGATTCAGTCCGAGATTTGGTGTGATATGCAGATAAGCCATCTCTCCATCTGAGGAAGATAGAGACCAATAAGCTCTTCAGCAAACAAGAGCTCACTCCTTCATCCAGAAATTTGACCATTTTTAAATATTTCCACCCAGTTCACTTCGACAAAAAGAGAGCAGAACGTCGGGTGAAAATTGAAGAACTACAGGATTCAACTAGGGAACGATTTGTTTAACACACGCCTCACGGAAAATTTGAAAAACGAGTCGCTGGTAAGATTGTATTCCTAATTTACATATAAAATTTGCCTCATATAAAGAACACCTGCTGACCTAACATTATGTGCAGACAAAGGTCAGGTTGGGTTGCTAAAGGGGGAGCTTCCCAGAAGAAAAAGAGGTTCAAGTTGGACTCGATGGAGGTCAAGGTGGCGTCCCCTTCAGCCAGCAGGAGATCATCACAGACCAAGAAATTAGTCGGCGGAAAGCGTGGTTGCCACGTGGTGGTGAAAGTCTTCCCATGCAAAATATGCTTTCGCCCCTTCACCAACGGAACCAGTGCTCACCTCCACGCCCGCACCCACCTTAACTCCGCCGAGCTGGAGAAGACCTCACTTTTCCACGCGAAATGCCCCCACTGCCAAAAAATGTTCTTCGTTCATCACCACTTAACCGACCATCTCTTCGTCCACCTGAGTCGCGAGGAGCGCGCGGAGGTGGCGCAGGGCTGGCGACACGGCTGCTACTTCTGTACCAAACGGTTCAGAGTTTCGTCCCATCTCAATCTTCATCTTCTGACCCACACGAAAGAAAAGTTGGGCGGGATATGTCACGTGTGTCGAAAAACGTTCACCTCCAAACAAAACCTGACCAGGCATGGGTTCGCCCATCTCTCCGAAGACGAAAAGATCGCCCTCGTGAAGCAGGGGAGGAGTCGAAAGTGCCTCTTCTGCCAGAAAAAATTTCCCGACAACCGCGCTTATCACGTTCACCTGGTCTCCCACACGAAGGAGAAACCTTTCCGCTGCGACCATTGCGGGGCGCTTTTTGGTTTAAAATATAACTTAAACAAGCACAAGCTCATTCACAGCGAGGATCCGCGACCGTTCAAGTGCGACAAATGTGACCAAGCGTTCAGTCAAAAACATCACATGACCAGTCACAAGAGGACGGTTCACCGGAAGTTGAAGGACTTCGCGTGTCCCGTGTGCGGCAAGAAGTTTGGGAGGAAGAGTCATATGGTGGGACATCTGAGGAGTGTTCATGCCAAAATCCGGCACCCCAGCCCCCACTGCGGCAAGACGTTCACGCAGAAAGGCCATCTTGGGATACATTTGAGGAAACTTCATCCCTCAGAACCTTCGGCGAAATAGCGTCGCATCAAGTGACCACGTGTTTCCCAGATTTAATATTTTCCTGATTTCGCCGTTTATGACGAGATGATTATTCTTGTAGGACTGATAAAAATGGCGTAATTGAATCATTTAGTAAACATGACCCGATTTTTGCTACCGTTTTAACTATGATGATTTTAATGTAGTAAAGTTATTCCGTTTTTTGTAAAACTCTGCTCTCGTCTCGCTCCCATTTTTCCATGCGGCGACACAAATGCAAGGCCGGAACAGAAATGACGACATATTTCATCATGACGAGAAGAAATGTAAATTTATTTCGAAATGTGAACAAATGATTGTGTAGGAAATCTCTGTTTGCATACTAATTCTGATCCGCATAAGTCTTAGAAAGTGAGGAATGATCATTCATCTCTTAACGATAGCATTCCATCCAAAATGTAAAGGTAAAATTCCAGCATAACTCTCACTCATTCAAAAATTCCGTTTTATTTAAGAAAATCATGCATTGCTTCTGCCGAACGGAAATAAAATCATGTCTTCAGGAGGAGAACGAATTTAGCCATGTAAGCACACCTGTTCACTTTCATTCATTTGACTGATTATGATAGAGAATGATACTGGATGAAAATGAGTTTCCTGTGATTTGAATGAAAAGGAGTGAAAGATTCAGTAATTTCAGATGAATGACTGTGAATCAAATGATTTTTCATCCTATGCTTAATACATGGAGTGAAGAAGAAATGAATTCAGATGAAGTGAAATGAAATGAGATGAGTTTGAAAAAAATGACTTGAATGTGAATGAAAATCTTCAGTCAGAGATCGAGATGACTGACTTTTGAATGAAAACTAATTTTTTGAACAGGTATGCATGTACCGTAAAAACTCAAATAGTAGCCGTTGCTCAAATAGTAGCCGTGCTCAAATAGTAGCCCTGCGTTTTTTCATAATTCTATAAATAGTGACCTTGCCCAAATAGTAGCCTTATTCGAATTATAGCCGTGCATCAACTTAACCACACATCTGCTTGCCAGGTCATTTAAGTAATTCAGTTAAAATTCAATTTAATCGCAATTACATACAAAAAATCGAAGTGAAAGCGAGATTCGGCTCATCGAAAAAAATGATTAAGAACAGGTTTAAACAATAGAATTGTCATAGACTGCGATTTTAGGGGGGAAATCGGTGCTGTTATTAAAATTTAATTCGAGCTTGATTCTGGAAACAAAATTACAATAGCTGTGTGCAAATAGTAGCCGTGCATCTTTCCGTCATTTTATAAATAGTGACCCTGCCCAAATAGTAGCCTTGCTCAAATAGTAGCCGGGTCCCACACTCCGATTTTCTAAATAGTAGCCCCCGGCTACTATTTGAGTTTTTACGGTATGTAAGCGAGACAGGTTTTGCATGCATACTTCTCCCAGTAATACGGACATAAATATGCAAGAAATCAAGAATTGAGCATAAACAAGCTGACAACAAAGATACCAGATTAGCGACATTTTTTATGGAAATTTCGTACCGAGTGGTCAATTTGCATCGCATAAGAAGTGTTTCATCCAAAACTACTTTTGCACTGATACCATCCAAAACTGTGCAAAATACTTTTAGATAATTTTTCAAAAGGCGAAAAGCGTCCAACTTTGGCAAATGGGGCAAAATGATACAACTTTTTTTGCTAATGTAAATCTAGGTATATGCTTAAATATGTAATCTCCCTTTAATTTTGAGGATTTTGATGTGCCTTAAATATCACGAAATTTGGGAATACTTTTGCTTTCACATGTTTTATCACTTAAGAAATTTAGAAATTTTCTAAACCATGCCATTTTACAGACCAAAATTAATAGGAGATTACACACATAAATACGTCAACGGATTCTTGAAAGATTCATAGTGTAGGTGTAACATTATGCCCTATTTTCTATTTTGGACACTTTTAGACGTCCAAAATTCGGTGCCCAAAAATTGGTTAAAACCCATTTTGGATAGTGGTTAAAACCTCGGCGTAAATGTATTTTTAACCATTTCATGAAGTGGGGAATATGAGATAAATACACATTAATGCGTCCGTATTGGGTTACATGCATAAAAATATGTAAATGCTTTTACTCCGAAATTTCCTAAATTGTTTCTCTCTGGAAATTTTTAAGCGAAAGCATGCATATAAACTTATTTTTTTGTGTGCGTCTCATTTTCCGAGAAAAATTAAGATATCCAGACTCAATCTTACGCAAGATTCCAATTCTTGAGCTTTTCTTTCTTCATTTTCCGTTTCAATCATTCATTTTAATTGAAGTGTCGCAAAATTTTATAATCTGAAGACGCACTCGTGAAAGATGAGGGGAAAGGAGTTCTTAACCAAATTTGAGAGATTGTGGACGCACGCAGATTTCTCCCAGAGGTGGACAAAAATCTAAATTTGCATTGAATAACTGATCAGTCAGCATCACCGGCACGATTTTCTTGCAAAATTCTTGGCACACAAAAGTTATTCTGCATTTTGTAGCTTTTTTGGTCGGTCTGACTATAAATACGAGACTTTTGTGCATGCTGGTGGGATATATATGGAGATAAGCGAATCTGAGGGAGACAGAGACCAGCAAGCTCCTCAGCAAACAAGAGCTCACTTCTTCCTCCAGTAATTTCACATGTTTTAAAAGTTTCCGACCAGTTTACATCGAGGAAAAAAGAGCAGCACATCGATCGCACAGTAAGGAAAGTTGGACGTCATTTGAAAATCGTGACGGAGCCTGAACCGCAAAATTTGGCGAGGGAACTATTCTTTACTTCGTATTATAACACACGCCCAAATTTCAAGAAGGAGCCGTTGGTAAGATTTCATTCGAAATTTCCATGCAAAATCTGTAGTTTTCTACTCGGAATGCTGACGTAATTTCATTCTTAAAGGATCGGGAGAATTTCCGAGCAGAACGAGATGGAGGTCAACCAAACGCACCAGAAATTCATCCAACGACACAAAGCGCTCGTCTCCTCAACCGAGAAAGTGGACCGTTTTCAGAAGAATGGACGCCTTCCTCCACACCCCGTCCAACCATGTGAGCCAACAACACGTGATGAGAACCACGTGCAGACACCTTCAGATAACAGGAGCTCATCGAAAGTCAAGAAATTACCGCAAATTGGCAGAAGGCGGGGTCGTCATGTCGTGGGGAAAATCTTTCCCTGCAAAATATGCCTACGTCCCTTCACCAACAGATCCAGTGCTCACTTCCACGCCCACACCCACCTCAACCCCGACGAGATGAAGCAGTCCTCACTTTTCCATGAGAAGTGCCCCCACTGCGAAAAAGTGTTCTTCACTCGTCAACACTTTACCGACCACGTCAACGCGCACGAAGGTCACAAGAACCACGCCTGCCTCTCCGAAGAGGAAAAGGTCGCCCTCGTGAAGCAGGCGAGGAGTCGAGAGTGCCTCTTCTGCCAGAAGAAATTCCCCGACAACGCCACTTATCATGCCCACCTGGCCACCCACACGACGGAGAAACCTTTCAGCTGCGACCAGTGTGAGGAACAGTTCAGTTTGAAGGGTAACTTAAACCTGCACAAGCGCATTCACACTTCGAACCCAAAACGGTTCAAATGCGAGGAATGTGATCAAGCGTTCAGTCATAAACATCATCTGACCAGACACAAGAAGACGGTCCACCGGAAATTGAAGGACATCGCGTGCCTCCAGTGCCCCAAGAAGTTCGGGACGAAGGGTCACATGGTGCGGCATGTGAAGAGTGTTCATGCCCAAATCCGACAGCCCTGCCCCCATTGCGGGAAGACATTTTTGAGGAACGACCATCTTGGGAGTCATTTTAAGAGAGCTCATCCGCCAGAATAATATCAAGGGACGAAATGTTTTACATGTTTGAAATACCTTTATTTTCCCGATTCCGATTGATAAAAATTGCGTAAGGTGTAAACATGACCCGATCTTTGTTATCTTTTTGATTTTGACGATTTTTATGGAGTAAAGTGATTATATTTTGTGTAAAACTCTGCTCGCTCCCATTTTTCCATGCGCCGATACGAATGCAAAGCTGGATCAGCGACGACGACATGTTTCATCGTGACGAGACGAAGGGTCAATTTAATTGTGCATCACACAGGCATTGCAGGTTGCATATTAAAACGGACCAAGGTGACCAAATAATTCTGCAGAAAATCTCAACTCTCATACTAATTTTGATACGTAGGCCTAAACAATTGATGGATGGTGGTTTAATTTCTTATCGTGAGCATTCCATCCAAAAGATAAGACTAAAATTCCAGCATAATTTGTATTCATTGAAATATTCCGTTTCATTCATTTGAGTAAACTATGCATTGTTTTTGTCAAATGGAAATAAAATCATACTTCAGCTGGAACAAGTTTAGCCAAATGAATAAACGAGACGGATTTTGCATGCATACAGATATTTCTCCCACATAAGAAATCAAGAATTGAGCATGAACAAGCTGACTACAAATATATCAAACTTGCGAAATTTTGCACCCAAATTTCGTAACGAGTGGTCAATTTACATGGCACAAGCAGTGTTTCGTTTTGCCCGTCAAAAACCACTTTTTGGGCTGGACACTGTCCAAAACTGGCCAAAATGTCCAAAATGAAAATCGTTCAACTTTTGGCAATGGGACAAAAAGTTACAAGTTCTTCTTTATTTTATTAACGATTTTATTGCAAATTTATGCACAAATATCTAATTTCCCATAAATTTTGAGCAATTTGGTTGGTCTGTAATTTTGGAAAACTTTTCCTTCCACATGTTTCCTTACTGGAAATTTTCTAAACCATGCCGTATTACAGACCAAAATTAATGGATTTCCGAAAGATTCAATAATGAAGAAGGTGTAACATTTAGCCCCAGTTTCTATTTTGGACACTTTTGGACAATTTTTGACGTCAAAATTGGGTCCTCAAACCTTGTTAAAACCGGTTTTGCACAGTGGTTAAACACAGCGAAACCCTGCACAATAGGAATTAAATGATTAACCAGACTGAACATTTGCTTTAAATTAAACACGCATTCGTCCTTTTTTCTGAGAAAAATCAAGAAATCCAGCCCCAACCGCATCCAGAATTCCTCTCGTCCAGCTTTCGCTCATATTCCGTTCCAATTCTTCATCTTAATGCGAGTTCTACATAATTCTAATCTGAACCCGAAGGCAAAACCAGTGGCCGCGGAGGAAGCTTGTGCGGGCAGAGAGACAATGTTCCCACGGTTATTCGATGTCCCCATCGTCTCCTCATCTTGATTAAACCCTTCCCTCCCTTATCAAACTATGTTAACGTCCTCCGATACCCCCACAGCTTCTGCGGCCACTGTTCTGATATGAACATGAAGGCAAAAGGATAGAGGAATTCTGATTCATATCCAAATTTCAGAGATTGCAGACGCATATTTCTTTCAGAGGTGGACGAAAATCGTCTCAATTTGCATTGAATAATTAATGACTGATCAATCAGCTCACCACCACCGTTTTGCTTTCGTGTCACGATTTTCTTACTTAATTCTCCACATACACAAATATGCAATTCTGAATTTTGTTGCCTTTTCGGATTCGCAGAAAAGCAAAGTTATCTCTCCGTCCGAGGGAGACAGAGACAAACAAACTCCTCCAGAAATTTGTCCACTTCCACTCCAACCAGTTCACATCGATAAAAAGAGAGCAGAACGCCTTACCGTGAAGAAAGCTGGATGTAATTTTAAAATTGCGGAGGAGCCAGAAACGCATGATTTAACGAGGAAAATAGTTTTTCCTCCGGAAACGACTGCATCCTGAACACAAGAAAGGGTCGTCATTGGTAAGATTGCATTCTAAATTTTCATTTAAATAAATCCTTTAACCCGAGATGGTGATGTATCTTTGAATAATATTCTGTTTAGCTAAATGGATCGATTTGTGCTAGTGGGGGAACTTCCGAGCAGAACGGAACGTTGCCGTCGGACGTGATGGAGGTCAACCACCCGCACCGGAAGTTGCTCGGGGGACGACAGAAAGCGCTCGACCCCACAATGGAGATAGTCCACAAAGCGGAAAGTTTTCAAAAGAACGGCCGACTTCCTCCTCACTCCGTTCGACCAGCACGTGGCGATAACCACGTGCAGCCACCTTTACACAACAGCAGGTCATCAAAACCCAAGAAATTACCGCAAATTGTCCATAAGAAGATCTTCCCATGCAAAACATGCCTGCGTCCATTCACCAACAGAACCAGTGCTCACTTCCACGCCCGCACCCACCTCAACCCCCACCAGCTGGAGCGGTCCTCAATTTTCCACGACAAATGCCCCCACTGCCAAAAAGTGTTCTTCGATCATCATCAATTGACCCGGCATCTCTTCATCCACCTGAGCGGGGAGGAGCGCGCGGAGGTGCGGCAGAGCTGGCGACACGTCTGCTACTTCTGCACCAAACGGTTCAGAAATCCATCCCATCTCAGTCGTCATCTTGTCGTCCACACGAAGGAAAAAGTGAGCTGGAGGTGTGCCGCCTGTCGAAAAACGTTCTCCTCCAATCAGACCCTGAGGAATCATCGATTCACCCACCTCTCCGAAGACGAGAAGGTCGCCCTCGTGAAGCAGGGGAGGAGTCGAGTCTGCCTATTCTGTCAAAAGATATTCCCCGATAACCGCACTTATCATGCCCACCTGGTCTCCCACACGGAGGAGAAACCTTTCCGCTGCGTCGAATGTGACCAAACTTTCGGTCAAAAGCATCATCTCGCCAGACACGAGAAGAACGTTCACCGGAAGCTGAAGGACTTCGCGTGTCCCGAGTGCGCCAAGAAGTTCGGGAGGAGGAGCCACATGGTGCGACATCTAAGCAGTGTTCATGCCCAAATCCGGCACCCCTGCCCCCTCTGCGGGGAGACGTTTTCGAGAAAAGACCATCTTGGGGGACATTTGAAGAAGGTTCATCCTCAAGAATAGAGTCAGCTGCCAACTGACCCCTCGCCAAATTTCGACATGCTTTATATATTTTCACGTTTTCCTGATTTCACTAATATTTATTCTGATAAAAATGGCATAGTTGACTTATTAAGCTGTAAAAATGACGCACTTTTTGTTACCGTTTTGACCATGACGATTTTTATGTAGTAAAGTCATCCTGTCTTGTATAAAAAAACTCTGTTCGCGTCTTGCCCCCATTTTCCCATGCACCGACACAAATGCAAGGCTGGACCAGTGACGACGACACGTTTCATCATAACGAGAAGAATGGTCACTTTGTGCATCACATGCAGGACTCATAGGTATTTTTAGTTGCATATCGAAACGGTGAACAAATAATTCTGCAGGAAGTCTCAATTTGCATACTAACTTTGATCCGCAGACCCCAGTAGTTGATGAATTGATGTTCATCTCTTATCGTGAGAATTCCATTCAAAATATAAAACTCTAAAATTCCACCATGATTTTCATACAATTGGAAACTTCCGTTTTATTTGAGAAAGAAAACCAGGCATTGTTTGTGTCGAATAGAAATAAAATCAAGCATCAGTCACGAGAATGAGAACAAATTTGCTACATATGGGAATAAATGAGAGTTATTTTGCATGCAAATTTCTTCCCGGAAATGCATAAGAAATCAAGAATTAAGCATAAACATGATAAGCTGACTACAAATATATAGCAAATTTGCGAGATTTTTCGTACCCAGTGGTCAATTTGCATCGCATACATAAACAGCGTTTCGTTTTGTCCGGGCTAAAACTACTTTTGGACACCCTCAAAAAGCCTGCAAAACTGTGGAAGAGCAGAGGCAATGAATTCTCATGATTCATAACCAAATTCGAGAGATTATAAATGCACGAAAATACATTACTTCTCTTACATAATTTGCATGGAATAGTTAATCAATGAGCGTCATCATCCCCGTCGTCCTGCTTGTGTCACGAGTTTCTTGCTTAATTCTTCACACATAAATTATTCCGCATATTTGTTGGCTTTTTGGTAGGAGTTACCTGTACGAGACTTGGCCGTTGGTTGGTGAGATACGCAGATAAGCGAAGCCATCCTCAGTCAGAGACCAACAAGCTCCCTGTCAAACAAGAGCTCACTCACTTCCTGCTCCAGAAATTTCCCATTTTTAATCATTTCCACCAGCCTTACATCGAGAAGAAAACAGCGAAAGTAGGGAAAGCTGGGCATCAGTGATAAATAATTCTGAAGGAGCCAGAAACTCACGAGGGAAAAATTTTCAACTCCAGAACCCACCGTATTCCAAACACATGCCAAAATTTTAACAGTTGGTAAGATTGCATTCTGAATTTTCGTATAAAACCTGTTATAAAATATGAAATTTGTTCTTCAGCTCGGAACGCTGACCTAACAATATTCTGGGTAGAGACACAGGATTCGTCTAGAGGAGGAATTTCGAGCAGAACGAGACGTTTCCGTTGGACGGGATGGAGGTCAAAAAGACGCACCGGAAGTTGCTCGGAGGACAGAAACCGCTTGTCGTCACAAGGGAGAAAGTCGACGAAGGGGTCAGTTTTCAAGAGGACGAACGACTTCCTCCTCACTCCGTCCAACCACGTGAGCCAACACCACGTGACGATAACCACGTGCAGTCCCCTTCAACTAGCCGCAGGGCACCAAAAGCCAAGAAATCAGTCCAAGTTGGCAGAAAGAACGTCAAACCGGGTCGTCTCTTAATGGGGAAAACTTTTCCCTGCAAAATCTGCCTTTGTCCCTTCACGAACAGAACCAGTGCTCGTCTCCACGCCCGCACCCACCTCAACCCCCACGAGCTGGAGCAGTCCTCAATTTTCCATGCGAAATGCCCCCACTGCCAAAAAGTGTTCTTCGATCGTCGCGACTTTACCGACCACGTGGCTGCGCACGAGGGTCGGAAGAACCACGTCTGCCCCACCTGCAAACAGAAGTTCACCCACAGAGCAAATTTGACCGCGCATCTCGTCATCCACCTGAGCCGCGAAGAGCGCGCGGAGGTGCGGCAGACCTGGCGACACGGCTGCTACTTCTGCAGCCAACGATTCACAATTCCATCCCGTCTCAGTCGTCATCTTGTGGTCCACACAAAGGAAAAAGTGAGGTGTCACATTTGTCGAAAAACGTTCTTCACCATGGCAGGCTTGACCTATCATCGGTTCCTCCATCTCCACGACGACGAGAAGGTCGCCCTCGTGAAGCAGGGTTCGGGTCGGGTGTGCCTCTTTTGCCGCAAGATATTCCCCGACAACGGGGCTTATCATGCCCACCTGGTCTCCCACACGAAGGAGAAACCCTTCCGCTGCGACCAATGTGGCAAGCGGTTCGGTCGTAAAGGTGACTTCATCAAGCACAAGCGCATTCACAACGCGGATCCGCGACCGTTTATTTGCGCCGACTGCGACAAAGCGTTCAGCAGTAAACAAAGTCTGGGCACGCACAAGAAGACGGTTCACCGGAAGGTGAAGGACATCGCGTGCCCCGATTGTGGCAAGAAGTTCGGCACGAAGAGAGCCATGGTGCAGCATGTGAAAAGTGTTCATGTCAAAATCCGGCACCCCTGCCCCCACTGCGGGAAGACGTTCACGCAGAAAGGCCATCTTGGAACGCACTTGAAGAAGATTCACCGTCCAGAATAAAGTCCTTCATCTGCCAAATGACCCCTCGTCATATTACGACATGTTTCCCATACTCTAGATTTTTATTTGTTTCTGATTTCACCCTTTATGACGAGATATTTAGAGCGATAAAAATGGCATAGTTTAATTTTTAAGTTGTAAACATGACCCGATTTTTGTTATATTTTTGAATATTTTAAAGTAGTAAAGTCATTTCGTTTATATATAAAAATTGTGCTCGCGTTTCGCTCCCATTTTTCCATGCGCCGACATAACTGCAAGGCTGGACCAGGGACAAGGACATATTTCATCGTGACGAGAAGAAGGTCACTTTGTGCATCACACCTAAATCGTGCAGGGCTCAGGTTGCATATCGAAAGGTGACAAATAATTCTGTAACAAATCGCAGTTTGCATGTTATCATGATACGCAGACGTTCACAATGGATTAGTGGTCGTTCATCTCTTATCCCATCTAAACCATCAAACTAAAATTCCAGCATAATTCTCATTCATTGAAAAATTCCGTTTTAGATGTTTGAGAAAACTATGCATGAGATTGCTTCTGTCGAATGGAAACAAAACCAAACTTCAGCCGTATAAGTGATTTTGCATACTATTTCTCCCAGTAATGCATAAAAAATCAAGAATTGAGCATAAACAAGGTGACCACAAATATACTTATGTATCAAATTTGCGCATGCAATTTTGCATCCAAATTTCGTACCGAGTGGTCAATTTACATGGCGTAAGCAGTGTTTCGTCCTAAACTACTTTTGGTCTGGACACCGTCCATGAGCGTCCAAACCTGGTCAAAATAATTTTGGACGGGCAAAATGTACAAAATCATCCAACCTCGGAGAATGAGGCAAAATGCTACAACTTCTTCTTTATTAGAGACTTTTTTTGCAAATCTAAATCTGCACAGATGTGTAATCTTCCATAAATGTTGAGGATTTTGCGGGTTTCTGTAATACCACGAAATTTGGGAAAACTTTTGTTTCCACATATTTTCTTTACAAAAATTTACAAATTCATTTATCTGAATGAATGAACAGGCAGTCGCGAACGAACGGAGGGAAGGAATCCTGGCTCATACCCAAATTTGAGAGATTGTGGACTCAGCCAGATTTCTTCCAGAGGTGGACATGGGATAAATAATCGTCTCAATTTGCATTGAATATTCAACGAGCATCATCACAACCACCGTCTTATTTCACGATTTTCTTGCTTAATTCTCCACTCAGAAATTATTCTGTATTTTGTTGCATAATTGAATTATTAGTTTGTAAACTTGACCCAATTGTTTGTGACCGTTTTGACCATGACGATTTTTATGGAGTTTTTATGGATTTTTATGAGTAAGAATGGCATAATTGAATTATTAGTATGTAAACATGACACACTTTTTGTAACCATTTTGACGATTTTTATGTAGTAAAGTCAGTCTATTTTGTGTAAAACTCTGCTCGCGTCTCGCCCCCATTTTTCCATGCGCCGACACAAATACAAGGCTGGACCAGTGACGACGGAATATTTCATCGTGACGAGAAGAGGGGTCAACTTGTGCATCACATGTAACTCATGCAGGGCTAAAGTTCGAAAGGGACCAAGGTGAACAAATAATTCTGCAGGAAGTCTCAATTTGCATACTAACTTTGATCCGCAGACCTCAATAATTGATGAATGGTCGTTCATCGTCTTATCGTGCGCATTCCATCCAAAATATTAAAGTCTAAAATTCCATCATAATTTTCATACAATTGGAAACTTTCGTTTTATTTGAGAAAGAAGACCATGCATTGTTTGTGTCGAATAGAAATGAATTCATGCTTCAGTCACGAGGATGAGAACGAATCTAGCCATATATGGGAATATATGAGAGTTATTTTGCATGCATATTTCTTCCCAGGAATGCATAAGAAATCTAGAACTGACCACAAACAATTTGCATCGCATACATAAACAGCGTGTCGTTTCCTCCGGGCTAAAACTACGTTTGGATACCGTCATACACATATAAAGCGTCCATGCAAAACTGTCAACAATGTGGAAGAGCGGAGGAAAGGAATTCTGATTCATGACCAAAATCCAAGAGATTATAAATACATATCTTCTGTTACACAATTTGCCTGGAATAGTTAATCAATGAGCATCATCATCCCCGCCGTGCTGCTTTGTGTCACGAGTTTCTTGCTTAATTTTGCACACAGAAATTGTTCTGCATATTTGTTGGCTGCTTGATAAGTAGGACTGACTATGCGAGACTTGGCTGTTGGTTGGTGGGATACGCAGATAAGCGAAGCCATCCTCAGTCAGAGACCAACAAGCTCCCCGTCAAACAAGAGCTCAACACTTCCTCCTCCAGAAGTTTCCCATTTTTAAACATTTCCACCAGCCTTACATCGAGAAGAAAACAGCGAAACGCCACAAAGTAGGGAAACCTGGGCGTCAGTGATAATTCTGAAGGAGCCAGAAATTTCCTACTCCAGAACCAACTGCATTCCAAACACACGCCAAAATTGTTGGTAAGATTGCGTTCTTAATTTTCATGTAAAATCTATTGAAAAAATATCAAATTTGTTCTTCAACTCTGACCTAACAATACTCTTTGTAGAGACACAGGATTCGATGATGGCTAGCGAGAGAGCTTCCGAGCAGCACGAGACGTTTCCGTTGGACGGGATGGAGGTCAACCAGACGCACCGGAAGTTGCTCAGTGGGCAGAAAGTGCTCGTCCCCACAGCGGAGAAAGTGGAGAGTTCTCAAGAGAACGGACGACTTCCTCCTCACTCAGTCGGACCAACGCCACGTGGCGTTAACCACGTGCCCTCGCCTTCAACAAGCACGAGGTCATCAAAAGTCAGGAGCATTTTCCCATGCAAAATCTGCCTTTGTCCCTTCACCAACGCAACCAGTGCTCGCGTCCACGCCTGCACCCACTTCAACCCGGACGAACTGGAGGAGTCCTCCCTTTTCCACGCGAAATGCCCCCACTGCAAAAAAATGTTCTTCCAAGGACAAGTCTTTATCCACCACGTGAACGCGCACGAAGGTCGCCAGAACCACGTCTGCCCCGTTTGTAAAAAGAAATTCTCCACGAAACAGCAATTGACGGCGCATCTCTTCGTCCACCTGAGCGGGGAGGAGCGCGCGGCGGGGCGGCAGGGCTGGCGACACGGCTGCTACTTCTGTAAAGACCGATTCAAAAGTCAGTCCCATCTCAATTGTCATGTTCTGACCCACACCAAGGAAAAAGCTGGCTGGAGGTGTCACCCTTGTCGAAAAACGTTCTTCTCCAAAGATTCCTTGACCAGGCATCGTTTCGCCGCCCATCTCTCCGAAGACGAGAAGGTCGCACGCGTGAAGCAGGGGACGAGTCGAGTGTGCTTATTCTGCCAGAAGAAACTCCCCTCCAACGGCACTTATCATGCCCACCTGGTCTCCCACACGAAGGAGAAACCTTTCCCGTGCCGACAATGTGGGAAGCTGTTCGGTCGTAATAGTAACTTAAACTTGCACATGCGCATTCACACTTCGAACCCAAAACCGTACAAATGCGACGAGTGTGATCACCCGTTCAGTCATAAACATCACCTGACCAGACACCAGAAGACGGTACACCGGAAGTTGAAGGACATCGCGTGCCTCCAGTGCGGCAAGAAGTTCGGGAGGAGAAGTGACATGGTGCGACATGTGAGGAGTGTTCATGCCAAAATCCGGCACCCCTGCCCCCATTGTGACCAGACATTCTCGAGGAAAGACTATCTTGGGACACATTTGAAGATCGTTCATCCCCCAAAGTGAAGTCTTTCCCCTGCTAAACAAAAGTGACCACGTGTCGTCCATTCTTTATATTTTTATATTTTCCTAATTTGACCATTTATGACAAGCTTATTATCCTCATCCGACAGCTTATCAGATATTTTCCATGTTGTATGTATTTTTATAATTTTCTCATTTCACTATTTATGACGAGGTATTTATTCTGATAAAAATGGTGTAATTGAATTATTAAGGTGTAAACGTGTTTTGTTACCGCTTTGACCATCACGATTTTTAATTATGGAGTAAAGTCGTTCTATTTTTTGTAAAACTCTGCTCGCTTCTTGCTCCCATTTTTCCACGTGGCGACACAAATGCAAGGCTGGACCAGTGACGACGATATATTTCATCGTGACGAGAAGAAGGGCGCATTTTTGCACCACATGTAAATCGTACATAGCTCAAAATACGGGTTGCATACATACGTGCAAATCAAAGATTCGCAATTTTAAATGTATAATTTCTCATGCAAAGAATATCTGTAGCTTAGCATGAATCTTCTTCCCTGCAGAAATTTACATATGTGACCAAAACAAAACCTCATGCAATTCAGGAGCACTGAGCAAATATACATACATACATATGCAAATCAAACATTCGCAAATTTTGGCACACATTTTCCGAACATAAAATCTATCAACATATTATTTTCCCAGCGAAATAAATTCGATAACACAATGCGCAAATAGAATTCGACCCGTGCAAAAAAAATATTTGCTATTGTAAACATTCCATTCCATTTTTCTCAGTATAATAAACAAATTTATTACGAGAAACTTTACTCGGTATGCAAATGTACATTCCTATTTTTATGTATGCTCCGTTTGAAATTTGAGCTGCACATTTATTACCGAAATTACATTACACGTAAGCAGACAGACCTGTAGCTGGACCACGTAGCTAATAAATTCCATTTCCTTGACTGGGCAGAAATTTACTGCTGCCCAGTAAATAAAAACAAGGGTTTCGTTTCTTGCGGGTTTGTTCAATACGTTTCTTGCAGTGCAAGAAATGCGAGGTGCAAGAAAGTGGGAGAAAGTGCAGGAAATGTGTGCCATCTAGCCATGAAAAGTATTTACAGCGGCGGGACATTTTTTTCTAACGCCGTGCATTTCTTGCAGGTCAAAATACCCGAAAAAAACACTTTCTTGCAGTTATTTCTTGCGGGAATGGTACCAATGCGGGGTGCAAGAAATTGTGACAAATGTGCGCCATCTAGCCCAGCGCTGTATGACATATTTACAGCGGTGGGACGTACTTTCTCCCACCTCACATTTCTCCCAGGTCAAAATATTCCTCTGCAAAAAAATACATTTTTCCCCCTTATTTCTTGCAAGTGGGGTGCAAGAAACTGGGAGAAAGTGTAACAAATATGCGCCATCTAGCCCAGCGCCGTGTGAACTATTTACATCGGCTGGACGTAGTTTCTCCCACCTTGCATTTCTCCCAGGTCAAAATATCCCCCTGCAAAAAAGAAGCACTTTCTCCCCCTTATTTCTTACTAGTGGGGTGCAAGAAACTGCGAGAAGGTGTGACAAATATGCGCCATCTAGCCCCCCGTTCTACAAACTATTTACAGCTGCGGGTCGTAGTTTCTCCCACCTCACATTTCTCCCAGGTCAAAATATTCCCCTGCAAGAAACCACTTTCTCCCCCTTATTTCTTGCACTTGGTGGTATCCTCTTACACCCTCAAGCACTACGAATTCTCTCCTCCAATAAAAAACCCTACCAAACCCGGAAGAATAACACAGCCAACAAAAATCGGTCAATTATTTCCACCCTCATTCTTCTCCTGCCTGCCGAACCGTTAATTAATCAATTAATTAATTAATTAATTAATCCTTAATCGTCATCATGTCCAGCATGCTCAAGCTGGAGACGGAGGACGGGGTGTTGGTCGACGTGGGCGTGGAGGTCATCCAATGCTCGCACACGATCCGCTTGATGCTCGAGGACTTGGGGTGTGGAGAGGAAATCGATGAGAACGAGGTTATCGTCATCCCCCTGCCCAGAGTCTGCTCGGCCATCCTGCATAAAATCATCGCCTGGGCGAAACATCATGACGTGAGTGATAAGTACTAATTTTGGGTTTGCGACATAGTTAAAATATTTGTTAGCTAAGAAATTTGTGATTTGCGCCATAGTATAATTATTTAGTACGATTTCGTACACAAGAAATTTGCCATTTGCGCCCTAGTTAAAATATTTTATTTGATTTCACAGACAAGAAATTTGCCATTTGCGCCATAGTTAAAATTTTCCTATAATCGCTGACACGCCTTTAGCACGTGTCATCGATTAAGGAAAAATAGTGCAGATGAGATGTTTTGGTTGTAAAACACCCAAAAAATTGAGGTTATTTAAAAAAAATAGATTAACTCCTGATTCTTCAAAAGTTAGTCAAAGTAAAAATAAAATCTCGAAAAATTCCAAGATTTTTTACAACTTTGACCTTTAATTCCTCTCGAATTGGGAAACGTTCCTCCAATTAATCCAATTTTTTGGTTGATCTTTAACCCCAAAAAATCTTATCCGTATTTACATATTTATTAACGGATAACACGTGGTTCAGTTAAGTGCGAATGTATGTATGCATGCAGGATGACCCACCCCCTCTCGAGGACATTTACGGAAACCACGTCCCCCCCGAGTTGGACGAGTGGGATGCCGAGTTTCTCAATTTGGATGAGCAAACGCTCCTGGATTTGGCCATGGTAGGGACTAAAAATTGCTTAAAAAATGTACTACTTTTTCAAAAAATGTGTCATAATTTGTGGGAACAATTAGGCCGCCATCTTCCTCGACATTCCCGACCTGCTCAAGACCATTGCCCAGGTCATGCTCAACATTATGGAGGCGAGAAGCCCGGAGCATATCTTGCAGCTGCTCAACTCCGTTAATGGCCTGTAAATCAGCAAGCAACATTCATGACTAATTCATTCCAATGAAATAAATTTAATCTGTGTGCAGATCAAATCTTTAAAAAAATTCATCCATTTTTACTTCAAAAAGCCTCAAATTCATCACTTTATAGCTCACAAACAGAACGGAAATTTAGCTCAAATTTACCAATTTTTACTTAAAAAGCATGCAAGTTTAAGTCATAGTCAAATTCATCAATTCTTACTTCACCAAAGGATGGAAATAGAACTCAAATCTATCAATTTTTGCTTCAAAGACAGCATGGAAATTTAGCTCAAGTTAGTCAGTTTTTACTTCAAAAATCCACAATCCACAAGCCTAATTTAGCCCGAGTCAGGTTGTTATTAATAATTGAGACACCAAATTTTATTTTTCCTCAAATTTTCCTCATCTTCATCAAATTTGATTCTTAATTTTACATATTCTAAATACGTCTACGCAAATTTTAAAATCGACTGAACAAGTTTTACAAACGTGATCGATTTACACACAGACAGACAACCGTGACAGATACGTAGGCCCTGAGTCGGGCTAAGAGGCATGGTAATTCATCAATTTTACTTAAAAGAACCTAAAATTGATCAATTTTTACTCAAAAAAGCGTGCAAATTTAATGCAAAATCCATCAAATAAATGCATCCTCATCTCATTTTTCATCCCATAACGGAACCCTGAAGCTCCTCCCCCCCTTCGTCCCCATCTCGCAACATTACCCCTCACCCGTCCCCCATCACCTTCTCATCTCCCTTCATTCTTTACCTAGCATAAAAAAACCTTTAGCCACAATTTGTGTCCAGGAAAACGTGCCAATTTTCATGCTACTTAATTCTGAATCAGCCAACCAACAATCATTTAAATATTATTACTCACAGGAAGCATATCACACGAGAAAAACTATTAATTCATCGTCCCTAAAAACCAATTCAATTCAATGTCAATACTAAAATTTTATCACCACCACACAATATTTTTCATGCCCCATTGTCCCACCACCAAATTACATACACAGGAAAACCATCACGTCTTATCATAAATAACTGCTTATCTATCCCTCAATTTCAATTCTCACTCAACCAAAAAAATCAATAATTCATTCATTTTTTTCGAATTTTACCCATAAACAAACCAAAAAATCACAATTCATTCCTTAAAAAAAAAACAACCCCACGACACGTTCCATTTTCATAAAATAAAAAATCCTCCAAAAAAATGGGGACCTCGTAAAAAAATATTTTTTCACTTCACCATTGTCCCACGAACAATGGAGAACAAAGGAAATTAAAGTTGCGAAAAGGCGACAAAGACTCCCTATTTTATTTTATATTCGTCCTGACAAAATTATTACGGGGCAGGCAGGAAATAAAGTTGTTCTATAGTTGCAAAAAATTCGCGAAATTAGGCACACTTGCGGAAAGAAGGGGGACGAATTAATAGTAGCTCTTAGTTTTTCAGAAATTCTAACAAATTTTGGGGAACATTCCCGAAATTAGGGACACTTGAAGGGGCACGAATTAGTAACTCTTAAGTTTTCGGAAATTCTAACAAATTTTGGGGAACATTTACGTCCCCCGTAAAAAAATAGAAAAATGGGGAACGAAAAGGAAACCCCGTTCGTGACGGCGTTTCTCTTAATGTTGAAATTGTTTAATTATCCACTTCCTGGAAATATTGGGGACCTTTTTTCCCTCTGCCAACGCCTCAGTCACACCATGCACCTCTCCTCCTACTCACTCGACATGATCATGGACCACAATCCGAGATCGTACAAATCGGGAAATAGTGATCATCGGAACACCTACGATTTCATCATTGGTAACGAGTAATTTTTTGCAAATTTCTATATTGACCTTATTTTCGTACAATTTTTTTTGGAAAATGATGCCTTTTTGTCCTTACATAAATTTGTCTAGTAAGTTGTCGACCTTTTTATTTCGCAAAATTACTTTTTTGCAAATCTTATTCGCAAAGTTAGCATGACCTGAGAAAGTATTGCATATGTACCTCCCAAATTTGATACTTTTGTGATAGTTTTGTTAGAAAAGATGCCTTTTTGTGACCAAATTTATCTAGTAAATTATTATCCACGTGTTCTTATTTCGCACAATTATTTTCGCAAATTATTTTCTACATGAATTAGACATGAGTTTGTCCATCCTGTTGCAAATTTATATGCATAATTAGCTATGTACATATTTCTCCCATGTAGTTGGCGGTGGTACGGCTGGTTCTCTAGTCGCTACAAGATTACTGGATACTAAAAACAAGTATAAAGTATGAAATTTTGCACAATTATTTTTTGCACAATTATTAATATAAGGATAAGCCTATAAAAAATTTTACGACTAAATTTAGATCTTGATACTCGAAGCTGGCTCGGAACCCACGTGGCTGACGCATTCCCCATTTTTCAACCTGTTCAACTGGAACAACAACGACACGACGTGGGGCTACTACTCATCCCCACAGAAAGGGGCCTGCATCGCGTGTCGCAAAAAGGTCAGCGTCTTATTAGCCATAATTCTAAATTGCCAGGGTTCCTAACACAATTTGGAAAATCATGTCACAGTTTGAAAATCGCAATGTGATTTTATGATTTCTGTGAAATATGTGATTTGTGGGATTTCTGTGATCTGCTTTCGTAAAATGGGTCAATCTTCTATAGTCTGCATTTTAAGACGAGCTTGATGTTCTGATCTGCCCAAAATTCAGCCCATTTTTTGACCAACTTTCATCTTTAACATAAAAATAAAATCCAAAATGCAACTTTATTCTAATCCGTATCGTCATAGAATCAATTTTTTTTAATTGTTTCACTTTCTCACCAGTAATATCTCAGGTTTGGCGAATAAATAACAGAAAAATCACGACTAAATCACACCGTATGATTATCACAGCTCAAAAAACCCTTGTTCAAAAGCCCCAGTTTTTGAATCGGCATTTTAATTTATTTTTAAATGTCGATATACCATGTCAATTTCTCACAAAAAAACACATCCCAATTTATCCCATTTTAACCACCACCTCATTAAATACAAACCCTGGCTGCTCTCTCATAAAAAAACATGCCAATTTCTCACAAAAAAACACACCCCAATTTAACCACCACCTCATTATTGCAAACCCTGTCTCATTAAAAAATTGCTCTCTCTTCTCCACAGAAAGTGAAATACGTCCAAGGCAAAGCGTTAGGCGGAACGATGAACGTGGGCTGGAATGTGAGACAAACACAATGCTCGACAAAATTTCTCGTTACGCAATCCCATTGTCCCAACCGAGAACAATGCCTCTCTCTTTTCAGGTTTACAGCAGAGGAAACCCTCTCGACTACGCCGCCTGGGTCGAAGCCACCGGAGATTCGTCATGGAGCTATGAAAAATCTATTAAATGGTTCAAAAAGACGGAAAATTATCGGGGGAAATTCGACGATTTTTGTAAATTCTTAATGTTTCTCAAAATTTCTAGCAGCATATGTGTGTAATGATGACTCATCGCCAAAATCAGCAGATTTTTTAATCATTCCTTCTCAGCTTTGAGAATTTATTTTAAAATTTTGGACGACAAACTTGTAGAGCAGAGGGAGTTGCCAACTTTTTTAAAATGTACACTCCAGATTTTGACACTTTTTGGCTGAGGAGATCTCAAGTTTAAGAAGCCTTTAGAAAAATTGGAACGCGTCGAAAAAACTTCACGCCATTCCATCAATCAACTCACTGACTGCAAATTTGTCGTCCAGAATTTTAAAATAAATTCTCAGCCCCGAGAAATGATTAAAAATGTGCTGAGTTTGATGATTCAGTAGAATTTATTTTAAAATTCTGAAACAACAAAAATTTGCAGTTGATTATTTGAACGGCGCAGAGCTTTTAAAGCAGTTTCGGCAAGTTTCAATTTTTTTGAAGGCTTCCTAGGCGATCTCCTCCTTCAAAAACTTTCAAAATCTGGAGTGTACATTTAAAAAAAGTTGACAACTCTCTCTGCTCTACAAGTTTGTCGTCCAAAATTTTGAAATAAATTCCCGGAGGGTAGAAATGATTAAAAATATGTCTAATTTGGTGATGAGTCACAGTGGTGGCAGAAACAGGGAATCAGGGGGACATTATCCCCCCAGAAGTTCAGCTAATTATTATCTTGTTAATAAGCCCCTTCTCTTCCCATCTCAAAATGCTAAAATCCCAACATGTCCCCCAACTTCCGCCGCCACTGATAAATAAATCACCCAATCCTACGCTAATAACAATTGCTTGTCTCCTCAGCGTCGCACGGATACTCGCAGACGAGCACGATCAAAGTGACCGCGCAGGGAATTCAGCCCCTCGTCAAGGAATGGTTGGAGGGGGCGACCCACCTCAAACTTAACACCACCGACCCAAACGATTATCAGACCCAAAGTTGGTCAAAATTTTCAAATTTTAAATTACTTTTTTGAAATAATTTTTTTCATGAATATTTCCATGCAACATTTTCATATAGCATTTTCACCCGTGGAAGTCACAATTTATGATGGAAAAAGACAAACCACTTACGAAAGTAAAACAAATCTTTAATTAGAGTTGGACAGGAAATTTATGCGGGTATAAATTTCCAGAAAAATTTCTGGAAATTTATCCACGCCAAAAAATCCTGGCCAACTAGTCAACTAAATGTCACGCTTTTTCCCCATGAAAACCAACTCTCAATCTTTTTAGGTCTCTTGAAGAAGGAAATTTGGCGAAAAAACTTGAAAATTACGCGATTCGCGCAAGTCAACAAGGTAAAGAATAGCGTTGCCCCGGGTACCGGGTAGTTACCCGGTACCCGGCATACCCGGCCTGTTTTGCGATACCCGGTACCCGGCCGGGTAGACTTTACTACCCGGTCTACCCGGCCGGGAAATTTAAATGTTCAATTTTTTGCAAAACCTTACAAAAAAATTATAATCCGATGAATTTCATTTTTGTCCTTGGTGTAAAATAATATATTTTGAAAAAATGCGTACAAACTAGGTAAATTCTTGGGTGGAAATTATTATCCAGATATTAAAATTACTTTGGGGGCGCACTGACGTCAACCCTTGCATATCTCCCAGATTAAGCATGGCAACATAACTGGGGCGATGTTGTGCGAAATTTGAGACATTTCTCAAAGCTTTCGCTAGAAAACCATTGGTTTTGCAAATTTGTCCAGCAATCAAACTCACCCTCCCTAATATCAGCAAAAAATAGTTAAAAAATCCATAAAAACAAGATCAAAATGGGCGTCTTTAATAGATCTGCGAGAGTTTCAAAGTGATATTTTGCGACTGCCCTCATGAAACAAATTTTTTAAGCTGCACAAGTTTGCTAAATGGGTGGCGATGATTAATAACACATTGTCGTGAGTACGCTCAGTCTGTCATCTGTACTTTATATTTGTTTTCAACTTGCAACTTTTTAAAACTGGTAAAAGTGTTGCAAATTCTTGAGAAAAGTAGAATAACTCCGTTTATTTTTAATATATAAATATTACCCGGTACCCGGCCGGGTAGCCGGGTACCCGGCGAACATTTTAGGCCGAGTACCGGGTAGCCGGGTACCGGGTAGTAGCACTACCCGGGGCAACCCTAGTAAAGAAATTACAAAAACTTACAAAATTTCGAAATCAATTTTTTCAAATTCTAACAGACAACTTAAAAAAATTAAAAATAGCCAAATAAATTTTATTTTTATTTTTTAATTCGAACAAACCGTCTTTCACAAGTTAAAAATGTTCAAAATTTTCTATTTCTTTTGTTTAATTCTAATAAATCGTCTTTTACAATATATCAAACACTTACAAAATTTCGAAATCCAAATTTCCTAATTTCTAATTTTTTAAAAACAGATCGTGTTTGACTCTAAGCACTACGCGAAAGGCGTCATTTACCGGAGGAACCATCAAGACATCGAAGTCCACGCGAATAAAGAGGTCATCCTCGCCGCCGGCGTCTTCAACACGCCCAAACTCCTCATGCTCTCCGGCATCGGACCTTCCCAACATCTCAGAGACATCGGAGTAAGCTTTTTCATAAATCGAAAATTTGCTAATTTTTCTTCAGAAACTTTTGCCCAGAAAAAAACTGTAAAATTTAGTTTTGGAAACAAATGTATACTTACATATGCAGGAAAATTCTAGACAAAAAAATCCAAATTTCTTACACACAAAAATCCTGTTCATAAAATTTTGGGTAGAATTCTTACAATTTGTCTTAACAAATTGTTCTTTGGAAACAAGTACATTTTACTGTTTAAAAATTCAGGAAAATTCTAAACAAAAATGTGTAAATTTTGCGCATCTCGATTATCGCATTCAAATTGCCAATTTATTACACAAAAATCATGTACATTTTACTCTACAAGTTTTATCTACCTATATTTCTTACACGGAAAAATTTGCAAATTTCCACCTTCACTTCGATCTTGATACAATTTTGCAAACTTTTCTTTACACACCAGGCTCCCTTAAAAACAAAATTCCCCAAATATTTACATAACTTGTACAGAAAACTATATGAAAAATTTCATTTTCTTTCTAGATCAAAGTGAAAAAAAATCTGGAACACGTCGGCCAAAACTTGGCGGATCAGCCGACCACTTTTTTCGGTCCGGTCACCGTCGTCCACGACAAGACGTTTCTCCCCCGGCGGAACTTGACCTACTCGACCATCATCCAATATTACGTCAACCAGTCCGGGATCCTGGGGTGGGACATGCTATCCGGGCTGGGGTATTACTCCACGCCGTCCTCTCAGGTAGGGTCGCAATGTTTCGGTTTGTTTCAAAATTTTTGTTTTTGTCGCAAACCGAAACAAAACAATAAAACCAACCGGTTGTTTTTTTGAATGGTTTGTTTTGTTTTGTTTATATAAAATAAACAAACTGAAACAAAAATAAACAAAAAATGCTAAGTTTTTGTATCTAAAAAAATAAAAACAAAACAAATATTTGCTTAGTATATTTTGGGTAGCCGGTTTTTGTTTGTTTATCACAATTTTGTTTCGGTTCGTTTTGTTTATTTCCTAAAAAAAATAAACAAAATAAACAAAAAATGCTAAAATTTTGTATTAAAAAAATAAATAAAAACAAAACAAATATTTCCTTAGTATGTTTTGGGTAGCCGGTTTTTGTTTTGTTTATCACAATTTTGTTTCGGTTCGTTTTGTTTATTTCCTACAAACAAATCGTAAACAAAAATAAACAAAATGAACACTAAACAATAATCATTGCGACCCTTACTTCCAGTCCCCCGACCACCCCAACATCGCCGTCACCCTGATGCCCATGGGGGTGGACCCGGACACGCACAAAGTCGTCAACACGGCCCTCTCCATGAAGCACGGCTACATGGAAAAATTCCTGCGTGACCATAAAGACAATGACGCCGTGTGGTTGGCCGTCACCCTGGCGAGGCCGGCGTCCAGGGGGAGCGTTCGTCTTAAGAATGACGACCCCCACTCGCATCCGGTCATCGATCCGAATTATTTCATGGAGAAGGAAGATGTCACCAATATAGCGGAAGGTGTGTAAAGGGACAGATTTTTTTTGCATTTTTTTGGAATTTGGTGAATTTGAGGAGGAACTTTGCGAAATTATTTTCTAAAGGGAACGTATCTGAGGAGATTTGTATACCTGTTTTTTATACAGATTTTTATAATTTCGCGAATTTGAGGTACCTAACTTTGCGAAATTATTTACCAAAGGGAACAGATCTTGGTAGATTTTTAGATGGTTTTTTAGCATTTTTTTATGATTTCGAAAATTTGAGGAACTTAACTTTGCGAAATTATTTACCCAAGGGAATGTATCTGAGCAGATTTTTAAAATTTTTTTCTTGTATTTTTTTTTTTGAATTATAAAAATTTGAGGAGCTTAACTTTGCAAAATTATTTACCAGAGGGAATGTATCTGAGCAGTTTTTTGGATATGTTTTTCATTTTTTCATAATTTCGGGAATTCGAGGATCTTAACTTTGTGAAATTATTTACCAAAGGGAACCCTCACTGCTCTGATTTTTTAAATATACAACTCTTTTTTTGCATTATTTCCAATTTCGCGAATTTGAGAAACATTTTTGAAAAATCAAAGTTCTCAGAAGATTTCCCAAAATTTAAGAAATTCAAAAACAATAAATTCTTCTCAAATTGTAAATCCATTTTTATCTTAAATTATTCCAATTTTTTTTACACAGGGATGACATTAGTTCAAAGCTTAACGAACACACCGCAATGGTCGCAGGTGGATGCGAAACTGGTCGACACGCAATTTCCTGGCTGCGAAAAATTCAAGCTCAAAAGTCTCCCGTACTATGAATGCGTCGCACAACATTTTACCCTCTCCATAGGAAATATTGGTCAGTTTTTAAAAAAATTCATAAAAACCGTAATTTACTTCAAATATTTCAAATGTGCAAAATTTTTGCAAAAATTTTTGCAAAAATCAGAACATTAATTGAAGCCATTTTACCCTTCAAAAAATTTGACCATTCAACTTAACCAAGGACTCAATGAGTTATCCCTAAAATCCTTAAAATCATCACATTTTTAGCCATTTCTTTTGCTCTGGGAATTTATTTTAAAATTCTGAAGAATAATTTTGCCCTCAGTGAGTTGATTGATCGAATGGCGTCGAGTTTTTTGAGCCAGTTTCGACGAGGTCCAATTTTTCTGAAGGCTTCTTAACCTTGAGATCTCCTCCTTCAAATAGTGTCAAAATCTGGAGTGCTTATTTTCAAAAAATTGGGAACGACCTGCTCCACAAACTTTCAGAATTTTAAAATAAATTCCCAGACCCGAGAAATAATTAAAAATGTGCTAATTTTTCCAATTTTGTCAAAGAATCGTCAAGTCCTACATTAGCCATCTAAAAAAGTCATAAATTCAATATTTTTTTTACTATTTTTGACTTTTTTTAAACAAATTATTCTCAAAATCCAGGAGGAACTTGTCGCATGGGGAAAACAGCGGAGGATTCCGTCGTCAATTCTAAACTACTGTGAGGAGTTTCATAATTTCAAAATTTATAAAAAATTTCATAATTTCAATTTTATAAAAAAATCACATTTTCAAATTTTATATTTTTTCTAAATTTCTCCAGTGTTCATAAAGTGAAACGTCTCCGCATCGTGGACGCGTCAGTGGTGCCCACGCTTCCGAACGGGGGCACTGGAACGGCCGTCATGATGATAGCGGAACGTGCCGCGGACATGATCACGGACAAATGGACGCATGAAGTCGCCCGGCATCGGGATAAGAGCGACTCCGGTTCGGATGAGTGAAAAGGAGCTGAAAATTTTAACAATTTTACAAAATTTAATTAAAATTTTACTAATTTTAACCTTTAAACATTAATTAAATAAAATTTTGGGCATAAAAAAAGTTCTCATTTTTCTTTACTTGGTATGAAATTATTGTAATTTTATTGTTTTTTTTGCGAATTTTTGCGTAATGAAGCACTTTAGCATTGTACAATTACTAAATTTGCTGCACAAATATTTTCATGAAAAAACATCACCAATTAAATAATTACTGATGTTTTCATTAAAAATTCAAAAACATGTAAAGAGTTAAAATATGTAGGAAAAACCCAGGTCATATTTTGTCCAAATTTTTTTGCAACAATAATTAATTTCATGAAAAAGTCCTGTTATCCAGTTGACCTGTAACGTTATGAAAAACTTGGATTCAAAAGTCCTTAATTCCACCCTGGCTCCACAATATTTGCGAGTTTGTCACTGCCCAAAGAAACCGTGCCACAATTTACCCACAGCCGGGTAACGTTTGGGAATGGACCAAGCACGGTCTAATTGACCAGGGGAAAGTCGTAATTTTGGGACCAGGGTTCGGAAAAACCCAGGGTTTTAATCAAAAATTATGAAACCCTTGCGTTTTAATGGGTTTTACCATGTTAATTGGGTTTTATTAGGTTTTAAGTAATCACTTAGCAAAAATAATTCGGAATTTGTATCTATTCTGAAATTATTTTTGTTCTATAACACTTGAAATCTGTTATTCTATAGGATGGAGTCAATTGTTGATTTGTTCCGGATTTTCATATATTAGACTAGTAACGAAATAAACTGCTTAAGTGAAGATAAGGTAACTTAAGATAACGTCTTCTTACACATAGGATATGTATTTGACCTTTAGAATGTAGTTTTAAGGTAAAATTCAATTAAAACCCTATAAAACCTATTAAAACCCAAATAAAACTCACTTAACATGGTAAAACCCAGTGGGTTTTATTCATTTACAACCCATTAAAACCCATTAAAACCCAACCCATTAAAACCCAGGTCGGAATACCCTGTTTGGGACAAGACCCGTACCATGGTCCAAATCAAGCACATGGCCTCTGCTTCAGTGTACAAAAGGGCGTCCCTCCCCCTCCAAGTTTGGTTAACATGTTCAAAGAACTGGGAACTGACATCAATGGATTTGTTCACCCACAACATGGCTATTTAATTGGATGGGCTGAACAAGGCAGTGGCGCAATTAGCATATAGGCAAGGTAGGCAAGAACTAGGGGCCCCGCGACATCAAGGGGCCCCCACGTCTGCTAACCATACATAATTTACTAGTTTAAACAATTTTATTAATGAAAGAAATTCCTGATCGACAAATTTAATTGGTCTTAAACTTTTCATTGTTTCAAGTTATATGGTATTTTTTCAAAATTAATATGTGTATGTTTGAAGTTTAAAATCTAATGGTTATCAAATACCTAATGCAGATTTTTGACAAATTTTATGCAAAAAAAAAATATTTGAAACATAATTTTAAAACGTTTAATCAGCTTCTGTAGCCAAAATCTGCATATTTCGTTTCGAATTTTGGAATCTAAAAAAATTTATCTTAAATGGTAAAGTGCAAAAGTGTGACACATAAACACAAAACTTTTTTGTTCATTTGCCTAAGGGCCCCCAAAATATAGTTGCGCCACTGGAACAAGGTACATATATAGACAGATACATCAACGAATGATCTATGTATGCCCTTAATGCACATGTATTTCGTTTAATTTTCATTGCTGATCTCCTTCTTTAATTCATTTGAAGGGGTCTTGCTTCTTACTGTTGAGTCTGGAAAGGCCAACTCCCACAAAGACAAAGGCTGGGAGAAAGTAACAGACGCCGTGATTTCTTGGATCTCAGCTCTGTTGTGTTCTTACTTTGGGGGGCGTGGCGTATGCACAGAAAAAAGCTGAATTTGTTGACAAGGTTAATATTATAATTAATTTCATACTTGAGCAGAGCTAATCTAGTTTTTCGTGATAATTAGAAACGACACTACATCCTTCAAACTGTATGTACATCCATCTCCACTTTCTGCATATTGAGCTATATGTGCATATTTACATGTAGCTCAAAATATGCGCAAAATATGTAGGGTTCATTTCTGCATTTCGCAGGTGCACACATATTTTGTCCAAATTTTTGCAACAATAATTAATTTCATGAAAAAGTCCCATCATCCAGTTAACCAGTAACGCCATGAAAATGTTGGAATCAAAGCGTTCTTAATTCCATCCTGGCTCAACAATCTTTTACATATGTACATACATATAGCTCAAAATGTGTGCAAAAATGGCATCTTTAGTGCGAAAATAGGGTCCATTTCTCCTCCTCGCACATGTTCACACATGTTTTTTCGAAATTTTTGCAACAATAATTAATTTCATGAAAAAGTCCCATCATCCAGTTAACCAGTAACGCCATGAAAATGTTGGAATCAAAGCGTTCCTGATTCCATCCTGGCTCAACAATTTTTTACATATGTATGTATGCATAGCTCAAAATGTGTGCAAAAATAGCGTCCTTTATGCGAAAGTAGGTTCATTCTCCTCCTGGCAGGTGCACTTGCTTCCCTGATAAGGAAACAAACACGTGATGGCGTCCCTTCGTTCCAGGCTTGGCTTGCATTCCTTCTTCTTCTTCTTCTTCTTCGTTCCCCGAAATTTTGCTCACTTATCGCAGCGACGTCGTCCAAACCAGTTCATATTTTTTTCGTCCCTCAAAATTTCCTGTTTTTGGTCATCAGAAATAAATTATTCTCTTAAGTTTCCAAAAAGTTGTCCACGGCGAGAGAGAAGTAAGGTAAGTGTAATTGTAGTAACAGAATTTACCAAATATTGCCAAAAACTGGGATAAAAATAATTCGCAAAAATTACACTGTGCAAAATAAAGTTTGGTTTTAAAGAGCAATAATAAGTTCCCGTTTTTTTAAAGGTTTTTACCATCAAATTAGTAACCTCGTAAACTAAAATATTGTAAAGTTTGCTCATTTTAAAAGTAGTTCCTCATTTTTAACCGATTTTGACGCTCAAATAAGTAATCGTAAACTAAAATATTGACGCATTTCACGCAGGCGTTTGCAAACTTGTAAAATCCGTTAGCTCCGTAAACTTTTACAAAGTTTTGGTCATATTTCGAAGGAAAATTAGCTTCCAAAATTGTATAAACTTGTTTTGAGCAAGGGCGTCTCCTTATTTTTGTAAAAATATGGTACAAACTCAGGAATTTTACAAGGTTTACAATGACTGCGTGAATTGTCTCGCTGATTTTTTTATAAAGAATGCATTCACGAAGGACTTGGTAACCTTGTGAAAACTAATTTTTAAGTCTTTTTAACCTCAATTAATTAATTTCTTAAACTAAAATGTGACAAAATGTGTTCTTTTTTTCAGCCAACCACGTGGCATCATGGAGCAACATCCTCCAAATCTGCCCCCGTACGCGGTCTACCTCCCCGATCAGAACGTCCCCTACCCCCCCAACGTCCCCTGTCCCCCGAACATGGTCAACTGCCCCCCGAACATGGTCACCTACCCACCCAACGTCCCCTGTCCCCCGAACGTGGTCACTTACCCCCCGCCGAACGTCGTTCCATACCCGGAGAACGTTACCAACTACCCAGCGAATTACCCCCCGAACGTCGCCACATTTCCCCCGAACGCCACATTTCCCCCGAACGTCACATACCCAGAGAACGGCGAGAACGGCGTCACCTACCCCTCGAACATAACTTACTTCCCGGTCATTCCACCTCCACCGGACGTCAATTCCTCCCCAGAAAGTCAGCCGGAGAACGTCACCTACCCACAGAACGGGGCCACTTACCCGAAGATAACCTACATTCCTATCATCCCATCTCAACCGGAAGTCACCGACTCTCCGGAAAATCAGTCGGAGGACGTCACATATCCGCAGAACGGCCCCACGTACCCTCCGAACATCACCTACTTCCCAGTGATCCCACCTCAACCGGAAGTCACTTCCTGTCCAGAAAATCAGTCCGAGAACGGCCCCACGTACCCCCCGAACATCACCTACTTCCCCGTCATCCCACCTCAACCGGATATCACCACCTCTCCAGAAGGTCACCCCGAGAACGGCGTCATCTACCCCCAGAACGGGGCCACCAACCCGCAGAACGTCACTTACCCCTCGAAGATAACCTACATCCCGGTAATTCCACCTCAACCGGAAGTCACCTCCTCTCCGGAAGGTCAGTCCGAGAACGTCACTTACCCCCGGAACATCACTTACCCCTCGAACATCACCTACATCCCGGTAATCCCACCTCAACCGGAAGTCACTTCCTGTCCAGAAAATCAGCCCGAGAACGTCACCTACCCCCAGAACGGGGCCACGTACCCGCAGAATGGCTCCACGTACCCCCCGAACATCACCTACTTCCCTGTCATCCCATCCGCCCCATCTCCACCGGATGTCACTTCTTCTCCGGAAAGTCGGTCGTCCTCTGACCATTCCGGAAATGGTGGGGGTGTGGATTACGTCAACCCGCCGTGGTCATTTCCTTGGTGCCAACCCGCCCCGATCCCGTATCCGGTTCCGCAACCCGCCGCACCGATTCCGCACCCGGTTCCACAACCCGGCCCGATTCCGTACCCGGTTCCACCCACCGGCCCGATTCCATACACCGCTCAACCACCCGGAGTGATCCCGTACGCCGTTCAACCACCCGTCCAGATCCCGATCTACCCGGGAATGGGCAGTTTCCCCCCCGTGATCGTGCAAGTGATGGGATGTGGACCCCCCTATCAGGCGCCGGGTTGGTCGAATCAAGGCTATTTTTTCGGCGGCGTGCCAGACAGCAATGGTGCTAGTGGTCCAAATATGGTAAGGAATTCGCAAGATTTTGCACATTTTAACGGTATTTTTTAGCATGAAATTGGCACGTTTCGTAGTAATTTACCTTTTTTACAAAATTTCCTATATTTGTCATGAAATTGAGGAATTTCCTGGTAAATTTGATAGCTTTTTGTGTGCAGTATTTTTTTAATTTGGGACCAATTTTCATATTTTTGCTCTCAAAATTTGCAATATTTTTCATAAAATTGCCACATTTTAGTAAATTTGAGACATGCTTTGTACCGTTGGAGGCATTTGATTCAAGAATTTTTGACAATTTTATAAAATAATTTGGGAACATTTTTGGTCCGAATTTCCACCATTTTTTAGTCAAAATTTCTCAAAATTTTTCATAAAATTGCCACATTTTAGTAAATTTGAGATATGCTTTGTACCGTTGGAGGCATTTGATTCAAAGATTTTTAAGTATTAAAAAAATAATTTGGGAACATTTTTTCCACATTGTTGGCCCGAATTTCCATCACTTTTAGTCAAAATTTCTCAAAATTTTTCATAAAATTGCCACATTTTAGTAAATTTGAGACATGCTTTGTACCGTTGGAAGCATTTCATACAAGGATTTTTTTAAAAATAATGTGGGAACATTGTTTCACATTGTTACCCCGAATTTCCAACATTTTTTACCCAAAATTTCCCACATTTTTCATAAAATTGGCCCCCATTTTTCTTCCCAAATTTGAGACTAATTCCCCCCCTCTATTTTCCCCAGGGGTATCCGTCCTCGCCCCCACAGCAGCAGCAGCAGGCAAATCCGTCTCGAAGCAGTCGTCGCAGTCGTAACCGAGGTCGGAAATATCGCCCCCAAAATTGCGGTTTTCAACGCTGCTGCGCCCCCCGATCCCAGTCCGGCGTCATCCTCACGCCCTTCAACCACTGCAAACTCTGCCTCAGCAATCGCGAAAATGAGAAAATCTACATGCAACACACGCTCCGGGATGAGGACGGAAAGGTATTATGCTAATTTAAATTTATTCAGACAATGGAGGTTTTACCTGTGTATGAAATTTTCACCCGACCGGGAAAAATATTTGCACATTTTTCTGCACGTTTATGTATCTATGTACATACTAGAATTTTTGTGAAGATATTAGTTTGCAGAAGAATGCGCAGATATTCTGCAGGTTGATTTTCATGGACTTCTCGCAGCGTATGCTCTCTGAATTTTGAGAAAATTAGTGTCAATCGATGGCAAATTTGATTAGTATGAAATTTGCGAAAGACAAGATCTCCCAATGGGCACGTTTGGCCGAGATATTTGCATCCAAAGAGGAGAAAATGCGATTTAAAGTCGGCAAATGTTACACTTTCCAAACTTACTGCGCGTTTTTCTCCTCTTCGGATGCAAATATCTCGTCCAAACGCGCCCATGGGGAGATCTTGTCTTTCGCAAATTTCATAATGATTAAATTTGCAATCGATTAACACTAATTTGCTCAAAATTCAGAGAGCACACGCTGGGAGACCTTCATTCTGAATGTGAACCTCAACCTGCTGAATATCTGCACAATTTTTCTGCAAATTAATGTCTGCGTAAAAATTCTAATGTGTAGATACACAAACATTCCCAAAAATGTGCGAATATTCTGCAAATTTCAAAGCTCCTTTGCTCTCAACTTTTACGGGGATAATAAATTAAATAATTTGCAGAATTTTGCGCATTCCTTGATTAAAAGTGTGCTATTTTTTGCCAATTTTCTAACAAAAATACCCTCTTTTTTCAGGTATGCTGCCCCGTCCTGCGCGAACTAGTCTGCTCAATCTGTGGCGAAACTGGCGACAACGCGCACACTTTCAAATACTGTCCCTTCAACCACGACGTCCCGATGGAACTCCGCTCCTACAATTTCGAACAGGCCCGCGCCGACGTCGCGAGATTGATGATGCCCAAAAGCCGCCGCGACCGAGGCACCCAAAGGGATCCTCCAAGCTCCCCAAGCGATGATCAAACCACTCCGGAGAAGAAGGAGCTCGGAAATTTATGAATTTATGAACTCCCGATTTTTTGAAAAAGTAGACAAATCATGAAATTGATGAATTATTAACCCCCCAAAAATCTAGATTTTTCACCGTATTTTTATAGACAAAGCTGTTGTGCCGCTGTTTTGATTTTAAGTAGTGATCAATTAATTATGCAAATTAGACACGTGACTCCTTTTTAAAAATAGAAATAGATACAATGAATTCTTGCCGCTGTTTTCGTTTTAAGTAGTGGTCAAATAATATGTATGTAATTATGCTAATTAGACACGTGACTCATTTTTAAAAATAGAAATAGATACAAACCATTTTTCGCTGTTTTGATTTTAAATAGTAATCAATTAATGTGTAAATATGCTAATTAGACACGTGATTCCCTTTTAGAAATAGATACAAACCTTTCTTGCCGCAGTTTCCATTTTAAGTAGTAGTTAATTAATTATATGCAAATATGCAAATTAGACACGTGACTTTCTTACCGAATAGTAACTCGAACTGAATTGAAATGATTGAGGAACTATAAATATTTTATAAGTATTTTTTTTACCATGTATTTTACTATAACGCTTATGAATTAACTAATATGAAATAAAATTATTTATGTTTATGAATTATTATTAAGAAAAAAATGAGGTTTTACATATTTTACTAAATTATTTTCCATAAAAAAATTTCATTTTTTTGAAAATATTCATAAATCATAAATAAAAAATATTGGTTGACCAAATTACAGTTTGTATTTTGAAATCCTGGTTTGAATTTCTAACCACAAAACGATGAAAATCCAGTAGAAATCGTACGAAAATTCACACTTTGTGAATAACTTAACTTTTTATCGCTTTTCATAAAAACAGTTTTTAACAAATTTTGAAAATTTCAGTATTTTAACACCGATTAAAAGCTAATTTCTTAACAAACCGAGCATTTTCGTTCGACTGTTGCCTTCTCTATGTAAATTACGAGAGAATATGCATCGGAATACAAAATTCGTACGAAAATATGTGATTTTTTAAGAAATTTACTTTTTATCGCGGTTAAAATCCTGAAATTTTCACGATTTTTTCAAAATCCATACTTTCGAACCACTGCTACAGATTTTCATCTTTTTGTGGGTGTAACAGCCCCGGAAATAAAAAAAAACCCTGAGAAGAACGGGGCTCAAAATTATGCACAAAATACAAAATATTTTACCCCACCACACTGATAACTACTTATCATCATAAAATCACAACTCCTGACAAATTATCTTTGTAATGATGTTGATTTGACCTGTTCTAATAATTCAATTACTTTGAAACTAACACATTTATTTCCCTTCCTGCATCATCTCCTCCTCTTCAGGTATTTAATTAGAGCAAAAAGTAACTCATACACATACATACTCACGTACATAAATAAATAAGTACACACTTGGCTTCCCTTATTTCGTCCTCATTTACAGCACAATTCAATTTATTTTACTTACAGTGTGAGCATCGTGATCAGAAAAAGTGCTCATATTTATTACGAGGAGGGACAAGTTTGACAAGTTGTCTGTGTGGCGTCGTGATTCTGTTTTTTTCAAAATATTTCTATGTCACTCTAGTTCGTACCAGATTACATTTTTTGTATTGGTGTCATCACGTGGTTGTCAAATTTCAATTAAAAATCGACCTGTCCAAAATCATCCTAAAAACCGTTTATACCTTTTATTTTACTTGACATACAATTTTTTTGCAGAAAAATTAGTCAACAAATTATTGCCAAAATTTTACTCATTGCGCTTTTCAGATTGAAATCAAGAAAATTTCCTAAATTCATTTCACAAACATAATTTTTTTAAATACTTTACATGCAAATGTTTACAGAAAAATTGGTGAACACGTGGTTTTCGAAGTTTTACTAATTGGGCTCTGCAGTCAAATTCAAAATCGAGCTGTTCAAAATTACCCAAAATTCTGCCCAATATGCAAAAAAATGTGTGCGCAAAAATTTTCCCGAGTTCTATATTACAGAAAATTGGCAAAATTTTCATCAGATTTATTTTAAGCACATGTCAAAAATCCATCAACTTTCTCCAGGCTACAAATTCTTCAATCCACATTTGCATACTAAATCTCTGTCCACATTTACATATGCTAAAATTAGCATCCATCAATCATTCCAGGTGATCATTACCCATCCGTGTCCACATCCGCCCATCACTCATCCCGACCACGACCACGGTGACGATTTGTTCCCATTTGAGACAAAAATAGTCCTCGCCGTCGTCTGGCTTCCTTCCTCACGACGACGACGACGTAAGAATGCCTGCTGACTGACTGACTGATCGTCCCCTCCCCCCCACAAAGAGACCAATATTCTTGTTGTGGGGAAAGTGAAAGTGGTTCGTCCAACTAACTCAACCAAAAACCACCCAGTCGTTAAGAAGCCCCATGTAATCCACCCCCATAAATATTTATGTACCTGTAATGTAACCACCACCACCACCACCACGAATGCACCTCGCACTGCAAGAAACCGCAGCAGTGGTGGTGCTATCATTATTTTTCTGCAGTGCAGTGCAGTGTAAAACAGTGGCCACGGAAGACATCTGGGGACCTCTGGGGACGGTAAATTTGTAGGATAAAGGGGAGAGGAACGGGTTTATATAAGATGAGGAGATGATGCCGACACTGAATAACCGTGGGGACATTGTCCCTGCTTTTGTCCCCTTAAGCTTCCGCGGCCACTGCCGTGATGTATATTATGTATGAAGATCAGTGGCCGCGGAAGCTGTGGGGACATCTGGGGATATTAACATTGTAAGATAGAAGAGGGCCCTGTTTCATAAAAGATGGGGAGATGCTGCCGACATCGAAAAACCCTGGGGACATTGTCCCCTCAAGCTTCCGCGGCCACTGATGCAGAACTGCACGCACCAAATGAAACTACAAGTCGGCAGGTACACAAGTAGCGAATTATTGGCGTGCCTCACCCCAGAGGGAAAAAAAAGTCTGTTGCATTTCTGCCTGCACCTCAAGAACCTCAGCCAAAAAGTAACTGTTTCTGTAGTAGCTGTCAAACTGCAGTCAGTGTGCGACAGGTAGTCTCCTTGTGCACTACTCGACCTAAAAATTTGCACATGTACTAAGTTTGCTAAAAAATTTGCACGTGTACTGAATATTATCATTTTTTACACACAATTTGCTAAATGTGAGTAGAATTAGCGAATAGTGCGTGTGTTTGTGTGGTGTGTGGGGGGTGTTGTGAAGTTTTTTGCGAAGTTTTTGCAACTATTTAAAAAAAAATTTTTTGGGGGGTATTAAATAGATAAAAAAATTGTTATCAAAATGATTCCGAGAATTAGTTCCACGTTAAAATTGCTACTACTTTTTGGAGGATGCTTACTCATTTGGCTGCCTCAAGTTTCATGTAAGTGGATAATATAATTTTTCAAACTATTTTACAAAAAATTGGGGCATTCATGCAAAAACAAACAATTTGGCTTAAAAATTCGCGAACTTGAGAACTTGCCTATTTGTAAGGCTAGTTCTTAGTTTGCAAAATTACTACTTAAAAAAATAGAGATATTGGTTACAAGTTCGTAATGTTAGCTAAAAAACAAACTTGTCAAGTTCGCAAAAAAAATTGAGATCGAAAATTCATCTGCAAACTTGCCCTTTTCCAAGACTAGTTTTTCTTTTGCAAATTGCTATTTAAAAAACGAGGGTAACCATTCATTACGATTTCGCAAAAGAGTTGGCAAAAAAACTAAGTTTGCAGAAAAATTAGCTTGAAAATTCATTTATTTGAGCATCTCCAAAGCTAGTATTTACTTCGCAAATTTTTTATTTCAAAATTATGCGATTTGCAAATTTCTAGAAATATATCTAAATTTCTGACCAGTTACATTACTTAAAATATCTCCAAATTATTTGTAGCGTGGGTGGAGATGAAGTGGTGACGAGATAAAAATGCAAATAAATACGTGTGACGGTACCACCACCACTGCGAATAAAATGGCACGCTTTCCGTACCAGGAAGGTCTCCAGTACCATTTTTTCCACTTGTATTTACAACAAAAGCCCCAAAATAATTGGACAAAGTCAATCTCTACGCACGAACCACCACCACCAAAATTATTTCTTGTCACATTAATTGTTCCACAAAATTTTGGATGGGAGCAATTTACTAAATAATAATTTGTCGTCATCATAAAGGACGCGAATTGTTGGGCTGCAAGATTGCACAGGTGATACATTTGGAGGTGACCATCACGTAATGTCAGGGAAGGAAGGAAGCTGTCAAGAAGTATTCCTTTGTGACCCTGGCAAATCAAATGACAAATGACGACAGGACGTGACAAGACACAAAAGAATCTTACATTTTCCATTATTTAATACGGACAAATAAGAAAACGCACATAATTTCGTCACGAATCAATCAATCAATAATTATTTAAATATTTAAGATTCCTCGACTACTTAATTTTGAATCATTTCATAAAATATGAAAATTTTAGTGCACATTTCCATCTTCAAAATTTGTGAAATCTTTCAGTGTGAGCTACAGAGATTCCAAAATCCATCCCGTCTCGTATTAAGTTTCCAGACGAGCTTCAATTTCATGCAGTTTTTTTACGAGGGGAAGGAATTTCCAGAATTTGGGGGGGGGAGCACAAGCTTGGCGAAAGGGGGGGGAGCATTTTGACGAAAAAATATGACAGATTTTGGCCTGGTTTCTGAAAAAAGGGGAATATTGAATTCCTCAAAGTTTATGTCCCCTCTAACTTTTGCGACAAACCTTCATTTTCTATCTTATCATCAGGGTATTCCGACCCAGGGTTTTATTGGGTTGGGTTTTTTGGGTTTTAATGGGTTTTAATGGGTTGTTAATGAATAAAACCCAATGGGTTTTACCATGTTAAATGGGTTTTATTTGGGTTTTAATGGGTTTTATTAGGGTTTTAATGGGTTTTAACTGTGTTTTAGCTTAACACAATATTCTAAAAGCTGAAAACAGCTGTCATACGTTAGACGAAGTTGTTTGATGGCAGCTAAGTAGTTTATTTGATTAATACTGTAAGTTTTGAAAACCAGGAATAAATCAGGGACATCCCTTACCATTACAGGTTTCAAGTGACAAAATATACACAAAATTAATTTCGGAACGAGGTATGTTTAACTGATCATGCATAATTTAATACATCTTGCGATCATAATTAATACTTTTTTCCCGAGTACTTCCTCTCATCTCAGCGAATAAATTAAACAAAATACTATAGTATATTTTTAATTTATAAAGTTTTTTTAAATGTTTCAAAGCGATCTTAATTATCACCTCTTGAAAAATCGAGTACTTATGGACAACGAAGTACTTTATTATGAGCAAAAGAGTATATCTGTAAAAAGGACTTATTATATTCTCGATCGTAATACATATGTACGTGCTTTGTGCTTTCGTTGTTCATAAGTACTCGATTTTTTCCAGAATTGATAATACACGTTAAGATCGCATTGAAACATTAAATTTTAAAAACCTTTAAACAACTTGGGTTTCATTATGATGAGAGGAAGTATTCGAGAAAAAGGTAATATATGTAATTATGGTCTCATAAAGTATTAAACTATGATCAGGTAAATAGGACCCTTACAAATTCTAACATGGATTAGGAGGATTTTCATATTAACTCAAGTTGGATTGCAATAGTTGTGAAAATTGTTGTTCAATGTATTACTTATGTAAAACCTAATAAAACCCAATAAAACCCATAAAACCCATTAAAACCCAAAAAACCCATTAAAACCCATTAAAACCCCTGGGTCGTTACTTTTTGAATAAAACCCTGGGTTTTTCCGAACCCTGCTTATCATCGCTTATCATCTCGTATTCATTTTAGTTCCGTGTCTTTCTTATTACGTATTCTTTAGTGAATTTCATCCCTTATCTATTTTTCCTTTTATGAATAAATAATTTCAGGAGAGTCATTTTCCTGATTCCAATCTCTTCCTAATTGTTGTCCAATCCATCAATTACTTCCATTTACATAAGTAACTTACTTATTACGTCCACTTAATTTTCGGAAATATTTGTATCTTGTTCCCTGCCAAATTACAGATATTTTTGTATTTTTATCACTTGACTATGTACCCAGATACATATTTTTCGAACTATTATTTACTTTTCTTACTAAATAATTGGACACAATTGAGATTTGAATCAGGCAGGAATGTATACAATGTATTGAATTAAAAAGAAGTAGATAAGTGATGAAATTGACGAAGAATGCATAATAACACGGAACTGAAATGAATAAGAGATGATAAGCGATGATAAGACACATTTGGCATAAAAACGAAGGTTTCTAGAAACGTGGACAAATTTTGAGGAATTATTATTACATAATTACACAGATTTCCGTAGTAAAATTATTCCCCTCTTAACTCCACCGATTACACATGACAGATCGTTTTCTAATGCGTTTAACAATTAGTTACATAAATGTATCCGATTTTAAAAAATATGGAAATTTATCAAGTTGTAAAATCCTGGAAAAACACTAATTTCCAAAAATATAGTCATGCCCAAGAGAATGTATAGTTGGACACGAAATGTAATTTGTAATATTTCCAAAAATAGTCACCTCATAAAAAGTCGTTAAGTATACAAATGTGTCTAATTTTTAGTGACATAATTCGTCACTTATTACATTTCAACGAGTCAATTCTTTGCAACTTTGTAAAACCCATGGAATTATTGTGTGCCATAATTTTACAAAATTTTACGTAATAAAGAGACACCCTTAATCTTTACAAAAATGCGTATCCTAATTTCCCTTCGAAATATCTCTAAAATTCTGTAAAACTTTGTAAGTTTACGGATTTTACAAAGGCCTCTATATTAAAAAAATACGCACTTTATCAATTAAACCCTCATCACCCATAATAATTTCAATCACCAAATTAATAAAACCTTGACAGAAAATTAAAATAAGATTTACACCTGCCCAAAAAAATACCATTAGTCATTAATTTGTCATCAATTTATCATTCATCTTGCTCCTTCTTCCATTTTGAGACACGCTCCTTTGTTTTTCGTCTCTCTGTCATTGTCGTCGTTGTCGTATTTTTTTCGCTGAGTTTCATAAAAGAGTTAAGATCAAAGCCTTCACCACCACCAATTCTTTGCCTGTATTGAAATTTATTTAGTTACATGTGTACGTTACGTACTTTACGAGATTGTTGTCTTTAAGTACAAACAAAAGTGTGTGTACGTGAGCAAAAGTGAGGCTTTGGATTGGGATAGGATTGCATGTGGAATGAAATAAGTTTAAAAAAGTGAGACGGAATCGACTGACCGGAACCAAGGTTTCTCCACATTATTACCTTTATGCACATGCTTTAACTATGAGCTAAAGTGCCACTGACTCTGTAAACTCACAAGTCAGTAATTTAAGACAGTAATTTACGACAGGGTTTCTGACTAAGAGAACATCAGTTTTTTAGAGGGCGTTAAAGATGATGTAAATTGTAATGAATTAAGGAATGCAAAAATGGAAGTTTGGAAATTTTCAAAATTTTCGGTATAAGTAAACAAGAAAAAAATTAATAATAAACACGGTGTTTTTACACAAATTAAAAAAATACAATGTACAAATTAATTGATCATAAATATCGTGCACGTGCATACGTTATGATGCTTAAGACATTAGATATTTCCAATTTTGAAAATTTTTCACATAAAAACACGGTATCATGAAATTCTGCAATTTAACAAGTTTGAATTTTTTCGGGAATTTTGAGCAATTTTCACACAAAAAATATGATTTTACGAAACCCTACATAGAATTTAACAGACCCATCCACCATTAAATATTTTACTGTATCTCATCTCATTTTGGCACGTTATTATTATTAAGTCTGCACACTGCAATTTTCCTGTGCAATTTTCAGTAACTAAATCCGGGAGATAATCAGAGTTTTGTCTCACTTTCAATTGTTACTAAAAGTTTCGATTTTTCAACATTTTCCAAATTTTTAACAATATTGATCGACCTGCTAATATAAAATTTAAATTTTTAGCAACTAATATTTTTGAAATTTTCATCAATTCATTTATTCATAAAATTTTAATATCTATTTTTTTTAAAAATTTACAATTTATTTATTGACGTTTACCTCCCAACATAAAATTTCTTTGGTAGGCAACAGTTCGTTACCACCGTAAAAGAAAGTAGAAATTCACAGAAAAAGGCCACAAACAAATATCAGTAAAAGTCCCTATAATGTTACTAATTGCCCTAGTAGCTCAGAGGTCAGAGCACTTGACATGAATTCAAGGGAGCCGTGGTTCGATTCCCGGCTGGGTAACAATTTTTGGCATTATTCGGGATTTACGTATTTGATTTCTAAATAAAATTTCAATTTTTTGGT